GGAGAAGGGGACGACAGAGGACGAGATGGTTGGACAGTGTTCTCGAAGCTACCAGCATGAGTTTGACCAAACTGTGGGAGACAGTGGAAGACAGGAGTGCCTGGCGTGCTCTGGTCCATGGGGTCACGAAGAGTCAGACACGACTAAACGACTAAACAACAACAACAAATGGGCAGATTTGGGTGTCATGATGATAATGGCTTAGGAGGTCTTGCATAATAAATCTGATAAGGAAAGTGATGGCGATATGCACCAGAAATGTGGAAAAAACACTTGCTTTGATGCAATGTCACTTGGCCTCCCCTCAGACAAAGCAGGATGAATGCTCATTGAGCAGGTTGTCTCTGGAAGTGACCTAAAGCAACCTTGCAGTATTTGCCAACGCCATAAAATGGGATAATCCCAATTCCCCCACCCTGAACTCCTTAGAGAATGGGTTGGAAATAAATGTGACAGATACATGGATGGAGACTGGGTCTGGCATTCAGAGTGTGTTACCAAAATAGCTACATTTGATCCCTTTGCACGTGCTCTTAAAGATATGGTGCACAGCTCCAGACACACCAAAAGCACCCTACAGACTTTGGTTCATAAAATGAATGTGCAAATGCACCCGCAGTTACTCCTCCTTTGCAGACTTCCAACATACTCATATACATAACTCTCGCCTGATCTTAAAAGGCTCGGTGCCAAGCAACAAGGTATCTCCCTCCATCTTTTGGCTTGTTATCCTGGACACCTCGCCAAGTACACAAAACAGAAAGCAAGCTGGGAAAGCACGCAGAGCATTGGCATGTAGATGTCGACACCCAGCAACAATATGCCTATAAAACATATTGCCTGGTGCTTTTGTGGCAGCAGCTACCAGCCTGGCACAGAGTCAAAGCATATGGTTTGGGTTGAAGCAAAGCCTTGTGTTCTGTTCCATTGCAGGCCATCAGTTGCTGGGGACAAGATCGTACCGTTTTTAAAGCCCTTCGTTCTACCTTAATAGCTGGTAGAGTTTCAGTTCATTTGGTTTTCGACTCATTGCTAGGACTACCAGACAACAGCAAAACATGGACGGGGGGGGGGGATTAAGACAATAAAGGTGTTTTTTGGTTCATTGAAAGCACAAGGTAAAGCTGCAGTACGCAGAACCGTGGCCTCCAAGCATAAAGCCTCACTTTGTTCAATGCTTTTCACTTGTACAGTGGTACCTCAGGTTAAGTACTTAATTCGTTCCGGAGGTCCGTTCTTAACCTGAAACTGTTCTTAACCTGAAGCACCACTTTACCTAATGGGACCTCCTGCTGCTGCCGCGCCGCCAGAGCACGATTTCTGTTCTTATCCTGAAGCAAAGTTCTTAACCCGAGGTACTATTTCTGGGTTAGCAGAGTCTGTAACCTGAAGCGTATGTAACCCAAGGTACCCCTGTATAAGGGAAGGCAAGCCTGACATGGTTGGTATGAAACGGAGGCTTGCTTCTGCTTTAGAAAAAAGCATTACTCCTCAGCATGCTCCTTGACCACAGAAAAAGCCGGCCCAAGACATTTTGCTGCCTGAGGCAAAGGGCAAGATGGTGCCAGCCTTCATGTTCAGAAGGCGAAGGGACCGAGAGCAGACTTCAAGGCTGGCAACAGGATAGCAGCATTCCCCAGCACACCTGAGGGCTACTGGGTAGTTCAGGGGGTGCAGGGCAGTCTACCTGGCACACCCAATTCTGCCCTCCAGCAGAGAGGAACAGTCAAGGAGGTGCTGCTGCTGCTGCTGCTGCTGCCACCCCTCAGCAAGTGAAGCCTGAGGCAGCTGCCTCCCTCTGCCCAACGGTCACGTCAGCCCCGATCAGAAATACATTACCTTTCTCATCTCTTGACTACACCAGGTCTTTCTGCCAGATGTGGTATTGGGGCACGGAGTTCAACTTTCAATTTTTTAAAGCAATCATCTTGCTTTATTTATTCATCTCTCTAAACCCCACGCTTCCTGTAAGGTGCTTCCTGTGGCATAAAGAGCTTTCCCCTTTATCCTGTGAGGTACAGTAGGCTGAAAGATAGTAGTGACCCTTAAATATCACTCAATATCTCAGGTGTGTGCTATATATATATATATATATATATATATATATATATTTGCTTGTTCAGGTTTGCTCCCTGACCTGGTTATGTGTCCAAAGGGTGGGGTTTTCCTCGTATACGAGGTACCGCATTGCCTTAGAACTGATATACTGTAAATGAAAACTTAAAAATAGAACTTCGCTGAAGATCCTGCAATCATAATATTTAAGAAGTACACAAGATAGAGAGACCAAATATGTCTAGGTTTGTTTAAAATTGAACAAGTAACAATATGCAGAATACGAAACCACCAATATCATTTTAAACCTTTGGCTGGATATTTTTGTGGTTTAGTTCCCACCCCACACCAAACCACATGTATACTCTGATTACTGCTTTAGCAGCGCCCTCTAGTGCCCTGCTATGACCTGCTATAGTTTACAGAAGGGTTTTAATGTTAACAGCAGCAGGTGTGCACCTTAAGGGCTTGGAGCGTTTCATTATTAAGGTGGTTTTGAAAGCTGAACCTAAATTGGTGAAGGTAAATGCCTGGGGGGTGAGGAATATGTAGACTCAATCTTTGCAATTGCTAGAACAAAGCTGAGGCTGGTTCTTTTTAAATTTTAATGTTAAAACTTTTAATTCTTTTAAATAAAACTAACCAGTTTTGTTTGTTTGTTTCTTAATTCTAAAGATTGCTATCTTATTCTGCCTAACTCCTTTGTAAATGCACAGGAACAACATTGCTGTAATTTAGATCAGACTTCCCAGCTCAGTGCTTGGCAGGTTTACTTGGAAGCAATGTCCTTTATGTTCAATGGAGATTATTTCCAGTCAGTGTGCATAGGATCACATCTGATATGGGAGTAATGGAATCTACTGGTAGGTCACTACGTAATCTGAAGTAGACTGGCAAGGATTTCTGATTCCCAACCACTTAACAACGGCAACAAATACAATTCCATACACCCTGCCCAAATAAAATAGTGTTGCACTCCAGCCCATTCTCTGAGCAGTGAGAGATTCCAGGGGTTCCAGGCACTTTCCCAGGATTCATGTTTCCTTTTGGAAATGAGGCACAGCAGAGCCTGTGGTGTCTTTATGATATATGGTTTATTTAGACATATATACAACCTGAGCCTGAGATGGAGGGGCTCACAGCATTAATTAACACCCCAAGGGGGTCTTGTTTCTCCTGTAGCCAGGGCCTTGGATCCAAGCAGAAATCAGTTCTGACTCTCTCTTTGCCTTTACAGCCTGCAGCTTTTTCCTCTAGGTCACATCACAGCAAACTCTGCTCTCCAACTCAGGCTTTGTCCTTCTAGCTATCTAAGATCTGGAGGAGGGGCACCACCCCTTTGTCATCTGACACAGAGCCCCCTTCCTTTTGTTCTCTTAATGACCCATCACGCAGGCAGTAACATCAGGAAGCTTGCCTGGCTTAAATAGCTTGCTAGGATTAAATTCATAAGAATATATTGCTGCAATAAAGACACCTAGGGGAAAAGGTATGGAAGGACTAAAGGAACATTTAGTTCTAGCACTCAGACAAACTCTTGGGCTCAGATTTCTTTAATTTTAGATGTATCTCTTTTGCAGTTTGCTCCAGTTAGAGGATCCTGGGAGTTCTAGTACTGTATAAAAACAACATGAATCCCTCAAGCCTCCCCTGCTTTTGGCTATAACTGTGTGTGCACTCTACTGACCAAAGCTGGGCTGCAGGCCGGGTTTTTTTTCCAAAAGTAGAGTTTTGAAAGTGGAGTTTTCAAAAGAATTTAGCTTCTTGGGGTCATGAATCCCAGAATATGCATCTCCAAAGAGCACCAAATTTCATTAAGAAGCACTAAATCTTTAAATGACTTTTCTTTTGTAATGTCGATGCCCGACAGTTTCTCTAAATTCTTTTACTTCTGCTTCCACTGTTTGCGTATCTGAACTTGCCAAATATAGGTTTATTTTTCTTAAGGGGCTTCATGGTCCACTAAGTTCACCTTTAAAGTCACCCAGGTAGGATTTATGAGCATAACTACATTTTGCAGGGAGGGGAAAGTGCTGTCACACTGGATCAACAAGACCTAGGGGCAACCTGTGAGTAACCACAACCAAATCTGAATGGCCTACCCTCAAAACTACAGGAAGAAAGCTTTATAACAGAGGGGAAGAGCAGGGACATTGCTAGGGAAGGACCAACACAACCCAAAAATAAAATAAAATTACAGACCAAGTAATACAACGGAAACATTGTGTGATGCATTTCGTGAGCAGTGTTATGGTAATGTCCCTAACTCAAATTATCCCTAACTCAAATAGTAATAACGTAATTCTCTTTTCTTCTTCTTCCAGGTGTGAAAGAGTGTCATTCAGTGACTGTTTACTCAGGAAACAACATTACCACATCCCAAGACATACAAAGGCAGGGATGAGGGAACAGCAATGCTCTCTTTTATAAGTGAAATCTATGTTAAACCATACCACCATAAATTTACCTTGTACAGATTAAGGCAGTAGGTAGGTATAATACCAGTCTTCAAATATCTGGGTGGCTGTCATGGAGAAGATAGAGCAGACTTGTCCTCTGTTATTTGAGAAACTACATCATAGACGTGGATTGCGACTAATGTCACGTGTACACAGTTTCGAAAACCAGCAGTGGGAGCACTCTGGAGCCAGAATAAATGCAATGTGTGCATAGCCTTAGTTGTTGCCCTGCCAGTAAACCTCTAAGTTGCTCTCTGGCACTCTTACATCCTTAAGCCAAAGTACATACTCAGGATCACTTTCCACAGATTACATAATTTGTGTATTTTTTGCAAAGTGCCTTTGATCCTGCCCCCTATAACGATGAATTAAACAACGTAAAGAAAAGAAAACCATCAACCAGATGGGCAGAGTAACATATTTATTTATTTATTTATTTATATATATAGATATAGATATAGATATAGATATATAGATATATATTACGTTCTGTAGTACTGGGATACACGTTTTAGAATACTGCCATAAATAGTACTGATGAAATTATATCATGAGATCACCATCATGTGCTGTAGTGGTAAGAATAGTAGTCAGAATCTTGTGTGTGTGTGTGTGTGTGTGCGCACACGAACGCACACACACTTTTATGTAAGGCACTGTAATTTGCCAGCAGGAGCAAAGAAGTAGAGTTTTAAAGTCAGAGTGAGCCAAATGGGTTTCCTTAAGGCAGTCAGATTGCAACTCCCATTATTCCCATCTGTTACCCATGATGGCTGGAGGTCATGGGAGTTATAGTCTGAAGCATCTGGAAATTTCAGGCTGTGTAGGAAAGGTTTTTTGTATGTATCCAGAACACCTCAGAAAATATTTAGCTGATATTTTGGGTGGTATGCTCCTCGGAGTAGACGCACTAAAATTCACAGATCTAACTTGGTCGCGTTCATTAATTTCAGTGGGTCTACTTTTAATAAAACTTAGTTGACACCACCAGTTATTTGGATCGTTTTTTGCTTCTGTCTGAGATCAGCTCATCTTACTGGAGTCCAACCAGGCACAGAGACCAAAGTGCAGGCAGAATTCTGGCACAAAGCAAAGGGAGATCCAGTCAGGAGCCAGTGCAAGAATGAACAAAAAAGCAGGGCAAAGATCAGGCACACACTGAGCTGTTTGATGCTAGGAAAGCCAGGCCATTCTCTTTCAGATCACCAACTGGGTGCCAAGATGCACCAGTTGCCCACTTAAGTATACATTTTCTAAGCAGACCTCTGGTTCTTCGCCAGTTCTGTTTCTTCCTCAGCTTTAGGGAGATAGGTTAGGATAGGAAGTGGTGGAAGCCTGGATCTGTAAAGGGGTGCAGAAACTGATTAAAGCCCCCCTGCCCCCAGTGAGGTGTCTGAATGACAAGGTGAGTTGGACTGCTAAACAGGTTATTCAGGTGTGTCAAGGCTGTCTGCTTGGTCCCAGTCTGAATCCTCTGGGTCTTAACATCTTCCTAATATATTGAGCTGCTATAAAGGCTTGAGCATGTGGGTATATATTGTTATCTGTTAATATTACTTGATTTAATTCATAACAAAATAACTTATTTAGTCTGCATCATGTGAAACAGAGCCAGTGAAATGTTCTAAGTACATTCTAGTCTTAAATATTTCATTTATTTTAGTGTTTTCTTAACACGCTTTGCGTAAAGTACTTCATGCTGGCAGCTCAAGTCACATTTTACATCCATGTCAAACCTGACCCACTTTGCTGCTATGCATCTCACAGTTAGTTTTGCAATGTGATCTCTTTAGGGGTATAATATTAGATGTGTTAGATGGTGGGGAGTCGCTTGTCAAAGCAATATGCCAAGATTCCACTGAAGGGCTACTGACTGGAAGAGGTGGGGAAGCATCTTCAGCTAAAGAAACAGCAAGCAGTAACAAAACAGTATACACTGGTACCTCGGTTTACAAATCCGTTCCAGAAGTCGGTTCTTAAACCGAAACCGTTCTTAAACCAAGGCGCGCTTTCCCTAATGAGGCCTCCTGCCGCTGGTGCCCTTCCACCATTCGGATTCCATTCTTAGACTGAGGTAAAGTTCGCAAACTGGGACACTACTTCTGGTTTTGCGGAGTTCGTAAACCAAATAGTTCATAAACAGGGCTGTTCTTAAACCGAGGTACCACTGCATCTGTAAGTTGCTTTGAGTCCCATCAAGGGGAAAGACGGGGTATAAATAAATATCTAATCATAATAATAAATGCAGAAAGAAAAACTACTATTTTAGGATAACTTGCATTAACGTAAACTAGTTGTTATACAGCAGCGCTTACAAAGATACATCTCGATCTCTTGCCATAATCTACCTTACAGGGTTGCTGTGAGCCTCAAATGCTACTCTGAATTCTTCTGGGGTGAGACGAATACAATTGTAACCTGAGAGCATAGACAGAATTATGGATCAGGGTAGCACCATTGCAACACAATTCACAAAATCTTGCATTGTTCATTGGGCCTGTCCAGTTTGTGACCTGCCAAGGCAGACACAATCCACCAGCCATGTGGTGGGCATTTGACAGCTCTCCGGGTTTTTGCAGTCCCATGGAGGCAGCAAAATCCACCATAAATGGCTCATAGGTCGGGTTTAGCATAATAGGCCTCAAATTTTATAGGATATATATGATAGAGTTATTTTTAAAACGAACTAAGCAATTAGTAGTTTTCATTAAAGTACTTATTTAGATGCTGCAAGATGAATAAAGTCCTCCAGAACCGTGAAGGAAGTATGAAGAGATTCCTTCAAATCTTGATGTCTAAGAAATCTTCGAAGAGTATCCAAAGCAGTAAGGGCCTCCTTCTTTGATGGCAAAGGGTGTTTACATCCTGGAAAGTCATCACCTTCATCTTTCTCATAAGTTCTACCTGAAGTACCTTTTTTAGCCTGTGATATTTCAGTGTTAGGAGGCATTTCACAATTTATCAAGTCATCATTGAAAGCTACATATTCCTCCAAAGACAAGCCTTTTGGAAACTCAACTCCTGCTGCCGATGCATATGCAGCCAAATCAAAATTAATTTCCGTTTCTGTGTCCTCATCAATGTTTTCCCCAGTTTGTGATCTAAACCCTTCTTTGCTATGGCTTTCAACAACTGTCCCTGGAGATACAGCCCTCCAACATAGGTATAACATGTCAACGGCATCAAGCAAAGTCAGCGTGAATTCCTTACCACTTTCAACACAGTCTACAAATCTCTTGAGAAGAAGGCACCGGTATTTTACTTTCAGACTCTTGGTGATATTTTGTTTCACAGCTGTAAATCTGGAGGGTGAGCAAGAAGGGAAGGATACAAGTCTGATAGACTTCAAATTCCTTACCTCTGGGTGAAAAGGGAAAGAGTCCACAAAAATAATGATGTGACGCTTCTGTATTTGAAATCTCTTGTCAAGTTTGCTCACCCACTGATCAAACAGCTCTGAAGTCATCTGTGCCATAGTAGTTGACTGATATTCCACAGGCAGTGATGTGACACCCTGAAAGCAGCAGGGAGTTTTGTTCTTTCCTATAACAAGCAACGGAAGTTTTTCTGAAGCATCCATATTTACGCCAACCACTACAGTTATTTTTTCTTTGCCTAATTTTCCCAGGGAGCATGTTTCTCCTTTAAATGTAAAAGTAGCACTAGGTAACATCTGATAAAACAATCCTGTCTCCTTCATGTTAAATATATCATTTGGCTGATAAACCTTTAAATAGTAAGACAGAATATTTTGATGCCAAGCAGTTGCTGTATCCTCTGTAGTGGTAGCAGCAGTGGTACGAGTAGTACGAGCAGTAGCTACAACTGGCTGAGATCTGAATGCCAGTCCATACCTTGCTTTAAAACGATCTAGCCAGCCATTGCTGCATTTAAAATCGTTATGTCCAAGTTTCTGTGCAAAATCATTAGCCTGGAAGCGTAGCATCGGCCCATTCACTGGTATATTTGAACACTGAGCCATTCTGTACCACTTCACCAGTGCCACTTCCAGATCTGTATGAAATGCAGTCCTTAACCTTTTTCTTTTAGGGTCAAATTGCCACGATTCAAAGGCTTCTAAAACTTTCTCTTTGTTCTTCATGATGGAGGACAAGGAGTTTTTCTTTATACCGTATCTTTCTGCAATGTCTGTCTTCTTCTTGCCACTTTCTATTGCAGCTATTATACTAATTTTGTCCTTGATTGTTAAGCTTTTCTTCTTCCTTACTGCAGGCAGAAGTGAGGGAGCATCTGAAGACTCTGCCATGGTACAACCCCCAAACTCCCTCAGAGGCTCAAATGCATCTAGAGACATTCATTCTGTCACCTTGCTATCCTCAAGTGCTTTAATTAGATTGGCTTTCAAATGAGTACCCTGATCTCATGGTATAAACGTCACTGTGTTAATAAATAAACGTCACAGAGTTAGAGTAGCAATGCCATGGGTATATTCTTGTATATCACAAGCACACAGCTAAGGAATGAGCACAAACAAGCCCTTCTGGTATCTTTGCCCAATAAGAATATTTTCCATAACTTCTCTAGACTGAGTTTCAAACATGTGGACTAATGAATTGAGTACTTTGCAACTAGGAATCTTCTTATCTCACATCAAAATAAAGTGTGAAACCTAACTACAGTTGTACTATATGTAAAACTTGTCAGTACTGCTGCTTTAATTTGAGAGATCTGCTGACAGATGTGTCTATTTGTTGCAGTAGCTGTTTTAACATGGATCTTTGGCGCCCCACTCTATGCCTGGCACAGGGTTAGGGAACCTTATTTCAGCTCAAGGGCTGCTGTCTATTCTGAGCAGTCTTCTGGGGCCACAGGCCAGTGGGGGGTGAAGTCTGAGGCAAAAGTGAGCAGAGCAACTAACCAGAAGGCTAGTTTCTCCATATACTCATGCTTTCCTCTCTCTTCTACAATGTCAGAGTTCAAGGGCACATTCTAGCAGGGCAAAACACTCAAGGAGGGCATTGAGCAGGCCTGGTGAGGGGTGTGGCCTGTGGAGAGTCCTGGGGGCCAAACAGAGAACCCTGTAGGGACAAATTTGGCACGAGGCTCACCACTTGTGCTCTAAAAGTAGAATCATGTCCTATCAAGCATTCCATGTGAAGATCTGATGGGAGAATGCACTCAGCTGAACATGCTTTGAAATTTTATTCAGGCCTTTACGCTGAATGCAGAAACGTCAGGAGTGATCACGGAAAGAGCCTGTAATGGGTGAAGTGTGGAAGCTGGGCAGGTGGCTTAGTCCAAATCCTACACTCACTCAGCCATTGTTTCCACCATTGCCATCAATGTAACTTTACTCCCGAAAAAAGGAGTACAGCACATTATTCCACTTCCTCTTACATCAATAGAGAGCCCAGTTGACTGCCCCTCCCAACCTATTCCAGCCACAATATAGACTCTGATTCCAACTCGCATTCTTCACTGAATTCTATTTAGCCATGATATTCTCCATGCAATCAACAGTACATGAAGAAAGAGCAGAGCCATGTGTGCTAGCCCTGTCATTGCAGCATGTGTGCCAGGCTTGCCCCCACACTGTCTACGAATTAGGTGCATATCTCCTAAGCAGGGACCACTGAATAGAACTAGTGTATGCAGCCTTACTTTTTCTCCACATGATGTTAATTACATGCAGCCCTGGCACACTAGCTGAGGACCTCACTGCAGCTCAACTCAGCTATGCCACCACTCACTGTCCTCACTGATACCCCCCTCCCCAGTGGATGGCACTGCTGCTTTTTATTGGAAGCCATGGTTAGGTCCCATCTATGGTGGCTGCCCACCATCTTAATTTACCCAGAACACAATGATCTATGCGATCCAAAGATGGTGGCCACCACAGATGGCAATCAAGGTCAGTCCTATTCTAAAGTGGCACCACTGCCCTTCCGAAGGTTAGACGCCACATTGGCAGCCCAGCAGGGAAGGTGGGTTGGGCTGTTGATTCCATGGTGGTGGCAGGAGGGGGGGGGGATGCAGCTACATTAAAGGTGGTGTGTGTGTGTGTGTGTGTGTGTGTGTGTTATCAGGTGCAGTGGAGGCCCATTGGCAGCACCTGAAGTCTTGTGTACAGTGGAACCTCGGGTTACGTACCGTTGCCTTATGAACGCTTCCAGTAACGAGCTCTGCTAACCCGGAAGTAGGTGTTCTGGGTAGCAAACTTTGCCCTGGGATGTGAGCGGAAGTCGCGCAGCAGTGGGAGGCCCTATTAGCGAAAGCGCACCTCAGGTTAAGAACGGTTTTGGGTTAAGAATGGACCTCTGCAACAAATTAAGTTCGTAAACGGAGGTACCACTGTACAGGTTACAGGTTCCGGAGCCCCGTACGCATCCAGAAGTGAACGCAACTCGCATCTGCGTGACGTCATTTTTACCGTCTGCACATGCGCGAGCGGCGAGACCCGGAAGTAAAGTGCTCTGTTACTTCCGGGTCACCGCAGTGCGCAACCCGAAAACACTTATCCCGAAGCTACTTCAACCTGAGGTATGGCTGTATTTGCGTATGCCACTTAGCACAATCCCACCTCTCGTAGGAATCACAGAACTGTAGAGTTGGGAGGGAACCTGAGAGTCATCAACCCCCTGCAATGCAGGAATCTGAACTAAAGCATCCAGGACAGACAGCCATCCCACCTCTGCTTAAAAACCTCCAAGGAAGAAAGGAGCCTTTTCCACTGTCAAACAGCTCTCGTCATCAGAAAGGTGTTCCTGATGTTTAGTTGGAATCTCAACACCTGAAGGCAACCCCGCTTAGGGAAGTTCCCGGGTGAAACGAGGCTCTTCCTTGTTTTTGCAGCAGGCAATTGAATGCACCTCTGGGAGGGCGGGAAAGGAAAAACCACACAGAGCACACCCTTCGCTTCCCGTTCCCACGGGCGAGCCGCAATTCGAAGTGGAGGAGCCCTTAAACCGGAGGAGCTCCTCCTTTTTTCTACTAGGTCTGCAACCGCGGCTCGCTTGTCGCAGGCGAGAAGCGAGAAAGTGTGTGTGTCGGGGGGAGACCGGTCGCAAAACTACAGGCCCCGATGCTGTTGCCATGGTGACAGCAACGTGGAAGCGGCCCCTCGCTGCTGCCGCCGCCTAGAGCGGCCTCTTCGGAAGGTTACAGAGCAGCAAGCGGACGCTCTACTTCCGGCCAGGCAGTTCCGGTTGGTGCAGCCGTTCAGGGAGGGAAGCAGGGCGGGGAGGGGGGGTAGGGAGTGAGCGAGAGAGGCTGAAGTAACCGGCGCCCGTTTCCTCGCGAGCCCTTTCCGTTTAAGCTGCTCGGCCGTGTTTCCGTGGCTTTTGCGGGGGGAGCAGCTGGAGCTTGAAGGCAAGTGAGGGAGGGAGGAGGAGAAGAAGAAGGGTGTGGTGGGTGGCTGCTGTGGGCGGGGGTGACGAAGAGATGAGCGCCGTGTCCCCCCCCCAAAAAAAAACCTCCCCTCAGACAGGACCGACGCGGAGCCCTCAGCGCCTCCCTCGCCGAAGCCCTTCTCGTTCCGCCGCCGCCTCTCCCGTTACTCCGCTCCTTCCTCCTCGCCCGCGGCGCCAGGCCGGTGTTCTTGGCCTCCTCCTGCTGCGGCCCCGGAGCTTCAGCCGGGGCCTAGGCCACGTATGAGGGAAGGGCGCGTCCCCCCCCCCATTTCGCTCTTTCTCGGAAGAGACCGTTTCCTATCCGCTGCAGCCTGCCTGGCAGGCAGTGGCTCAACAGGTGTTGCTTTATTTTTATTTATTTTTTAAATGTCACAGCACGGAGGTATAGGACGATGCGGGAAGATTAGACCTTCGCCTGTTAGGTAACAAATCTGCTTGGGAGGCCTGTCGGGAAGGGGATCCTGGTGCGCACTCAGGGTTCCTGGTCTTTTATCTCCTGGAGGGTGGGGCAAAGGGCAGGTGTAAAGCTGATGTGTTTGTGCCCAGGAGGAAGTACTTGTGCTCAGCGGAGAAATACAAAGCTGCTCATGGAAAAACACCCTTTTTGGTTTTCTTCTCTTTCTCACTTTATTTAGCTTTTAAAAAACACACAAAATCTTTAGGTTCCTTGGTGCTCACACCCTTGACTTCCAAAAGTGAAGTTGCTGCTGCTTTGTTTTTGCTCAGGGGTTGTATTCTGGCCATGCACTCTGCTTTCTCCCTGCTTCCCCAGAATCCATGACTCCCAGCCATTTGGATGAGTTATAGATGAAAGGTTTGGGGCTATGTTCACACAAAGGTGGTTTTCTTCGTTGTTCAGTACTGTCTGGGATTTAAAACTTGAATAGTTATGTCTTCTTATGAAGAAATTTAATATTGGATCAGTTCTTAAAGATTGTTAGGTTGGAAGTGACGTCTCTAAAGTCAGTACGTGAAGCTGATTGTCAAGCTAGGAAATACTGTAGTCATCCATAGGAAACAGACATGGAATGGTTTCTGCAGGTACATTGAAAATACAGTGAGATGCACAAATGTGGCTGCTGCTTAGTTGAATAATGTACTCGGGTCTCCTCTTGCACATCTTATACCGCAGCATTCATCTTGCAGAGTACACTACTCTGTGTGTATTGTACCAACTCTTTCTGGAATTGTGGCTTTTCTGGTTTTATAGATGACTAGAACTTGGAGGATTTGCCCAAGAATGTCCCCCCCCCCCCGCCCCATGCATGCTTCTCCTTTCAGTTTTATGTGGAGGTCATAGCTTATTGTTCCTTAAGACATGTTTTCCTGTGTCTTTAGAGACAAACATTTTAAACACAAGGCTAATCACAAAAGCATGCACGTAATTCTGTGTTGTATTTCTGCTTTAATTCCATGATGTTTGCTGTACAGTATATATATTTGTAAGTTCTTACAGTTTTATGCTTAATAACATGCTACAAGGAGCAGCAGTTGCCACCAGTGTTTTTCTTTAAAATCTTAGGCAGCTTTTTGGAAAGCCCCCAAAGCAACACACAATATTAAAATATGCTCATAAAAACAAAAAAAAAAGAAAAGGCAGAAACAACAGAACCAAATAAAGCCTATATTTGAGACCCAGGGTGTAACTTTTAAAAATAAAGAAAAACTAGGCAGCTAGTGTAAAAAGGAAGTAATGGCATATATATAGTCTACCTTCTGCCATTATGATATTGTTTTATTGAAGGAAATTGTTGTGGGCTTTATAGCATGCATATATTATGGGATCATAATGATTCATAATATGACATAGTTCTGAGATTTCTGGTAAAAGAACTGGAATATTTTAGATTGCTTAATTGTGCTTCCAGGTCCACAAATTGTGATTCGTCTTGGTAGGTAGTGAGACTTTATTTGTTCCTGTGCCAAGATCAGGGGTCAGCAAACTTTTCCAGCAGGGGGCCGGTACACTCTCCTTCAGACCTTGTGGAAGGCCAGGCTATATTTTGCATATATATATATATATGAATGAATTCCTGTGCCCCACAGATAACCCAGAGATGCATTTTAAATAAAAGGACACATTCTACTCATGTAAAAGCACGCTGATTCCCGGACCGTCTACTGGCCGGATTTAGAAGGCGATTGGGCCTGATCCGGCCCCCAGGCCTTAGTTTGCTTATCCATGCGTTAGGTGTTCTTCTTTTACACCCACTGACAAGGAAGGGGAGTTTTACAGGGAAATGATGGGAAGAGGTATATAGCAAATCCTAATCCAACCTAAGATAAGATACTCAGATGCTTCTTTAAGACAATGAACAGATGAGACTTGACTGCTACATTGAGTTTCAGCATAACCTAAATGAAAACTTGGATGTGGCAGGCTGCATGAACTGTTTGATGTGTGGTACAACATGGCCAAGTCACTGCTTCATGTATGCTCACCCGCAAAATCCTGTTTCTGTCTACCTACTCATATTACATCCCACAAGTGGCAGACTTCAGGTTTTCAAATTTCAGAGGTGCCCTGTGCAACACCAAAATTCAGTACCCCCTTGCCTCTCGCCTTCCATTCTAAGTCATTGTTGTGGTTTCCCCTGTGGCACCTTCTCAGCTTGGCACCCAGCGCAGGTGAACCAATCACACTCCCTTAAATCCGCCTCTGACCACACCAGTTAGATGCAGGCTGGTGCTAACCGTGAAAGAAATGCTTCAAAAAAAATTTACTTGCATAGTTTGACTTACTGGAAGCCTTCCCTGCACATTTAATTTTCTGTTTACCACTAGTGTATTTGTGGGTTCTTGGCAGGTTAGAAAGGCATCATGTAAAACCACACTGTTAAACATACTAATTTGCAGTGAACTTTGCTTAACTTCCTCAGTCCTCGGAAGAAAAGCGATTAATGGTAACTACTTCCGCTTGTTGAAAATTCTCTCCATTTTCTCTATTGTGATTGACACAATGTCATTTATTATGAAGTGAAAGTTTGTTTAATATTAGATTAATATTCAAGTTGATAATGTCCCCTTTACACATAAAGTAAAGGTCTTTGACAATACCTGATTTTTATTGTTGTGTTTTTTTTTAAAGTTCAGTGTATATTTTCTGAACTGATGGAAGAAGAGAAAGAAAGGGGCAATGGGTTTAAAGAGGTCTAGAATGGTAAGACCATATGGTCAGAGTCTTTAACAGCAGCAGCAAGGAGTAAGAGCTGAATATGGGGTGAAACAGTGTGGGCTTTCCAGCAGCCTGCATATCTGAAAAGAAAGGGGACTAGTGTTGTTCCTTGAGACTCAAATATTTAACAATTATATTTTTTTCAAGTTTCTGAAGTGCTTCAAGTGCATAGTGCAATATCTGCTAATTTTATGGTGCCAACATTAACTTCTTTTTTAGCGGGTGAGTTTATATACTTAAAATGGCATTTAAAAGTTGTTAAAGGTTTGAAAAGTTTTAAGTGCTGCCTTTTGGCTATGATAATGTAGCAAGATGTACATCAGTGTAATGTAATCCATGTGATTCAGTTTCACTATCTTACGTTCAGCGTGTTCTTGTATGCTAGGTAATGTAGCCATGTGATGGAAATACTTTTAATTAGATACAGTATAAATAAAACATTCTAAATTGGTTATAGTGTTGAAATGATGATTCCTGCAGTGGACAGGTCCATTGCTTTTAGTGGGTCTACTCTTGAGTATAGCTAAGGTTGGAATCCTAACCTCACATGCCTGAATGTAAGCTGCATTGAATTCAGTGAATTTACTTCAAAAAAGACATGGCTAGGATTGTAGCCTTAGTTGGATAGTGCCTTTAGATGCTCTAGGTCTCTTGAGTTTAGTTGTAAATAGGCGCTGAAGGCATCAGCAGTCAGTCTTCCTGTTCCCCTCTATAACCTTCCTACAGAGTGTTTGCTCAGCATTCAGTTTTGGCAGGGAACTAGGAAAACTTAGGTTTAGGGGAGGGTTTTTAATCAGGAAAAGTGGGAGCATACACATATTAAATAAGAAAGTATAGTATGCAGCATAGTCTTCTGCAATTTCCAAAAGATCCTTCTTGTTTATGGATCTAATCGTTCTGGAACAGGAGCTTTATAGCACTAGTCAGGGCTTGTGTGAAGAGGATGGTAAATTGCAGCATAAAGGAAAACTTCTTTCTTTCTTTTCCATCTTCCTGTAACATTTTCCTCTTGTGCTATATAATGCTAAAAGATTTGGGTGGACTATCATCAACAAACCTGATCAATTTGCTGTGTATCAGAGTGGTAGAAATGAAGACTATGTATTTTTAAAGGAGATGACCTAATTCGTATCTCGCAGGCTTAAATTATGAATTGGAACATAATTTTGCAGTACAGATCCTGGTTCAAAATGTACCAGCATGTGTTTAAAAATGTGCTTTAGGGTAGAAAGTTTAGGAATATGTACATTGAGATAAAATTCATACTTAAATATGAATATTTGTATGGACTTCTTTTTAAAATCAGATTAATGTTGAGATAGGACTGACCATACTTAAGAGTAAATGCATGTAAAATTGACCCAGGTCACAAGTGGACTGATCTATCCATCGTTAAAATTCGGGGGCTGGGGGAGGTTTCTGGAGAGGGAAAGAAAAATAGTACTACTTCTGCTCCTCCTTCACCTGAAACCTCCCTGTATAGTTTGGAGAAGAGCCTTATTTTAACCTCATGACAATCTTCTCCTTGACCTTAATCCCCCTAATTAATCCCAATTATAGAACGTTGAGAGCTGTTACAAGCTCACCCAGAACAATTTCCCTTTTTATCTAATAACACTCAACATTCTGTATCTCAGCTGCCTTCAGTATTCTGTAGGTCCTGGAAATTAAGGATTAGGTTCTTCTGGGGGCTTCCCCCCTTACAACTAAAAACATTTCTGCAAACCTAAAAAAGTCCCTTGTTATGAAGAAAGTACTGTCCACTTTTTGGATTTCCCTGTTTCAGTTCCAAACTGATAGTCATGAGGCTATGTAGGTTTGATTGGCGTGTGCTGCAGATTTTGGCCCCGGAAAGGGAGCAGGGGCAGGGTTAGGGTTAAATGTGCAAAAGTTGTAAATTACCTGTATCTAAAATATTGTTGTGGATATCTAATACTGAAAAAGGTTCTCAGGTGCTGGTATACAGCATTGTGACCTTGAGTTTATTGTGTTAGTCTCAGCATTTTGATCTATAGGTAGAACTAATAGTTATTTGTTTTTAGATTGCTTGGGAACATTTGTATTTTTTAATTAGTAGTTCTAGTTTAGCTGAGGGAGCCCTTAACTATTCTCTTGTTGTTCTGTCCCTTGTGTTATGAAAGAGAGTAAAAGTAATTTACATTTCATGATAACATTTGCTAGTGAATGAAAAGTGTACTAATTTGGATACATATAGTCGGAAAGGTTTGTAAATATTTTGAAGGAACTTCCTTAAAGCACATAATTTAGTTACTTGGAAGAACTCAATGCATGCTCAACTTATTTCACTTTCAGGTATGTCAGAAAACAGCAAGAATCCAGAAACTGTTGATGAACTTCACCAGGCTCCAGAAGAACTCCAGTCTGACTCTGAGGTGATTGGGTGATACAAGTGGTTGTAGCTATTTAAAATCAACCAATCAGTAACAGGCTCAGACTGGGGAGAAAATTGAACCAATCTCTTTTAATTGTTCTTGATTATAACAGAATATTATTTGTCAAATTCAAAACATGATTAACTGAAAACAAATTAATTTTTACATTTGATTTTGTATTGCCCCATTAAACAGTAAAGTATTCTGTCAGAGCATAGGAACAATAAGGATTTTATAGATAACCTTGCAAGTGTTCTTGTTGTCCCTTAGCTTCATTTTTGTCCCCACAGGTTTTTTGGTGGTTGGGTCCACCTGGTGCTTTTTCAGGAAAGATACACATGACAGACCTCTGTGAACTTATTGATCCAGATTCTTGTGTGTTTATAGAGAAATAATTAATAATAAGATAGAATCACAGATGCTAGATGGTTTGATAAGTCTTTCATCACTATGCCCTGGTACATAAAATCTCATAATAACCCCCCACTGCTGTTCTTTGGCAAGATCTAGCTGAAAAGCTTTCAGTCGGCCAGGTAGAAGACAGGGGAGATAACATACCCATCTCTGGTATTTGCACCCTCATAATATGGATCTTTGGCTACCACTTATTTTGAGATTGAAAACGTTGCCTAGTCTCATCCTGAATTTGAGAGACTATTACAGTTTCAGCTTTTGTTGTAAGGGCACAGTTTCCCCTTTTCGGGTAAGGAGCTTATTTGGTGCTTGAGTAACTTCTTGCAAAGTGTCCTATTAAGATGTGGAACACAAGAAAATGGCTGAATCCTGCTCTTAAGTCTGTCCTTGAACAGCTACAACTGGTGCAAAATGCTCCAGGCCACTTTCAGGTGATTATATCCAGTTGTTGCTGCGTCAGTTGTGCTAGTTGTATCTTTGGATAAGGACAGAGCCTTGTTGGTTGTGTCCCTGGTACTATGGCAAGCTCTGCATAGTGCAGTCCACCAGAGCTTACACCTGCACCTTTTAGAACAGTTGTGGGAAGTTCTGTTTTTCTATAAGGGGCCATACTCCCACTTGGTGCTGATCTCTTGGCAGCTGCATGTCAGTAGTGGGCAGGGACATTCTCTTTCTGGAATGACTCGATCAAGAGAAACACAAACATCAGGCGAAGGTGGCTGCGCCCAACAGAGTCTCTAATGAATTGCTTTTTAACTTGTAAACTGCTTCACATGATGGTTGACTGCGAATGTTGGAGGAAGAGTCTGTACATTGTAAAGAACCCTGTGAGTAGTGGCTACTCAGTGTTGGGAGTAGAGGCTTGGCTTTGTTTTATCCCGAAATGCAGCTTGTCCCCATAGGAAGGAAGTGTCATTCATTTAGGTGGGGAAAATGGACATCACCAGGGCAGTGGCAAAGCATGTCTCTGGTGAGTGCCCAAGGTAAGAAGGGAGAGAAGTCTGCCTGGCTGAATGTGGAGCACAAAAATCTTCCATGCTGCTTTCACTCTAGCAGGGGTCGGGTCCATCAAAGCACGACATTATGCATGGTCAGCCAGTGAGCTTCATGACTGAGTGGGGATTCAAATTCTGGTTTCCTTGGTCCTAAAGGGACTTGCTAACCACTACACTACATAAGTGTGTTTGGGATTGAAGCCAGTTCCATTGGACTCAGTGGGGCTTACTTCTGAATAGACATGTACTGACTGTAAATGAAGGAGGATGATGATGATGATGATAAATTTGTATACTGCCCCATACCTGCATGTCTCAGGGCAGTTCACAGGATAAAATCACAATATCAAAACACAAGAAAGTCCCCTTTCCACCCAGTAAAGTGAGATGTGATAGGAAGGGTAGGGCACTCATTCCTTCTTCCAGAAGTTCACTCAGCTTCCCTGCTCACTGCTGAGGAAGATAAACCTTTTCCTCTGCATCCACCTCAGAAACTACCAAAGCAGGGGCAGAGCAATCTGTCTTCCTTAAGCTCACCTGGCATCCCTCACAGACAGCACATGTGTTGCAGACCAGATTAAAAGTATGTGGAGGGGGATGAGGAGACTGCAGGCTACATAGGAATGTGCCATGGGTAAGTTTTGATGTTGAGTCAGACTTCAGTACAGTTTGGTGGTGTCTCCCTTTGGCTTTGAGAAAACAGGGAACACAACCCTAAATAAGCAAGACTTGTGATATAAAAGTATTTAAAATAATCATAGCTGGTTAAATTTTGACCTGACTGATGTGATTTTGGGCATTTTGTGTTTAGGCTTCTTAAATTTTAGAACATGGTGCTATTGCGCTGAATTGTATAGCTGTAGGCTCAAAGGCTACTCGTGCCTCCAGAGTCATATAATGCATTGCAGATTTTATAGTGTGTACTAAAGTTTTATGAAGTGTCTTTTAATTTGTATTGAGAAACTTTTTATTGTTTTTATTGTTTTTTGTTTTTGCATAGAGCAATGCTTTTGATTACATCATAGAAAAAGTATTACACCTACGGAAAGTGATGCAATACCTTATTTCCTAGCATGAACATAGGATTGCATGTTGTTGGCAGGTGGATTTTATTCAGGAGACATACATGATCAAAGAGAGAAGTACATAACTGATAGCCTTCTTTCTACAATCTGTGTACTGGCAGAAAACAGAAAAGATTTGTTTATTTATTGCATATATATCCCAACTTTTCTGTGGGCAGGATTCCTGCATTGCAGGGGGTTGGACTGGATGATCCTTGGGATCCCTTCCAACTCTACAATTCTGTGATTCTCTAAGGAGCTCAAGGTGGCGTACATGGTTCTCCCTTCTGTCTGTTCTATTATTGCAACAATCCTGTGAATTAGATTAGGCTGAGAGACTGTTACTTACCTAAAGTCACACAGAGAGCTTCATAGCCAACTGGGTATATGAAACCAACCGCAGTAGGTAAGGATTTTGCTAGCATATATAATGAAATCATGGTTCAGCATCAAGTGAACAGACTAGTAGAAGCCACAGAGAGGAGTGCCTTGGGAACTATTAGGCAGCATACATCAAACCATAGTGTGGTTAAAACTATGGTTTAATATGACGTGCAAACCATGCCATTGCTTTAAGAACTGAATGCTACATTTGATTGATGTGACCTGATCTGTTGCAAGGCAGGTCTGCTTGAATGACTATTACAATATGTCATAAATTGTAATTTATAGTTTACCCTTACCAGGCTTAACTAATACAGCTAGTGTCTTAGCACTTTCAGCACTGGTCACTCTGCATGATGTACTCTGTGGTGACTTGATTGGTTCAGGCTTTTACCACATAGTCATGTGGACTCTTCGTTAGGTCCTTCCACAATCTAACAAAACCCAGAAGATGCAGAGAGATACTCTAGCCCATGGGGCATATGCCGTTTTGCAAAGATGAGCTAAAGTTACAGATAATAGCTATGTGGTGTTTTCATATTACCGTATTTTTTGCTCCAGAAGATGCACATTTTTCCTCCTAAAAAGTAAGGGGAAATGTGTGTGCGTCTTATGGAGTGAATGGCGCTGCGCAGAGAGGGAGAGCTGCGCAGCGCCCCAGCGAAGCAGGAGGAGGAACAGAAGGGGCACCATTCCTCCTCCCGTTTCACAGGAGAGGCGCTGCGCAGAGAGGGAGAGGGTTGTTTATTAAATAGTTTAGTACAACATTTGATTCAGAATATTTTTTTTCTTGTTCTCCTCCTCTAAAAACTTATGGTCAGGTGTGTTTTACAGAGCGAAAAATACGGTAGCTTATACGTGTGCATTAGTCTTTTGATTTGCTTTCAGTACCTTATAAAAACAGATGCCATAGTTACATGAGTTTTGACTGATAAAATTGCAGGTGTTGTGTGAAAGAGGAAACAGTTTGCCCGTAAACTACTTATTCAGCTGTTTACAGTATCAAAATTGTACATCTGCTGAGATTAAATATATAACCTATTATAATACTCCAGTGTTAATGTGGGAACACCATGGGAGGTAAGTGAACAGCCGTTGGTTGGCCTTAGTCTTATGTACACTTCTATAGAGAAGCTGGGGAAACTAGAGTTTTACCTGGCACTGTGACAATCAGGTGTTTGATCAGATGCACTCATCAGCCTTACGGGCATTAATATTTGAGGCTGCACAACAAGAGGCAGATGACTCACATGCGGTGCAGTTCTCTTAAGTCCTTCTGTGAGCATCTTTTGATAACTGAAAAGGGTTGCCATGTACCAAAGTAAATATAAATATTATGCTGTTTGGTAATGTTAAGTGACAGGAATATCTAATGTACTGTGACTAGGAGGCAGAAGTTACTATGTGGGCCATCAGTTGTTTTTATGTGTGTCTAGCACTGGGGTGGGAGCAGACTGACCTGAACAAAGGGTACTTGATCTACTACTTGCTTTTTGTTTAGGAGACTGAATAATTTAACAAGCATGTTTCATAGGATCATTGTGTTGGGATCTGCAAATATCCTCTTTGTGGTTCAGTGAAATGTGGTAGTTTAGCGAAATAGGTAAACATTTAATATTAATATCATTTTATAACACTCAACATATTTCTCTTCAAACTATAGGAGTGTTCAATGGCTGAAGAATCTCCAAAAAATTCAGCAGCAGAGATTTCTGTGACAAGTAATGGAGAACTTGAAGATACACATGAGCACAACTATAACAGGGTATGAGGCATAACTAAGCAGTTTAACAATATGTATAATAGCAATGGTTTTTAGTGTTTGAGTTTAATATATTTTCTCAGCTAGTGGCTTAATATTTTTCATGGGGAGTGTTACTTTTTGAATGATGAATTTGCACATATTTAGATCAGCTCAAAATGGGGTTTTTCTATTGTTAGTTTTTTTAAAAAAAACTTTTTGCTTTTAAAATTATTTTTGCTTTAAAAAACAGAATTTGTGGTACTGTAAGTTGCCTGGTGGCATTTTGCATTGGGCAACACATATTAATATTAATAAATAATGATGGTGATGATAAAAGTATAGTGTAAATTAAATCTCTGAGCATTTTACTAATAATCAAATTAGATTAATGCCTGGAGCAAGCAAATTATAGGGTGAAAGTATTGCCTAGATTAATCTAATGTTCTCCTGCTTGGAGACGGCTTGCCAGCCTTTTGTCTAGAGATGAATATAGGTTTTATCCTTTCAAATCGCAAGATATGTTGCAAATAACTCTATAAAAGTAATAAAACATAGAAGAGTAAGATGCTGTAATGTTTTAATTTCTTGCAGTTAAAGTTATTTGTAGATTTCATTTAATATTTTCTAGAGTATAATTTGTTTTGATTGTTGGGAATAAGGAAAGTCCAATATCCAGGTGAATAAATAAGAGAATCTGAGAACGTATTAGACTGCTAGACTATTCAGGTTATTCTCTCCTTGTTGACTCCAACTTTAGTTGTATTTTGAGACATTAGCTTTCTGGGACTTGAAATATATGCTTAATTTCTATCAAGTTGTGGTGACCAGGAATTTTGCTTGGGTAGGTAGGGCTTGTTAATACAGGCAGGATGAGAATATGTGCCTGCAAGTACATGAGGCACAAGGCTTCCCAACCTCAAGCCACAAAGGGATGGGGAGGAGAGCAAGAGCTACATGCTTCAGCCACCACCCACCCACAAACACCTCCCTTCCAGCACCAGACTCACGGGACCAGTATGTTTTGCAAGCAAAGTAGGAATGTGCTGCCACCTCCCTCCAGCACCCGTTGATTATGATTGCTATTTGAAATAGCATTCCATTGATACTAACTGATGGGATCATGATGCCGTGTCAGTTTGAACTTGAGGATTCTGTCTTAACTGCTTTGTGAATCAGACAATTAATGTAGCTGCAGTGATTTGAGAGAACAGGAGGAAAAGAATATCTAAGTATTGCTTTCTTTGCTGAGAGTGATAGGGAGGTGTGGGAGCAAGTGGTGGTGGGGTGACTGTAAATGGCAGGATAGCAGAGTGTTGCGGCAGTCCTAGATGTCTGCTCAGAAGTAAGCCCCCATTGACTTCACTCCCATGTAAGTGAGTATGGAGTTGCAGCCTGAATTCTGAAGGTTTGTTATTGATGGGAAGGATGAAAAAAGGTTCGTCTAGGTGGCTATGGAGAGGCTGGTCAAAGTAATAAGTGATGAAAATCAGTGCTGAGGGTGTAGAAATCTTTTGCATATGTGTCCTTATTTTGCATGCTTTCTTTGAAGTTAATTATTTTTAACTTTCTTAGAATGTTTTCTGTGTTACTCCTTTTTGCAAAGAGCACCTTTTTCTGGCTGCAGGAGACCTACAAATATGGTGTGTGTTGGTTATTAGGGCTTATCTTCTGGATATGTAAAAGTATCATGCTCCCATTAAAATTATCCATAAGCAGGCTAGCAACTTTTGTTGGCTTATTTACAAGGCTGACATTGTTAAGTGAAATATTCTTGCCGAATAGGGATTGCTATTGTAAAATAAACACTGCATGAATAAAATGAAATTGTAACATACTTTTGTGTCCACTAGGGGCTGCTCTGGTATAGGCTGTGTGGTTTGAGGGATAACCTCTTTCAGACTTGAAAAAGTCTTATGTTTTATACCTGGCTGGTTGGCTGTGCCCATAAAATGTTTGTAGAATCATCTGCTGCCTCTGTAAAAGTAGGAGAGCACTTTCAACAACTATTGAGGGAGATCAGATCTATTAATTTTCAGAGGGGAAGGAACGTACCAATATGAGAGGATGTGGCAGGGCGTTTTCCAGTTTATTTAAAAGATTTTATAAAGCCTTGCTGCCACTTCATGTCAGTGGAGCTGCAATTTGCAGCCTAGCAGTGTTGCAATATGCTGCTACAGAATGGATCTATGGAAAAAATGGGGGCAGCCCTTCCCATTGTGTCATTCTGTGTAGGACAGGGGTCAGCAGACTTTTTCAGCAGGTGGCCGGTCCACTGTCCCTCAGACCTTGTGGAGGGCCAGACTATATTTTTTTTTGGGGGGGGGGAGAATGAATTCCTATGCCCCACAAATAACCCAGAGATGCATTTTAAATAAAAGCACACATTCTAGTCATGTAAAAACATGCTGATTCCCGGACCATCTGAAGACGATTGGGCCATATCCGGCTCCCGGGCCTTAGTTTGCCTACCCGTGGTGTGGGATGTTACAATGCTGCTGCTGCTGCTGCTGCTGCTGTTGCTGCTGCTGTTACTTAAAACGGTGCCAAGGCTTTTGATTGAAGGAAATCATTATTGCCTGTCTGTCAGAAGGATTTCCTAAACACAACTCCATGTTGCTCCCAAGTCCCTTGCATAGCGAAAGTAGTAGAAATTAATTGCTGCAAACTTGTATTAAGGTATTTAATTATGTAGACAGTGCATTGGAAAACAATAGCTCTTACCATCAGAAAGTTTTTTCTGATGTTTTAGTTGGAATCCTCTTATCACTTTGTTAAACTGGAAGCTACAAAATGCTTTCAAAATCTGTTCTTGAGTAATGCTGAATAGACGTTATCACATTAATTGCTGGAGTTCAAATGGAAGAAAGTATATGCACCCTTGAGTTCATTACTGGTAGCCCATTCAATGGAGTGGCTGGCTGGCAGGTCCCTCTTAACTACTCTTTAGGACAGGAAACCCAGCAGACTAAATTATTCTGCAGGACACACAAGTAAAGTTACTGCCTTGTGCTGTATAAATAATGTCAGGAAATTATCTTTGTCATTTGAAAGCTTGCATCACTCATCTTTGCTCATTTGGGAGCACTTGACATATTAGCACTTCTAGGTGTGCCCCACAGAGGATGGGAAATATTGCAGGGGGGAAGTTGGAAGGGGGTTTCATATGCCTGGTGTGTAGGGCAGACTTTCCAATAACTAATTCTGCACTGTGACCTATATATTGGGTTTTGCCCCCTTTTTAGAATTGGTTTTGGTCTATGTTACTCATTTAGTCACTCAAGGCTTCACAGCTGCCAAAAATGCAGTTTCTGCAGATTTTCTGACATGGGACTTTAGCTCCCAAACTCATTTTCTAAAGTTGTCAGAGCTGTAGGGCAGCACATTCCAGCATCTGACATTGGCATGGGGTCCAAGGGCCCCCTGGGAGACTCCTTACCTCCCCAGAAGCCGACTTGGATCCATCAGCCCCCAAAGGAGCAGCTACATGAATCTTGCTTCCCCTTCATCAGCCCCAGTTCTTCCCTCCATATTTGTAAAAGCGTTGTTTAGAGTATAGGATGTTAATCATTGTTTTATTGATTTCTAGAGATTCAGTTTCCCTTCTTTTTTGTTCTATGAGTTTAAGGAGGTTTTTGCTCCTGTTTGTAGTGTGATGAGAGGGTCATAATTTATTGTTCTAATTTACCAATTTTTGAGGTTTGTTTTTTAAGGTTCTCTCCTTTATCCAGACTCCTCTGGTGACCACTTTCATTGTGTCCCAGAGGAGGGGGTTATTATGTTGCCCACATAATTGTCCTTAAAGTAGCTTTGGAGAGTTTTCAAGAGACTCTCTCTAGCCAGTTGGTTTGTGATTAGGACGGGGCTAAAGGACCGTGATGGGGTTGTTTGTGTTTCTTCTCCTATTATAAGAGTAACTTCTACTGAGGTGTGCTCTATGATTTTAATGTTACCAATGTTTGTTGTTTCTACCATGGGGAACAGGCCTTGTGTGAGCTGAATTCTGTCCAGTCTGGACATTGTGCCATGGCATTCAAACTGGAATGTGTGGCTGGTGTCTTCTAGGTTCTTTTCTCCCTGGATGTCATAAAGGCCTCTGTTTCTTTGAATTTTCAGTAGCTTGTAAGAGTCTCTAATTGTTTGGGGTTTCCCACTGAGGAAGGTTGCCCATGGGGTTGTAGGATGGATGTCTTTTAGGGAGGTGCCTCTCATATTTAGGTTGAGGTCATCTCCTAGGATTGCTTCCCCTTTGGAGGAGGAGAGGAATTTGCTTAGTGTCTTTTGGATGAACTCTAGTTGTTTTGTGTTTGGGGCATTTATGGATCCATTTGTCAGTTTAGTTTCCCATCTAGTACCCCTTTAGCAAAAATGAATCTGCCTTTTAGCACTGTTGTGGCTTTAAAATTTAGGTCTCTACTGAGTACTATGACTACCCTGCAGACCTTACCTGAGCCAGGGGCCACCCATTGTTGACTGAAGCAGGGTTCACTCAGGAGTTTGCTTCCTGTATTTGTATTTCCTGTAGAAAGGCAATGTGTGATTTCATTGTGCTTACATACGAGGTGATGTGTTTTCTTTTGATAGGGTTTCCCAGTTCCCTCAAGTTTAGTACAGTTGCTTTTAAGCTAGCCATTTTGTATGTCTGTTATATGTGATGTTTTCCTGCCAACCCGTCTGGGTTGTCCTGTGTGTATCTCCCCTTACATTGTCTGTCAAACCTAGAGTGTTGTGCCGACATACAATGTGGGAGAAGGGGAGTTAGGGTTAGAGATGGGCTGAATAGTGGGGGGATATGTTATAGAGGGTAGCCTATATGTAGTTATATGAGTGTTTGTTTGGGGAAGCTTGGACCATTTGGATTCCAGCCTGTTGGTCCGGTCACCCATATTAATAACAGTTAAAGCTACAGGCAGCTGAGAATAGGCATCATTCATTTTTATGTTTCTTTGTGGATTTTGGTCATTGTCAACTCTGCATTTCAAAGAGTTGCCAGTGAATTACATTAAAGTGACAAAAGGTTGGTGAGAGAGTTGTCTATAAAGCAGGTGCCCTATTCCAACCAGGCCTTGAAAAAGTTACAGAAACTATACATGTTTTTTAAAACCTTTTAAAGCATCGAGCTAAAAATTGAGATATGGGTAGGCTTTTGGCATGGTTTTTTGTGCCTATTATGGTCATTAACATTGTGGTTTTGAAACTAATGCTGACAACCTTTCTCAATAGAGGCTGGATTTCTTGATTAGAGATTAAAGCCTTAATCCCTGGTGTTTGTTCATTGCTATAAGACTTTGGCACTTAGTTGAAAACAAGAAAATGTTTCAGATGTGCCAGAAGTTGGGTGTGGTAAGGGGATGAGAGTGACTCTAGGGAGGAATATTGTACAGAGGTCCCATAGAGCAGCATACTTCTATAGAGCATTAGCAGAATGGGCAAGTAACAGAATGATTCAGAAAACCGAGATTTGTACCTGGGAATAAAGTTGAGAAAGCCACTGAAAAGCAAATCTGGTTCATATCTTTGTCAAATCTTGTTGAGGGTATTTAAGGGGATTTACCAGGGCTGAGGGGAACACCATAAGTCAGCGGTCGCTCTCGCTCTCTCCCTCTCTCTCTCTCTCTCCCCCCCTTTAAAAAAACTAACAAACCCCAAACCACGCATAGTTTTCTTGTAGAAATAAGCATCCATACCAAAGGAAATCAGTGCCTATTCCGCCAGTCAGGGCAGTGATTGCTAGTCAACTGAAATGTAAGTTGTATTTCTGGCAAAAAAAGGGGAAATAAAAAATCCTACTTAGTTGATCAGCCTATGCAATGCTGGGAAATGTAGCAGGGTGTTAACTGTGTTTCTTAACCATACTGGGTGGCAGAATGCTACCTTTGCAACTTTCCTTATTTCTGTAAGTTAGCATGTAAGTTTCTGACTTTTAATATGAAAGCAGAATACATGCAGTGAGAAGCCTGGACTCACAGACTTCTATGATTTCAGCCCTGGTGTGGACAAATTAGGATGCAGCTGTAGGATTCATTTATACAATCAAATCTCGGTTCTCGAACGGCTCTGTTTTCAAACGTTTCAGCTCCTGAATGCCAAAAACCCAGAAGTAAATGCTCCGGTTTTCGAACATTTTTCGGAACCTGAACGTCTGACGCGGCTTCCGCTTGAGTGCAAGAAGCTCTTGCAACCAATTGGAAGCCACTCCTCGGTTGTCAAACGTTTCGGAAGTTGAACTGTCTCCCAGAACGGATTATGTTCAACAACTGAGGTTTGACTATATCCTCATTTTACTGTGGTGTAGTATTTCTTGAACTACTCAGCCATTATTAGTCATTATGTTGAGGAAATCTTAGCTACACTAACATACCACAGACATGCCAATGCTATTGCTACCAGAGGTAATGGCAAACCCTGGGCTAGAGATGCTTGTCTCCTTTAATTTTCATTATTATTATTATTATTATTATTATTATTATTATTAGCTTTTCATCATGAGGTCCCAGGATTGGTCAGCACAGTGTAAAATACAACATTGAAAACAGTTTAAAACAAATTGCAATCACAACTAGAGTGGGTTCTTGTTTCACCATAATTGTTTATATTGAGGTTTGTAAACCCACTTGAAACCATTTCCTATTTTGATTAACCAACAAGTCATGAACCATAGTTTATCAGTTCAGATATTTCACAAATCCAAAGTTAAATTTAGTTAATAGCTTGTCTAAATTGAGCCTTACGTCTTAGTCAAATGTAATGCTGCCCATTGTTTGACATTATGTGCATGAACCTAGAACTCTGCACTCCCTCCTTCCCCTGACACATGGCAAGTCCCTACCTCTGATACATGTTTGTCTTGGGGTTTGTCCCAGCTTACAAACCAAGCTTGATCCTAGTCTACAGGCAAGTGCAAATTACAGTTTACTTGTATGTATAAAATTGCAAGCTATAGTTTGCTGCAAATAAGGATTGAAGAAGAAAGCAGAAGCATGTAAGTCTGAAGTTTCTAAGGGTTTGTTTTGGCAACATCTAACTATAGCCTGCCATAATGTCTAACTGTAAACTTCTAAAAAACTTTTTAATTTTTTTTAAGGTAAAATAGTTCCCAATTTGGGGAATGGAGGGAGTTGGTTTTTTTTTAACCATTTCAAATACCTTCTGAATTTGATGCAAATCTCTGACATTTGTGTTCATTTTGGAATTGCTCAATCAGCCCTTGCTCCCAGGTCCTCTTTCTCAAACCTTCCCATAACTGTGGGTCAGTTGCATGGAGGACTGGCAACAGTAAATACCTTAGGCGTAGGACCTGGGCATACCAGCAGTTCCCTTTGTTGTCACTGAGCAGCGGAGGAAATGTAGCTTGCTGTGTGAAAACTCAAAATCTGGGGCATCTGCTGTCCCCTCCTTAACCAGGTTAAATTGGGGGGAAGAAGCAGTGGGATCCAAATTCTTGTCTAAGCCTTAATTCATGCTGTATCAGACCCAGGTTGGTTCTGAATGGAGCCCTGGGGACTTTGTGGCACTAAGTTGTGCTTGATACCACACGTTTTCCTAACATGCTGTTAGGGCTAGCTCAGTTTATTGATGAGGACAATGATAATAGAAAGCTTTTTGCTAGAAACTGTTACGTTTTATTATCATCTCATAACTATATTCACCAAATTTGGCTTGTTGAGTAAACTGTTGCAAGAAGTGGCTTCTATATGTAAGGTATCCCAAACTTAAGAGATATTCTCTAAGGCAGAAATTATAAAACTCTGTCCTAAATGTCCTAAACACATTTATTTAGAATGCAGTTGCATTGAACTTGATGGAACTCGTCTCATTCTTAAGCCTTCCAAATGGCAGAGGGATACTTGAAGTCAAAGCAAAATCCTTTAGGAAAGAAATTGGATATAAGTACTATATTGACCCAATCAAGGTGCATTCTAGACCACAAGTTATATTGCCCTCCCCAGTTCCTAATAGAAACCACTTTGTCCTTGTAAACCATTGGTATATAGCAGGCACATCCAACTCCCAAGAGACTGCGAACTACACCCAGTAGAGCCAAAGTTGTTGACCTTTTTTAGGGGGAGACAAAGCCAAAGTTGTTGAGCTTCTTTTAGGGAGGAATAGCAAAGCATGTTAGCTTTATTTTTGGGGGGGGGACGGACACCGCTCACCTATAACAACGATGTTTTCTAACTCGTTGGCAAAATACCCATTTGACACAACAAAGGAAAAGAGCAGTGGGGGGGCCGGGAACTTTCATTCCATTGTTTATCACTACTGCCGATCTATAGGGATCCCGCGGTGCACCACAGTCATCCAGGGATCGATCTGCTGGTTGGACACCCCTGGCATATAGCACCTGGTTCACAAATGTAAGTGAAATGTATGATGCAGACTGCAAAGCTGTACTGTGTTAAGTCATCATAATAGAATCTCATGACACCATAAACTAGATTCTAGGCTGTCAAATGCCTTGTTATAGAGGAGCTTGATAGGTTGTTATAATGCCTACAAGTTCCTTTATCTGGGATCTTTACATGGATTTCCCTTTTTATTCAAACATTTCTAAGGACTTGAAGCACTCAATCCCAGCTGGACTTGGTCTGTCTGAAACCCAAATTACATCGCATGGCTTCGACAGTACCAAAGAGGGAATCATTGAAGCTGGACCATTTCAAGGTAAGTAATTACTGATGAACTAAGAATATTTACTACAAATACATTAATGATAGAAAAGGGATTCTATGTAGTATTCATTGTTACTCATTTGTATGTTTAAAAAAAGAAAAAGCACTTTGGCCGGAGAATATGTCTATTCGCAATTCATTCAATGAATTTGTACATGAAAAAACTCTGCTGAGTTCTAAAGGCTAGTTCATGGTGGTGGTGGTGGTGAGATAAATAATGGTCAGTATACACAAAAGGGCTTGCCCTGTGGAGCAGCCCCCATAATGGAGCTGCCTCTGTTTCAAAGCAGCCCTAACATGAAATGTTGATGTACAAGTTTCAGTCTAGTTTCTCCAGTATTTTGTGTACATGTAATGTGTTGATCGAATAAGGATGGATTTTCATGGTGTATGTCCCGTTTTCAGGTCCCTCGTCATTACCCATGTCACCTGTTGTATCTCCTAGCAGCGCAGCTGCTAGCAGACTGGCTGAACAAGGGAGTGATTTAATTATGCCGAAAGGTATTCAGAGGTTTAAGCAGATAACACTCTTGCTGATACAATACTAACTCCCAAGTTAGCAGATAATTTGTTATGATTCCTTTACTTGCTATTGCTAAGCATAACAGCTGCTTTTTCATGGTTCTGTCACTTGGCAAAGTAACCAGTGCATTTTTCTTTCTGTATACTATCTTTCTTTACTATTAAACATGATCAAACAAATATTATCATCAGGAGAATGATTTGAGGAATGACCTTGCTACTGCAGTTTTCTCTTGTAGTGGTAGTGGTGTTCCATTAGTTCTCCATTATAACAGGAATATATAATTTCCAAGGCTATACCATGGACTGCTTGGCTTTGATCAAGTTAGTCTAGTGTTGGTACTTCGTTCTGAAAGGGTAGAGTATTTCCCAGGTCTATTGTATAAGGCAGCCTCCCCCATCCAGGTGCCATCCAGATGTTTTGGACACCTCCCATCATTCTTGGACATTGGCCATGCTAGCTGGGGCTGATGGCAGTTTAGCCCCAAACCCATTTAGGACATCAGTTTGGGGAAGGCTTTTGTGTGTAGGGTATTCTGCAGACATTATTTGAGGTATGATGAAGTTGAGAGTATGTGTCAGTGATCAGCACTGAAATCTCTAAATGTACCTGAGGCCTTCATGTTTTAGCCTTTTAAAAATTAGATTCATGCATGGTTGGAAATGTGAACATATTTTAAAGGTTATAGAAAGCACTTGCTATCCAGTAATTGTATGAGCCACTTAGAATGAACTGATAATACTTTGGTTTACAGCAATTTAAAATCTGCTTGCTTGTGGCTCTGCTGGATCATTTGCAGAAATCAAATGAATTGATACCTTCCTAAAGTTGCTATTGGTTGTTAATGTTTAGGTCATAGCCCAAACATGTTCCTACTGGATTGTTAGCTTTCACATAGCAAACATCTCAGGTTGCAGCTTTTAGAATTGCAGGAGATGGTGTGCTTCTTCTCAACATGCTCTATCCTGTATACTAAAATAACATCATCTGTGGGAGTCAACACCATCCTGACAGTTCATCTTTGTACTAGCAAGCTGCAATGCCACACATTTTTTTTTAGTTAGCTATGAGTATTGCTATGAAGGAACATATCATAAAACTGGTATAGGTGAGGCATATGTTGCAATTTGGAATGTTTTCCAACAATTCTGTGCTTGTTTCTGGTGGGTGTTTGTAAAAAGAGCAGACTTTATGCACTCCCTATCTGCAGTTCAATGCCACTAAATATAGAGTGCTGATGGTAACATTTTAAAATTCACAGCCTTGCTTGCAATTCTTTTACTAACTTCTACTTATGGCTGGGTTCCACTGCTCTCTTGATTTTGAAGGTCATGGTAAAAAATCATTTCAAAATTATTGAGATGCCTAACTGAATCATTGCATGAATTTGGGATAATAATTCTGATTTGGAATATGGTGCGCTAAAAAAGCCCTCTGGTTGACGAAACTGTAATGTGGCTGCTTTCTCTCCTCTACCTTGCAGTGTATTTGTAGTCATCACTAGAGTCACTTTAGAATCACTGTGTGATTCTTCACACATGTCTTCAGAGCATCAAAACATCTGAATGGGGTGATGCATCACATGCAAACACATGGTAGGCACATCCTAGGTTCACCACAGCTCACAGCTCAGAAAGACATCTGCTTTAAAAAAATTGAAGCCTTCTTGAGTAATGGGATGCTATAGAAGTTAGATGGGGTTGCCTCTTCCCTTGACAACAGTGAGCAGCACTCAAGCATGCTGTACTGGTATTTAACTGTCAGAGCTATTTATTTATTTATCTATCTGTATATTAGTTATAGGGAAGTTAATTCTGTCTGCATATCTTTTTAAAAGTGAAATGGCATAGTTACTATGTCATGTAGATGTCCTCTTGTGACTTGATCTTGCTCCTCTCAACTCTGAAACAAGTCCCATAGAGTTCAGCAGACTGGCTTCCAGTTAAATGTGTGTAGGCTTGTAACCATAACTGCTATGCAGATATTTAAAAGAACCAGTCTTCGTAAGCTTTACTGCAACATATGCCTTTAGTGAAAATACAAGATACTGCATGTTTTCCACATGCTGAGAGAATTGTTAATTCATCAGTGTACTTGGACATCAGTTCATACTGTGAACAATGCAACAGCTGGCAAATGCAGTAATTAATTGAGTCTGCTTTGTAGCATTTTCTAATATCCTGTTCATAAAAGTATTTTAAAGCTTCTTAATTAAGATCTCCAAATTACTGACTATTGTAACTTAAATCCAAATACCCAAGCAATCTTATTCTTTAAGGTTCACCATAATATTAACACAGAGATTAGTGTGCTATTCACTTCAGAATGAAGCGGGAAATGCTTTACTTTGTAGCTTTCTGTTTAAGTGGCACACTTCAGCATGCCTATTTACATCTGGTTTCTAAACAGGCAATCTAAGAATGCAGCAGAAAAGTGGACCAGTTGTGCTAGCAGAGGAGGCGAAGAACCCAGCCATGGAAAAACTGGAGCTTGTAAGAAGATGGAGCCTAAATACTTACAAGGTTTGTATTTCATAGTTGCAGTTTAGATCCCACAGATGCAAGCTAAGCATTCTCTCTTGGCCTGTTGGCTAAGAGGAAGCACTGTTTCCAATGCTTCAAATGTAAAAGGATTTGGCGGTTTACCAGAATTAGAAGTCTTAAGAGACTGACGTGCATTTTGAAAATTTAATCTCCTTCTGCTACAGTGACCCCTTGGGATGAAGAGAGGCTTTTGGAATAGTGACATGTAATAAGGAACCTAATTTGTTTTTCTAAAATTTACTTCTTCAAGATTATTTTGAGTACTGTGTGAACTTCTTAATAAAGTGGGCTATTAAGTAATTGCTTTGAAGTTATTTGAATTGGTCATCTCCTAATAGAACTGCTGAAATTGGCAAGAAATGCAACACGTGTGTAAGATTTACACACAATAAGATCTCGAATTTCATTGTTATGTGTGCTGCTCATTATGTAGTCAGTAGATTTTAGATTGCAAAAGAAGGGGCAGTGTGTGTTTTAATGGTGCTGTTTTGTGCTTAGGGTGTATAATTTATTATGTCATTTTGCAGCATATTTCAGCTTAGGAAAATGTAGTATAAGTAACCATTAATGGATTTCTTCCTCAAATAGCTAGTTCAAAGACACATTACATCTTTCCCATATGTATGTGCTCCTCACATGGAGAAACTTAATGCGCCTGAGCTCATTTATAAATGAGTGACAAAATGTGTCCATGGGCTAACTGTGATTACCTTGCCCTCAGCTTTGTGCACCTCGCTTCTGCATGTTGACATAGCATGTTAAGGGTGATCTGCATGCGTTATTTCAACAAAGTTTAGGCTCACATGCTTACATTCCCTCCCTCGTTTTCTGATTCACAGCGGTTACAGTATATAAATGCCACTTTCAACATGGGAGTGGCTAACTGGCTATATCTGTGATCCATAACTTCCACATTGTTTTTTCCATTTACATGTATACCTATTGAAAGTTAGAATTTCTTTCAATGCAGAATCAGGAATTTGTATTGTTGCGTGAACTGGTCCATATGGAACTTGGTAATTTTAAGCAGGTAGTGAATTGGCTCCCTGCTCTCAGAGTCTATTATGTGCATCCCAAATCATTCTGTGCTTTCATGTTTGATCATTTTTGTTGATGGAAAATTTTAAGAATTATGATTGTTTCAAAACTTGCCCCTGCATTTGCTCTTGATCATGCTTTCTGTTTATCTGTTCACCATTTGGCTGCCTCATCAGTTGCTTAGGACAGTATTCCTCATTAAAGTTCCTGCAACTTTAAAAAAAATGCAGTGGTTTCTTTCTTTCTTCACATTTCATTGTGGCCCTGTGCTTGGTTTACTATTCAGAGTATTGGTAAGTTTCTTTGTGTGTTAAGCCCACACAGAAGATTGACTAATACTAAAATCTGCTCTCTATTTTTCAGGATGAATTGAAATCTTTTTAATGAGCTTTTTCAGTCTCGAATGGCTACATAGCAGCAGTAACCCAAAATGACACTTTTACCCTTTAATCAGAAAAATACACTTGTTCTTTTTTCGCATACAGAACCAGTATGAATTGTACTAGCTTGCTCTAATTGGCTTTTCACAGAGTTAAGTGAGTGGATACATACTACAGGGATCACAGATCTACTTTTTAGAGTTCTAGATCAACATTTGAATCACTAGTGTGGTGTACTCAGTATTTTAATATAATTTTTGGAGTCCTAAACAGGCTACGAATTGTGAAGAAAGCTTCTTGGGTGTGTTTTATTTATTTAGCAAAATATTTATGCTGCCTGATTGTAAGAAAATTGTAATTTTACACTTTGTTTTGCAAACTTTGCAGTGTACTCGCCAGATTATCTCTGAGAAGCTGGGTCGAGGCTCACGAACAGTAGATTTGGAATTGGAAGCTCAAATAGAAATACTGAGGGATAACAAAAAGAAGTACGAGAATGTCCTGAAATTGGCACAAACATTGTCCACACAGCTTTTCCAGATGGTGAATACCCAAAGACAGCTGGGAGATACATTTGCAGACTTGAGTTTGAAATCATTAGAACTCCATGTAAGCATTTAATTGCAATAGAAAAATAGTAAAGTTACAGGAAAATTGGAAATGCCTCCATTTGTTTAGTCTAATTTTTAGTACGATTGCCTGATAACAGATAGCATAATTTTAAAAAAGAGAACAGCATGAATTGTTGCCTTGCATGTTAATCACTAGCTTTCTCGCTCAGTGGGGCGGGGGAGCCTTTTTGACTTATCAGGTCAGATCACCTGAAGTTACAACTATTTCAGTGGACACCATCTCCCTGCCTAGAGAAAAGAAAGGGGATGGACAACTGAAATTGCAGCTAAAATGGAGCAAAAGTATCCCTGACCAGGAAGGGAGTTCGCATTGAAATCCCCAGCAGGGTTCAACTCCTTGTGCATCCTGATTTCTGCAGGGTTCAAATGTGCAAGCTCGTTCCTGGGGTGGGGGGTGGGGAACCTAGCTCATGCACTTGAGCCCCACAGGATTAAACTTGCCAGACAAGAGCCGATGTGCAGATATTTTGGTCCTGCATTCCCTAGGGGTTGGCTGTGTAAGCAGCTGATCCAACCATGTCTCCACCTGCCCCACATCTAACATCACATGACATCAGTTGTGAGGCATGTGGGAATGGTTTTGGGAAATGGCTTCACAAGCCAAGTGGGGAGGCCTGGCAGCCCAAATCTGGCACATAGGCCAGGGTTCCCCATGCCTACTCTAGCTAATCTCTGCACATTTGTTTCAATTTTTGCAATAAGCTAATTTAGGGCAGAAGCTGTACCTATTTGTGCTTAATGTTAAGCCATGGTTTCTTATACAAACCGTGAGTTATTCCACAGATGATCAGACAACAGTTTCTTGCTTTGTTTTTCAGCTGGTTTTGCCTTGTGCCTTTGTAGTTTGGTGATCATTTGGGATGCAGTAGCCCAACTAGCCAATAATGCTTGAGTGTTTGTGCATTACACTAAGCCATAGTTAAAACAAATCAAGTTCATAAGCTAAAAATAAACCATGGCTTCAGATGATGATTTGCTGGAAGTAAATGAACCATAATTAAACCACTGGGTATGATTTGCACGTATTAGCTAAGCCATGGATTAATAAAATTATCGTAGTGTTATGTACAAACAGGACACCACAATTTTTACCCATAGAAAAGCCATTCATTCCACTCTTAAAATGATTATAGACTTGTGGCATATAGAATAAAGTACTTACAAATGGAGAATTCAATTTTGTGAGAGAAGCTAATCAGTAAGCTAACACAGGCTATTTTAAGGCTTTGAAGTCTCTTGATTACTATGAATAGTGTCAATAATTTGGCGTTTAATAGATAATGGAAAGTTAAGCATTCAAAAACACTGTTATATTTCCAATCTCTTAACAGGAGGAATTTGGATACAATGCAGATACTCAGAAACTTCTTGCTAAAAACGGTGAAACTCTACTTGGGGCAATTAACTTTTTTATTGCTAGTGTGAACACTTTGGTGAACAAAACTATTGAGGACACGTTAATAACCGTGAAACAATATGAAAGTGCCAGGTAATGGATTATACAATATTCTCTGATGTCTTCCTGAAGTATGTAGTTTTAACACATAGGCTAGTTGTTGGTTGAATTTTGAGTTTAGATATCATTAAGACATACTGTCCACAGAAACAAATTCAAATATACAGTCTGAGGCATTTTTACCCCGCTGTTTAGCCCGAAAGCCCTCACCAGCTTACATGAGATCAATAGCAAACAAAGCAGTCCCTGCCCTCGGGCTTAAGACATGACATAAAAGGAAACAGGGATGTGGAGGGCAGGTGAAAACTACCCAACTGATGCACCAGTTATAAATTTATAAGTATGTCAGGAAACCATATTATGTAGCTACAGCCTTTTTCATACCTTTTCTTTCTGGTCCTTTTCCACTGCTGAAGAAGCAAGCTGCTGTTCATCTTCGAAATTAATCTATTTGAGGGTGTGAGTTGATGTGGGGAACATTTCAGAGAAAGATCTGGCTATGCCATAGTTTCCAGTACTTGCTTGTAAATGACTTTATTTTTATCTTACTCATTTAATATATACCACTCTGTACTGAAGACAGTCTCTATACAGTTTACAAAATAACAATTACAATACAATACAAGACAAGACAATGAATACTGAGAAATTACCATATAATTCACTGCCATAAAACATTAAAAAAAAAAAAGCAGCAAAGCTACAGATTTTGAGACATCTTTATATAGAGTTCAGCCTCCCTCTTGCCAAGGCACATTCCGACTCAAAAAATGAAACACTTACCCCGTTAACACATACACATCACACACACATTCTGCCTGTATTTATACAAATCATACATCACCTACTACTCATTCAGTACTACACACACATCCACCAGTACACACAATCACTCTCCCACTCAGTCACAACCGCTATCACCCGTCACTCCTTCCACTCAACAAAAATGTACTGCAGAAGCACCAGGAGACAATGAAACCATTCACTGACAGAACCACATAAATGACACTACACATTGCCACCCATCCGTCACTCAGAGATTCGCTGTTCCTGATAGCAATCTGGCTCTCACCCGGATTGCTCTGTCTCACCCAAAGATGTGTTGAACAGCACACACCCCTCCCTGGTACTTCTTTCTGTCACCAAAGGGCCCTCAGACAATTAAACCCATGCAAGAGGCATTCCAAAAGGCAAAACTTGAAGAAGGGGTGCTCAGCCTTGCTGGTTCTGTAGCTCTCTGGGTGGATGGCAGTCATTAGCTGGTTCCACACTTCCTCTGCAGTTCTGCTCCAACAAAATGACTCCCGGGGCACCCAGTTGCAAAGTCGTAAAAAAGTCAGTATCTCCCTCACAGAGTGCTATAGTCTCATTGATGAGGGGAAGGGTAGAGATCAGTCAAGGGTGGAAATGCCATCCATTATTGCTTAAAAATATTCTAAAGCAAGGGTGGGAAACCTGTAGCCCACAGGCCAAGGTTGGCCTCCTAGACCTCTCTATTTGGCCTGCTGAGCCATTTTCCCTAAACCACACCCGCCATTGGAGCAGGTATCAACATGCCTACAAAGTAATAATTAGGAGCTTAAAGTTTGCTATTGATTTTTCCTCTACTGGAGAAAGGTGTGCTCCCGCCACTTGTTGGGTGCGCCTTGCTCATACAGCACCGAAGGTTTGCATTGAAACGCTGTTAAAATGAAGCTTGTTCTTTGCATTTTAGCAACAGTTTCAAGGCAGACTGCTTGGTGCTATAGGAGCAGCAAAGCCCCACATACTGTGGTTCCCAAGTGCCCAACAACCAACTGGCTGTAGAGTGCTTAGGAAGTGCTGTGCAATGGACTTTCATGGGTGGGACAGCCCACCTGCCAGTCTTCAATCATAATGAAGTCAGGTGATTGACAGATGGGTTGTACTATCAAAGCTGGCCCATGTGGTTTGGTCAGATAAAGATCTGGCTCATCAAGCCAAAAAAAGTTTGCCACCCGTGTTCTGTAGCTTACAGTATTGCAAAATACCGTGCATGCTCCCATGAGCATTATTGTTGAAACCTGCAATATGAATGCTATCTGATCTCCCCTGCTCATTTATAACCAATTCCTACCAGGCACAGAAAGTGGAACTATTTGTAAGAGGCTCCAGATGACAAAATAAAAGATTTTAGCTTCCCCTATATTATCATACATTTGTAATCTTTTGAAAACATCTGTTACATGTATTGGTGAGACCCAGGGTAGTGTGAGAAGAGCAATAGATTACTGTTAAGTAAGCAGACAGACTTATTGGTTATCACTCTGTGATTACTTTGGTCCATATCATATTCCCAAATGGGAGCCTTTGTTCCCTTTTTCTGATTGCAATAACTGATACCTGGGTTACTTACATGGACAGGGATGATATGTAAGCCTTTAAAATGGGGGGCAGAATTGTATGTGTTTCTATTGCTCCATGCAAATATGCACAGGTCATTTTAATTATTTCTTCTTCTCAGGATTGAATATGATGCTTATCGCACAGATCTAGAGGAGCTGAATCTTGGCCCACGAGATGCAAACACATTGCCAAAAATTGAGCAGTCGCAACAACTATTCCAAATACATAAGGAGAAATATGACAAAATGCGCAATGATGTATCAGTTAAATTGAAGTTTTTGGAGGAAAACAAGGTAAGGAACTGCATTACTTCCTAATTTGCTATATACTTGAAATTCAACTTTGCATTATCAGCTATATATTAGATCACGCAGTCTATTGAATTTGATTATTTCTGTCTCTTTTCTAAACTATTTAAACTTCTGGCAGGTAAGTACTAGAATAGATTTGAGTAAGAGCATTAAATCCGATTCTTTTTCTATTCTTAACTCCTTTTTGTTTTTCTTGTTTGTGCGTAGCACGACACCTTAAAACTATTTCAGTGCCATATTGACAACAAGGGGTTGATAATGTACCTGACTATTCATGAGGACCCTTGGAGCCCTTGAAGACAGATAAAATCAGGGCTCAACTGATTATAAAAGTTCACCACTGTAAAGGGAGGAGTGGAACGCTAACCCTGCTGGTAATTTTGGCTGCTGAGCTACAGTGACATGAACACAAGTTTCAACCCCTGCCACTGATCGATAGTCTAGCAGAAGTATGTAATGAGCAGCCACAACAATTAACAGTCCTGCTTTACTGCAAGGGAAAGTGTGACACATACACGCCTTCTAGAGGTGATATTAGCCCCCTCAGTTCTGAAATAGTTGTCATATTTGGTGAAATTAAAATGATTTATTGTCTGGCAAGCCTAAATTTTGCCAGCACTCTTCCCTTCCTAGAACTGCTTTTGTTTTGAGTTCCAAATTAGATTGCAAATTCATTTTTTATCTGAAGCTTGAGATGTCGTCTAACGTTGTATGCTTACTTGCTTCAGTTTTTGGAGAAAAGCTCAGAACATGAACTGAATGTTTCTCTTTCTGACATTAGGGTATTACTGGAAACCAAACTCTGTAATTTTGGGTGGTTGGTCAGTGTTTGCTGGCCAATATCATTGAGTTCCAGTTGCAGTACTACCATTAGTAGACCTCTGTTTCCTGACCAAATATGTCATTTTGGCTAAATATGTGGAATGTAACAGCTATAGCTATTCTTGTTAACATATAAGTAGTGTCGATTGCTGTCAGAATTGGAGTACAATGAACTTCTATACAAAAAGGGGCCAAGACTTTTTTTTATTCTCTATTTGACAAGTAGCTGTGTTGGGCAAAGGCAAACCTCCCAAAAGATTTATTTCATGTGTAATAGCCCACTGATTAAAAGTGCTAGTTTGAAGCAGTAGGACAACTCTGTAATGAGCCACTATCTGACTGGTTAATAGTTCTATTTGCACCATGTTAAGCAGCAGTCTGGTACCTACCACATTGAAGGTACATATATATATACTTCTAAGAGAGTTCCATATTTATACCTGTTGTGTTGGCTCCTTACAGGGAAATGAGTGGCAGAAGCTGTGTGCAAGCTGTGACTGATGTGCATGGGTTGAAAGGAGGGGAAGGTGGAGACTTCATCCTATGGACTGAATGTAGTTCTGTAATATTTGTGAGATAGTTTACTTGAAATGCTGCAGGTTTCTCCTTTGCATCATTTTCAGAAATTTGCTAAGGATAGTAATTTGAGGGTCAATAATTTTTATGCTGATTGTCTTTGAATTCTGTCACAATGACTTCATTAGCTATAGACACCCTAAGGGGAAGGAGGTTTGGCAGCCATTCAAATGTTAAGATAAATTGATATCTTTGCTCTCTTCACAAAAAATAAAAAGCTGTACTGACAGTGTGCAGTGGTAAGTGTCTGTAAGATGTCAAAAACTCTTTTGACAGTTAGTAGCACTACCTGTTATTCTAGCCTAGTCTATGTTTGCACAGATTGCACCTTATTAAATGTAACCAACAATATCCACTCTTGTATAGATCTCTGCACATTTTGAGTAGCAGAATATTCTGAAATGTCATCCACATCTGGTGTAAATAGTTTTGCCATGAAGCAATCTGTGGCAGTGATGGAAGGTCCTGCTGGGATCAGCATGCTTCTGTTTGCACACTAGTGCTTCCATAAGTGCCTCATATAGTATTTATTCACTGTGGGGAACAGCAAATTCTGGTAAGCTCCCCTTGGTTTTGAGCCACATGCAGGCAAAAGTCAGAGGAATTTATGGCACCCAAATTGGGGGGGGGGGTCATTTTCTCTTGGAAATCACTCTTCTTGATTTTGTCTATTTGTAACCATGAAGCACTACTTATGTCTGTGGATTAGTTTTGGACATAGCAGTCCCCTCTTCCTTCTCTTCCATACACACAAGAAAAAGATCTAAAATTTCTTCTGCTTTAGAGCATGCATGGAGAATCTCCAGCCTGTGGGCATAGTTTGACCTGGCATGGATCCCAGTATGGCTGTTTTCCCCAAGCTACGCCCTCCTGCACCACACCTGACATCATGTGGGGTTGGTAGAAATGTAGCAGCCAAGGAACAATTGGGAGCCTTAAAGTCCTTCCGGTCATTCCTTGGCAAGGAATGCTCACTGTTGGTGCCAATCATTTGATCAGCAGTAACAGCATACAGAAAGCTAGATGTCAGGGGACAGGATTTTAGCCTTCTCCCAGCTTTCCTCAGGGACATACCTGCTATTTGAGATTCAAAGCTAATGATTCAAAGTTGTGGCTAAGAAGAAGCCTCTAAATATTTGATACTGAAAGATAGAGGAATATAGGAATATAAATAATTGCCTGAAAATAATTTTGCAGGCCTCTGGATTGTAGTGAAATCCACTTCTTCATGGGAAGATTTGAGGGAACATAATTGTTTTGCAATATCCTGTTTTTGCACTGCGTTGATCTTAGAAGGGTGTGTGGGAGCCATGGGACCTATAATTTTCTCCCTTAAGTTGCTGAGTTCTATACCATACACTCCTTTAAAGCACCTGCGTCTCCAAGAAATAAATGTAAAGTGTTAAAACTTCAGGACAATGGAACTTCCAGAAGATCTGTCATCTTAAATAACTATATGTGGCATGGCACACAGATCTTTTAGTTTGAGGTTACTTCAATAATTCAAAAATGCATTTAAAAGCCTTTGCTGTCTTCTAATGATGGCATTAGTAAAAGATAAAGCTACAGTTATAGCAACATTCATAAAAATGTGCTCTGTCCCATACATTCTCAACAGTTCTGAACATTTTGAACACAAGCTAGTTTTATAGATGTGCGTTTAGCGTTCAAATAGTAAATGAAAAAAGCATACATTGTTCCTTGTTGCCACTTCCCTTTTTATAGAAAGTATTCAGATATGATGGGTTGTATCCTATGCTTGCACTACAGAACTTTCAGTTTTGCTCCTTCCCTGCACCCAAAAAAAAGCAGTTCTGGTGGACCTCCAACGTTTGGAATACGATTTTGGGGGCTTTTATGTTTTCTTTTACATCAGTGTTGCTCTATTGGTATGTATGAGTATTGCTGACTATTATGGGCTGCCATTAAAAGTATTGTGAATTATAAGCAAATACATAAATCTAACTCAAAACACTTGATTTTAAAATTCTGTTTAGTCAGTAAAATACAGCAATGTCTAAGTGTGCTGTCTGAGTATTGTAATCAGATGTTCATATTATTTTAAGTGTGTCCATCCCACATAGTTCACCCACGAAGTCTGGTTTCCCAGCCTTTAGTTGTAAACACCCAAAAGACTGAATAGTAGAAGAAGTGAACAATGAACAAATGGTTGCCATACAGCACTGATGCCTTTTTTCACATTGGCTTTTATTTTGATGTGTTGCAAGATTGCCACTCTATATTTTTGCTTATTAAAGGGAAGGAATATCAATTGAGATCGTATTTGTTTGCCTTGTAGCAAAAGTTGCTGCAGGGAGCCCAAATGGTAACTGCTACAGTTAACTGATGTAGCATATTTCCTTTTTTTTTTTTAATAATATTTATTAAAAGTTCAAAGGATACAAAAATTACACAAAGACAAAAAGTAAAAATACAGAAAGTAAAAGTACAAAAAAATAGAAAATACAGAAAAAAGAATAAAGAAAAAAAACAAAACAAGTTCATTTATTTTCAGATCCTTAACTGTCATTGCCTTCTTTCTTAGACCTCCTCCTCCTCCCTTCCTTTGTATTCTAATTATTAATTATCCCAGCAAATCCTTTCCTTTCCATGTTTCATAAAATTCTATCATTACATTACCCTCGACTAATTTAATCCTATCTTTCTATAATAAAATAAACCTTAAAGTTTAAAACTTAAGTCTTAGCCTTACCAGCTTCTTGTGATCATAATATTCTTTCATAATTCTTTATGCATCTTTACTAAAGCCAGGTAATTTCTTCCAACATTTTTCTATCATTCATCAATTTTATAAAACATTCTAATAATAAAGAAAAAAGAGAGAGAAAGATATAGACAAGTCCAATCTTTATCCAACGTCCCTTCCTCCTGGTTCCGGGATTTGTCAGTCCTTATGATGTAGCATATTTCCAGACGTTCTGGAGCAGGCATAGGCAAACTCGTCCCTCCAGATGTTTGGGACTACAACTCCCATCATCCCTGATGTTAGCTAGGGATGATGGGAGTTGTAGTCCCAAAACATCTGGAGGGACGAGTTTGCCTATGCCTGTTCTGGAGGGATAGTCATGTTTTTCTGTTGTAGCAAAACTAAAAAAAGACTTGTAACACTTCAAAAACTAACAAATTTATTATGGCATAAGTTGTGGATCAGATTCATGGAAGTTTTTGTCCTAAGCTAGAAGATGTGTGGGGAGAGAGAGAGAGAGAGAGAGAGAGAGGGAGAGAGGGAGGGAGGTAGGTAGTTCTGGAGGAAACAAAAGTCAATTTTGCAGAGGTGAAATAATAACAGAAAAGGATGGTAGTACTGCTAAATTTTAAGAATATCCACGGATCAAAATTGAGTATGTATGTGAAAAGATGAAGCAGACGCCTCTCTTACAGGAGTCCACAACTTTTATTTTACTAGTCTCCTTCAGGGGTTTCCACCCATTCAGTCATCTGCAGCATTTGTTCTGCTCTTCTGGACATATCTGATAGAAATTCATTCTTACTGTTTTCACCTGAATGGTGTCCATTGTCCCTCCTGGACACTTAGATTGGAATATTCAGCAATGTCCTGTGAAGAAAGTGGCAGTCCATTCCCCTTTTTTGTTATTTATAATTAAAAACCACTCATCTATATGTAGCATCATTTGAATTATGTGCTTTGTGCTGTTGTCATTTTGAAGAATGTCTGCAGATGTAGAATGTTTGGCCTACCTCCTGATGATGGTAGCTTGTTGGAAGATACTTGACATAATCCAGGGTGTGCTGTGGCTTAAGAATTTAGGATTTTTTAAACTCTGAAGCTCCAAAATTTTTGGGTACTCTCTTTGCCTCCATACACTGCACTCTTGTTTTCCTCTCATATCAACAGCTACTGATTCCACATCTGCACAGCTTTTTAACTGTGAAGAATGTTGGAAAACTATTTGTTTGTTCTTAAAACTGGAACACCTTGGGGTTAACCTCTGATCATCTTCAATATTCAATTACATGCCTTTTCATCTTTAACTTTATCCTTGTCCACAGGTGAAAGTATTGCACAATCAGCTTGTTCTGTTCCACAATGCCATTGCAGCATACTTTGCGGGGAATCAAAAACAGCTTGAACAGACTCTTAAACTATTCCATATCAAATTGAAAACGCCTGGAGTAGATGCTCCATCCTGGCTTGAAGATCAGCAATAGGACCACAGCATGAAGATCCCTTGATCAACCAAGAATATTGTACACCTAATGAGAATCAATGAATTTGTATAAGGAGGACTGTTTGTAATGATACTTGCACAAGCAGCTTTAATTTCCCCCTTGATAATAATTACTATAATAGTTTGGGAGGGTGGATGGATGTAACCAAATGTAACTTGCCATTTCAGAAACAGATCTTTTTTGTATTTGAGGGTGGATGGTTTTCTGTAGTAGGGAAATATAGATTTGCACTGACAAAGATGTTCGTGATCTCCGGTAATTGTGGTGGCTAGATGAGAATTTTTTCAAAGGGAGATGCTCATGGTTTGTATCAACATCAGATATTTTATATAAATGTATTAAGCTTCTCTAAAGATTCTTTTTTCATGTAAATGTGTTAAAAGAATAAATGTTTTACAGAGTAATAATATAAGGAAGGCCTTCAAGCAACATCCACAAAATATCAGTGGCTGGCTGATACGTGGAATTGCAGCAAATAGCTTTTTAAAAAAATGTTGGATCATTCAATTTTGTGGTTCAGAAACACTAAATATAGAATTGCCCTCTTGGTCTGAAGCTTTGAAAACACATTTTAGCATTGTAAAGATGAACCGTTGGAGAAGCAGACCATAGCCCTACTTCTTTAATATTTAAATGTCTATTAAAAACATACCTTTACTTGCCTTAAATTCAGAAGTGCCTTTTGCAACACACTTTGTACCCAGTGTACATAATCTGTAAGAAACCCTCTTTGGATTGATGACTTTTTAAAGAGACAGTCTGAGGCCAGTCTGGGTTGTGTGTGCTTCTGTTGAACGGCAGACCATGTCACATGACTAATATGACTGATTGTTTCTTTTCTCAATCAATAGTGTAACCTTTATTAAACATACATTTCTGTTCTCTTATAGCCTTTTAAAATTCACTGTTATGGAGCATCCTCAATTGCACATTATCCACGGCTTTTTGTGTTTATATAAATGAAGTAAAAATAACTTAACACAGTTTATATGAATTGTACAATTATGTATTATATGTTGAAATGATTCAGTTGCTTCTTTAAATGGTTTAGTTTAAGTCTTAATGTAATGTGTGTATCAAGTACATTTTAAATCATTCCTTATTACATTCTTGTCTGTTCAATGACGTTTTGCAATTGGATTTTTTCTCTTGCAATAACTTTACCAAGTTACCATTCCTCAGAATGTGCCTCCATTGTTAACTTTGTTTTCATACTAAAGGTGTTTGCTGCAGTCTGTTTCCTTTATTTCATGGAATTTGTGGATTAACATTTGCACAAACCTTCTTTTTCTTCCAGCTAAGCCTTGGGGATACTTTTATTAGCCATAGCCCTACAAACAAGATATGATTAGCTGCCTTTCTGACTGGAACTTTTCCCCTCCAATGGCTTTTTTCCTCCACTGCTAGGAAGGGAAGCAAATGTTCTTGAGGAAGCAGGGCTATAGCAGAAATGTACTCTTCTTCACCCCCTTTGTTCACATTCCTTCAAACAGCATGTTCTGTTGCTTTGTCTTGTGTGGACTTACAGCTGGAACGTTGGAGAGGCGACAAAAACCTATCAGGGTAGACAAGGTGAGTCTGTGGTACCAAAAAACCACAAATCCTCTGAATAGAAGTGGTATTCATGTGTTTTCATGTATTATAATGTTTTTAAATGTTGACAGCTAAGTTAACAATCATCCTGGCTTTTGTACTAGTTGGCTAGAAATTTGCTTGACATATAAACAAAAACTTTCTAAACTGTCTCTTCCCTGCTTACATCCTCATGGCCACAGCTCTGGTAATGTGAAATGGCTCTCAAGATGACAATATAGCAAGCATAGCAAAACTTGTGTGTCAGCTGGGTAGATTTAGTTCTCTCCCCCTAATTCTTCAGTCTTTCCTATGACAGTTCTTTCTTTTTTAAGTACCTAGCCCCATTTATCATTTTATACTTTCCTCCAGCCCTAGGCTGTGCTGTTGGAATCCTTCATAAGTTTCAACTTCGCGTGTGACATCTCCATGCAGTAAAACGGCTAAACGGAGGCTGGGTGCTGCCTTGAGCTTTCAAACTTCCTCCTTTAAAATTTATCTGGCATTTTCACAAAGCAACTATTGGCCAAGTTTACATCTTTTGTGCTTAGTTTGATAATAACTGACTTCACAGAAACCCTGAGTTTGTTCCTAGAGTTCTGTTTTTACTTGTCACTGTCATTTTCCTTCTCTATTTGCATTTCTCACTTCTTATGGCGCTGTGTGACATGGTGAATTTCTGTATATCAGTTTGAGAAATTGTCTGGAGGTACAGGTCATGAAATATTTATCAAAGAATTTCAAATTCTGCACTGAAGAATTTGAAATCATCACACAAGGAAAATCATAAAATCTTTTGCAAAATAATCTACATACACAAATACGTGTAAATTGAATGGGGTACTTTGTATTATGAAATCTACATATTTTTTTCCGGTGCTGCAGGTTGTCATACTGCCATACTGGTGTCAGAAGCATAGATCAGTAGTAACTGAAATAGAAATCAGGATCACTTTTGTCTCAGGGAGTTGGACTAGATGACCCTTGGAGTTCCTTCTTACTTTTTAGTTCTATGACTATGAACAGTAAGGCACAATGCAATCCCACTTTAAATGCACTAGATTCCACCACTTTTCTAGTGCAAGCTTAAGTGCTTCTATGAAGGGTGCACTAGTAAACATTGCAGTGTCTAAGCTCTTAGTTGTAAGGATAGTTCTTTATGACTAGATCAAAGACACGGACTAGATCAAATCCAACTTGATGTGGACACAATAAAATGGAATGTTCCAAAGTATGCTTAGTGCTTTGATTTTAAAAAATAATAATAATCAAGGTTTGTAAGATACTATAGGGACTTGGATATCTTAGAAAGCTGGGATCAGGGAAGTGGGTGTTTTTGGAGGGGAGGAATTTTTTGAACTTTGTTAGGAGTATTGGCTTCTCTCCACTGAAAGGAAATAAACACAGATAAATGAATCCAAACCTGGAGTGGCAGTGGCCTACTGTGGAGGTCCCTGCTCTACCCACCGAATGCATGAACAGAAGAAGCTACTACCAGTGGTAGTCAATGTACCATATTTCACTGCATAATAGTTGCACCACCACCCCTAAAAGCTGTCCCCAGAGCATTCCCCACGTAATAGTCGCAGCAGTGAAAATGCCTTGCCGGTGGGACATTAGTTTTGCCTAACAGCATTTACCCGCTTTTGTAATTGAAATTGCTCTTAGCACAGCTGTTTCCCAGCCTCTTCCTGTTCCTACCTGTGGAACTTGCCTGTTGGCTGAGCCGGCCCTCAACCCACGGAGGATGAGGCAGCCTCATGCGAGGAGCGAAAGCAGCAGCTGAGGAGGCCTCACCCGAGAGGAGTATGGATATGGAGGAGAAATGTGGTGGCAAGGTCCTGGCCAGTGGCATGCGGCTTGGGCCCGTGGATATGCCCAGCAATTGTAAACTGCCTGCTCTAGAGGGGTGTGCGCCTAAGGCCCCTTGCAGTGGGCCTACTTCTCCGTGGGGGGCTTGCAGGGCGGGGTTAAGAGACCAGGCTAAGCTATGCATTTACTGTATTTCACCACATAATGGTTTCCACCGCATAAGCCGCACCCCTCTTTTTTGAAAATAAAAATCGGCATTAAAAATGTGACTTATGGGGTGAAATATGATAACCCTGGAATGAAGGAATATGGAACTGATCTAGCCAAGGAGCCACTGGACCCTAAGGTGCTCGTATCTATTGACAAATCTTGTGAGGCGTCTGAGCCACGCCTGTTTGCTGCGCCAGCCTGGAGGTGGTGCAGCAAATGTATTCTTTTCGCGCCCCACCTTCTACTCTGGCTGCCACAAATGGTGGAACACCAGATGCCGCAGTGACTCCCATCACTCACTACTTCCCTCCAGGAGTTCAGATTGTGCTCTTTATCTCATTGTTAAGGAAATTAAGAGGAGATAGTGAAGGATTTCACAACCACTCATTATACACTAGGAGTGTCCCATGTACCAAATAAGATGCAGGAGTTAAATACAAAATTCCTCACATGAATCTTGAAATAGGTTACTGACATGCTCTCTGTTGTTGCATAGATAGGCACATTTTGAGGTTCAGACAGCACATATTATCCAAAACTACTAAGTAATTCATGACTGAGCTGGATTGGTATTACAGTTAAACCTGTGAACAATAAACAGTCCTTGGTAGAGTGGCATACTGTTACCATTTTTGTTGCAGCTACTGATGTTGGTGGGAGTTTGCCGTCTGCATAAATGATAAAGGGAGGCCTTCGCGTATATGTCATCCTCAGAGCTTGGCCCTCTAAAGACAATGTCGTAAGTGTGCAGAAGGACAGAACGTTTCCTACGAAGAATTGTGCACTGTGTGGGCAGCTGGCCACTGCCCATAACACAAACTCACAAACCCAAGTGGAAATTTTCCTCTGGGCTGTGAATATTCATAATGACGACTAGTAGAAATTACATAATCATTATTAGCATTACCATCCCTGACGCAATTCCAGTATGTGAACAAATAGGTCTACTTTCTCTAATCTCAACCGTAAGCTTGTATTTTCTTAGAAGGTGTATTACATTTTTGAGTGTGGCCTCTTGAGTGCTATATTACTGTGCAAACTCCTGAAAGGTATCTGGAGGTAGTCCTTGGTCTGGATAATTAATGATATCAGTTGTGGGATTTAATTGTTAAATATACATTATCTACCATTGTTAAGTACTTTAAGATTTCATTTGATCACAATGGGAGCGATTAAAGCACTTACAGTAATTGATTTTAATGCAGTAAGACGTAAGTGTTTAGCTTTGGTTAGATTGTTTTCCTTAGGTTGTTTTCTCAATATGTCAGAAACAATTTCCTCTCATAAAGGGAACCCCCTTTTTTGCAGAAAGCATGACAGAGTAAATAAGGATGGCCCCTCTCCCTGCTTTTGGCGGGACAGTAAGAATGCTTTGCTGTTGTAATATCATTTCTGCTTACGGTGCATTGATTTCAGCTTCTATGGTGTGTCTCTTTGTGTAAATGCACAAAATCCAGCAAAACTAGACACTAAACACTGGATTGGGAATGCTGGCCTGGAATCACGCAGATAGCACAAGTTCATGCAATTAACAGCAGGGTCGATTTGTGCTTTGACTTGGAGTGATTGCAAAGCATTGACATGAGTCTAGTAAAAATCAACAAAGGTGATGCCCCCTTAGCTGTAGTTGTTAATTATTAAGGAGACTTACTATAATGATAGTAACATTAAAAAACAAAAAAACAAAAAAACCCAGCCAGTACAGAGCAGGGCTGTGTGAACCCTACAGAAGCACATTCTGGTTTAAAATAATTAAGAGTTACTTATATATATAGTTGGTGATGCTTGTGTGAGAATCTGAACTCCTTTTAAAGGGTTTTTGCATAAGCCTGATGGCAAGCCTTCACCTTAAGCAGCCTCTGCCATCACTGCTTGTGTTTTTTCTTTCTTTCTGGGTTTCAAAACGCTGACTTCTCTCTTCTACTCACTATGTGCTGCTCCTGTGTGAACTGTCTAAGCTTCTTCCGTGGCATACCCTGGCCTCCCAGATACTCTGGGAATTTGTCAGAAATTATTAGGATTTAGTGACTTGGGGGAAGGGCATTCAGTAACAGGCTCATTTTCTAAGAGATGGTGACTGGAAGAAGCCAAAATACTTGCGAAAATTGAGTTGTTTCCTTCATTCTCCTTCAACATTAATAACCCTCTCTACTTAGTGTAAGCAGACATCCATGCACACTCTATTAATGCATTCAAACCAACAAAACTTCTAGTTCTCGGAACTGTGCTTACACTTCTAGTTAGATGGTTTAACTACATGGTTCATTCTAAAAAGAGAGAGCACTGCAGAAAGGAAAGAAGCATTTACAGAACCATGTAATGTTCAGTACACAAGCGTGGTATAGATGCTGGGGAGCTTGGAGACATGGGTTCAAATGCCCACTCAGCCAGGATTGACTCACTGGGTCAATCATCGTCTCTCAGCCCAACCTATCCCACAAGGTTGTGATGAGGCAAGGATAAAATGGGGAGATGGAAATCCTGTGCACCATTTTACACCTCCTTGAAGGAAAGGCAGACTGTAAATGTATTAATAATAAATAATGAATATTTATTACTTTGATGTACAGGTAAAAAATGCATGCATATCAACTTTTTCTATACATCAGTTTCCCTGTAGCCCAATTTTCTACCGACACACAATAAGCCTCATTAAAGATGGAATATAACTAATAATAAATAATAACAACAGTACCCAGACAGACTTAGAAAATATGTAAAAATAATAAAAATACATTAAGCTAAAACCAGGGGAAAAACACTTCTCAGAGTGCTCACAGTCAGATTATTCACAAGCTCACAAGCACCTGCAGACACCAATAAAAAGGTGCTTCATAAGCAATATCCAGAGCTGAAACAGAGAAGACGCCTAATGCGACTCTACAAGCAGGCAGTCCCATGAGGAGGGTGTGACACTGGAGAAGGCAGTCTTCAAGAAAGCAAATACAGTCACACACACAAAAAGTCACGAAGAGGGCAGATGTAAACGTGCATTAGGTATGAATACTCCCGTTAACAACCTACTTGTATCACCTAATGCCCAAGATTCTTCACAAGACAGCAGTCAGTGATACACTACCATCCTATACATGCTCACTTCCAGTGTGTTGTAGTGGTTAAGAGCGGTGGACTCGTAATCTGGTGAACCGGGTTCGCGTCTCCGCTCCTCCACATGCAGCTGCTGGGTGACCTTGGGCCAGTCTCACTTCTCTGAAGTCTCTCAACCCCACTCCCCTCACAGAGTATTTGTTGTGGGGGAGGAAGGGAAAGGAGAATGTTAGCCGCTTTGAGACTCCTTAGGGTAGTGATAAAGCGGGATATCAAATCCAAACTCTTCTTCTTCACTGAGTTTGAAGGGGTTTGCTCCTAGGCAACCGAAAAAGGCTCCCCAAATGGCTTGCAAAAATCATTCCTAAGACAGAGCCTGTCCTCAAGCTTGCAGTCTAAAACTTCTGTGCTATTATGGCTCATTCATCTTTTCTGAAGATATATGTTTCTGTGGTCTGGTATACCTCCCAGTTCCAGGGAGGGTGAAGGCAAAAAGCTTGTCTTGCTGAAGCCATGGGGAGTACATATTTTGTTAGCACCAGATGCTGGGAACCACAGGAGGGACGCGTGCTCCTGTGCTCTGGCCCTGTCTGTGGGTTTTCCATAGGGGGCATCTGGTTGACCACTGTGAGAACAGGCTGCTGGACTAGATTGCCATTGGCTGATCCAACAGAGCTCTTCTGTTCTTAATTCTGATGTGCGTATAAATGTTGTCTATTCCACATGCAAGAACCTATATAGCAGCCTTTGCCAAAGATGATGATAAATTGACAATAAGGTTAGTGAGGGCTGTTGTCTAGGGTCCTGCTGCATACTAGGGGTTAGGGCTGGGAGAACTCAGGAAGGAGTATTCATGATAAGATGTACACAGGATCTACAGTTCTGCTGCATGTGCCCTCAGATCCAGTGGTCATGTGATATAGTTACCAGGCCACATGGAAGGTCTGGTTCTAAGTCCTGAACAACTCAAGACCAGGTTGCCTGAAAGACTGCCCACTCCTGTAGAAAACCTGTATGATCGCTACTTGTGACACCTCACCTTACAGGATATTTAAAGGGTAGTGACCCAAAACGGGCATTTTCTGCTATTGCCCCTGTGTTATGGAATTTCCACATCTTCTGCCATGTGAGGTAGTTTCAGGTACCTTGTAAAGACTTGGTCCAGGTTTTCTCTACCCCTGATTTATGTATCAGAATCCCAGTGAATTCCTATTTTATTTGCTGTTATGCTGCTGTCCTATTGGCTTTTGGTTGTATTTTTTACATTTTAATGATATTGTTCTGATATTGCACACCGCTTAGAGATTTTAAATATATAAAGTTTATAAATGCTAGCTTGTCTTCCAAGACTGGCTTCCAGGATCTGGCCTTAGCCAAAGAAGGCAATCTGCACTTGAACTGGCAATAAAGTCTGCATCTACAGAAAGGCTTAGACCTCTCCTGCTGTTCCCTATGCACAACACTGAGTGTGTTTATTTAGGGGGGAAGAGAGAAGAGCATCTCTGTACTGGGGGCCAATGTGTATTAAGGTATTTGCATATAGATCTTCACATCTGAAGAAGTGTGCATGCACATGAAAGCTCATACCAATAACAAACTTAGTTGCTCTCTAAGGTGCTACTGGAAGGAATTTTTGCATATTATCAGTTCTTAAATACTTCTCAATCTGCAAACTGCCTTATTAATGGTCTCAACAATTTGACAGCTTGTTTTGCAAATGTGAAACTGAGATGGAGCGACTGATTTGCATAAGGTGACCCGGTGAGGCTGGAGGACAGAGCTGTGGTTTTACATTACCCAGGTGTGTTGGATCCAAATGTGCACTGCCCATGGCAGCTATATTTATATCAGCTTCTTCAAATACTGTAAAACATTTGAGTTTTAATCTTAAATGCTCCCGAGTCATAGATGTGCTTTCTCCCCAGAGATAAGAATCTTTTCTTAGGGGGGAACAACATATATATCTGACTGCAGGCAAAATGGCACTGTCAGCAGGCTCGGGGGAATCCCAAGGTTTTAGAAGTACAAGAACAACAGCAACAAAAGAATAGGAGTGGAAAACCTTAAACATAGAGCAACCTGATGTTTGGTGGCCATGGAACGCTGTCTCTGTATGGGAATGGGGGAACTGAAAAACTAAGGGAGATAGACTGTGCAATACAGTACAGTGATACCTCTGGTTAAGTACTTAATTCGTTCTGGAGGTCCATTCTTAACCTGAAGCTGTTCTTAACCTGAAGCAGCACTTTAGCTAATGGGGCCTCCCGCTGCCGCTGCGCCACCGCCGCACAATTTCTGTTCTCATCCTGAAGCAAATTTCTTAACCCGCGGTATTATGTCTGGGTTAGTGGAGTCTGTAAACTGAAGCGTATGTAACCTGAGGTACCACTGTATCTGTGAAGAAGGCATGGGTAGAATCCTGTACAGGAATTCTCCACTCTGCAATGTTTTGTTGCCGGTCCCACTCATTTTCTGATTTTTTTGTGTTCGTGTTTGGTAATAAAAGCAATACAGTGGTATGTCAGTTTAAGAACAGCCCTGTTTACGAACTATTCCATTTACGAACTCCGCAAAACCGGAAGTAGTGTCCCGGTTTGCGAACTTTACCTCAGTCTAAGAACGGAATCTGAACGGTAGAAGGGCACCGGCGGCAGGAGGCATCATTAGGGAAAGTGTGCCTCAGTTTAAGAACAGTTTCAGTTTAAGAACAGACTTCCAGAACGGATTAAGTTTGCAAACTGAGGTGCCACTGTAAAACCAAGTTATTTTTTCCTTATTTAAGCCTGTCCCAATTTTCTCCTGTGTTATTTTTTCTATATACTTCCAGCATAAATGTAATGTTTTGTGAAATACTTGCCCCCAAACCAGTTCACATCTCTTGATGTGCATGCAGGGTTTCTGCATGCGTGCTGCAACTGCAGGGTTTCTGTATGCATAAGAGCCGCAACCTTCACGTTGCACCAAGGGGCAATTCCACCTAAATAGCTAAAAAGGGGGAAGGCATATATTTGTGGGCAGGTGTGTAGGAAGTGCACACTGCAGACTCTCAAAGTCACAATACTGTGATCAGGGTGACTGCTTATAAACGTGAGCATGCTTTGTTTACAAAGGTGGACCTGGCAGCAGGTGCTCCCCTCCCATTGTGAATCCGGTGTAACATGTTTTGGTACTACCTCCAGCATTAATTTGTGTCCCAGCCTTGCCTATCCACACAAATAGGCTGGGTCTGCTGAACCTAGGAATCCTCACTACTGACACTGCAGGGATATGGAATTGAAAATGAAATGGGAAACAATATTTAACTGAAAGCAAGAATGGAAGCTGCAGTGGCTTCAGCTTGAGAAACACAGTTCTTTTTCTCTCTCGTGTGTATGTGAGCTACTGTGCAAGATCTTTTACATATTCAAAGTACTAAAACCATAGGCTTTTAGGAGTGGAGTGTGATGGAGTGGTTAAGAGCAGTGGACTCATAATCTGGTGAACCGGGTTCGTGTCCCCGCTCCTCCACATGCAGCTGCTGGGTGACCTTGGGCTAGTCACACTTCTTTGAAGTCTCTCAGCCCCACTCACCTCACAGAGTGTTTGTTGAGGAGGAAGGGAAACGAGATTGCTAGCCACTTTGAGACTCCTTTGGGTAGTGATAAAATGGGACATCAAATCCAAATTCTTCTTCTTCTTCTAGCAAATGCAGGGGATTTGAGCAAGGGGTAATAAGGTAAAGGTAAAGGTAAAGGGACCCCTGACCATTAGGTCCAGTCGTGACCGACTCTGGGGTTGCAGCGCTCATCTCACTTTATTGGCCGAGGGAGCCGGCAGACAGCTTCCGGGTCATGTGGCCAGCATGACTAAGCTGCTTCTGGTGAACCAGAGCGGCGCACGGAAACGCCGTTTACCTTCCCGCCGGAGCGGTACCTATTTATCTACTTGCACTTTGACGTGCTTTCGAACTGCTAGGTTGGCAGGAGCTGGAAACGAGCAATGGGAGCTCACCCCGTCATGGGGATTCAAACCACCGACCTTCTAATCAGCAAGTCCTAGGCTCTGTGGTTTAACCCACAGCGCCACCCATGTCAAAAAGAATTAGTGAGAAGTGGCACATGGCATAGCATTTCAACTGCAGTTTGATAGTGGAAAGAGTAAATGTGAAAACATGACGGCATCTCAAGTGGCTCTGATTAACTGGATCCTCTGTGTGTGTGTGTGTGTGTGTGTGTGTGTGTGTGTGTGTATCTGTCCCTGTGTCATTTCATTCATTCACTCCATACTATTGTATAGGGACGTTTCAATGTTAGATCATTTTATTATGCTTTTATATTTGTTGGAAGCTGCCCAGAGTGGCTGCAGCAACCCAGTCAGCTGGGCAAGGTACAAAAAATAAATTAGTAGTAGTAGTATGGCCACCCAACCTCTTAGATCGCTCTGTTTTCCCTTCCTAGGCCCTTGGTCACTCTGCTTTATGTTCAGGAGTATACCTGAACATATTGAGAAGCAAACTAAGGTAAAGGAAGAAGTGGAAGAGAGTGTTGCTCTTTGAACTTCCTCCTTCAGCACTTTTCAAGGGGGAAGGGAAGGGTAAGCATTCTTGGCACCTCATGGCAGTGGGTGGGTACACATAATGAAATACGAATGGATTCAGGTTGTAGTAGCGCTCTCTCTCTCTCTGTGTGTGTATAATATATGTATATATATATATACATCTGATTCAGATCAGACATACTGAAATCAATAGACTTAAAGTCATTTTTTCCTGTGGATCTACTCTGAGTATGACCATCAAATGATCGGGAATAATAATGAAACGCAGCATTAGAGCCTGGAACAGAAGTTGTGGGAATTATCTATCCTAGAGTTTCTTCAGGAGATGGGATGATAAGCATCTTCGGGGAATGACTGCAGTGGGAAATTTCATCCCTGGAGAGAGTTTGACACTGACTATCAAGGTCCCTTTTCAGTTGTCCAATATGATACTCACATATATTCATATTCATATGTGAGTAGCCTATAGATTTCTAAGGGATTGCTTTCATGTAATTGTCAGGCTGGTTGAGCACAAAGTGTGGAATGTCAGGAATGCATGCTAATTGCAATTTAAATTGTTATTCAACTACCAAGCAACCAGGTATCCACAGACATAATTAATTTCCTTTACATTGTGTAATACATTTTTATCCCTCTGCGTTCGCTTCATTATTATACAACAAAAATATTACACAGTCACAGACCTGGTAGAAGTTTCTTATTTGCCATCCACCACCCATCTCCTTTAGATTCAAATTCCTCCTATTTTAGCCTTTTGCTTCTTTTCCTGTGGAGCTATATACAAGGTGATCCACTCATATCCCCTTTCAAATACCGCCCCCCCCCCGTACCTGTTTTGGGCATAACTTCTGAGGATCATCTAGTCCAACCCCCTGCAATGCAGGAATCTCAGCTAAAGCATCCATGACAGATGGCCATCCAACCTCTGCGTGGAAACCTCAAAGGAAGGAGAGTCCCTTCCCTTCTAAGGAGGACCATTCTGCTGCTGAACTGCTCTGTCAGAAAGTCCTTTCTGATATTTAGTCAGAATCTTTTTTTTCTTGTAACGTGAATCCATTGGTATAGGACCGGTTGTAGCTTGCAGCTTACACAGTGAAACCCTAGCCCTGTCTACACAGAACGTAGAGTGAATTCAGTGGGGCTATCTCCTACATAAGGGGGGTTAGGATGGCAGGCTTTCTGTACAAAGCCAAGAAGCCTATCCTTTGCTCCACACACTGTTCCCTCTGGCCTCACCCTCCACTAGGATGCGGTCCGCGAAACGTTGCAGAAGATGGAATGCAGCGCCCAGCTGAAAAAAGATTCCCACATAGTGACTTTTCGCATGTAAGTGGACTCCTCTCCAGTAAATCTGTGATGAATCCCATTTTCAGTTTGCATTAGTGAAATCCAGCATAAAAGGACTGCAGTGGAGGGAATAAATGCAGAACAGGATATACCGTAGCTTCACCTTATCCTTTGTCGGTCACATTCTAATTGCCCTTCAAAACTTTACAGAAACTCTCAAAAGTGTGGCTCAAGACATTTTACTCTCCAAAGTAGAGTACATTCTTAGCTACGGAAGCCAATTAGTGTGAAAGTTGAATCCTACTTCAACATTAGCAATGGGATAGCATTCTCTACCATATCACACTTGATGCAACAGACTAATGGCGGGGGTGGGGGGGGAGCACAGCAGTGGCAGACATTGGGGCCAAAATTTCAACAGCATCCTGTGCAATACTAAAGTAACTGCCTACCAGCAGCAGAAGGCTGATCGCCGAAGAATTGATGCTTTTGAATTATGGTGCTGGAGGAGACTCTTGAGACCCACGGACTACGAGAAGATCAAACCTATCCATTCTGAAGGAAATCAGCCCTGAGTGCTCACTGGAAGGACAGATCCTGAAGCTGAGGCTCCAATACTTTGGCCACCTCATGAGAAGAGAAGACTCCCTGGAAAAGACCCTGATGTTGGGAAAGATGGAGGGCACAAGGAGAAGGGGACGACAGAGGACGAGATGGTTGGACAGTGTTCTCGAAGCCACAAACAAGAGTCTGACCAAACTGTGGGAGACAGTGGAAGACAGGAGGGCCTGGTGTGCTCTGGTCCATGGGGTCGGACACGACTAAATGACTAAATGACAACAACCAGCAACAGCCATCTAAGGTGTTTGCAAAAGGCGGCTTTAGGGTAGTGCAACCGGTTCAGCTGCACAGGGTGCCGCTTTGCAGAGGGTGCCACAACAATACTGTAGAATGGAGTGCAAGCGGCAGGGGGCTCTGAATTGTAGTGTTGCACAGGGCACCATTGGTGGCTGCTTCACTCTGCCTAATGGCCAGGGGTCCTTTTACCTTTTTCTGCCATGCAGGAGCAAAAAGGCTTGCTTGTGTGCAGACAATGGACCTGGCTTCTTGCGTTCTGTTCTCTTTACCAATCACTGCCCTATAGAGCCTGTTGTGACCCCAGCTTTGCTCCAGAACTTTCCCCCTGTACTTTCCCGCCTCAATGGCCCTTGTACACGTGGTCTACTCAGAAGCAAGCCCCATGGAGCTCAATGGGACCCCAACTCCCAATCAGGATCTGTAAGGTCCGTTGAGTCCAGTGGGGACCTATTCCTCCCCAGTGTAGGATCAGTGAGCCCCATTGTGTTCAATGGGAGGTCCTCTCCGTATAAAACGCCCAGCTCGCATCCGGGGCACCACCGGCTTGCCTCTCAACTTTGGCCATTCATTCCCACGGGAGTCTGGGCGAACCGAGAGGCTGGGAGGAGGAATAAGAGAACCGATATAGCCAGAGTGTCCCCAGCACCAGCAGCAGGAGCAGCAACTGCGCCTTTCGGCTCGACTCGGAGAACAGGCTGGTGGCGTTACCTGAAACAGCCCCGCCTAACGCCGCGCCTGCGCGGTGCCGCCTCCCTCCTCCGCCCGGGTCCGGGCCGCAGTGAGAGCGAAGGGAGGAGGCAGAGCAGGCGAGGCAGCGGCGGCGGCGGCGGCGGCGCAGCAGCTCTCTCTTCGCAAGAGTTGGACAGGCAGCGAGAGCGAGTCCGGCGTCCGCGAAGGAGCCCCGGGTGGCCGAGGGCAGCGCGCACACAGCTGGGGGCTCCGGGTAAGTCGAGGCAGCAGCAACAGCAGCCGCTCCGTCTGGGAAGGCAACGCGTAGACGGGTCGTGGGGGGGGGGGCGGCAGTGGCTCTTTCCAGGGACAGGTTCTTGAGCCCTGTGCGGCTAAGCGGGGGCTTCCCACGCCCGCCCCGCATCCCTTCGCTTCATAGGGGTGCCTCGGTGCGCATCTTCCATGGGACCACGGAGCTGCTTTCCTCGAAATTGCGATCTGGTAGCTCTCCCGCCCCGCGCGACATCCTGGGCACTGCAATCTAGTAATCCGATCTATAGGTGTCCGGGGGGGAATTAAAATCCGGGCACGGGGCCTTGGACGAGGGAGGACCCGGCTTTTTATTGTGGTCCTCTAGAATAACAGAAGCCGTGAAACCTCCCCTCCCCACGGCCCATTTAAGACCGATTCATCGCTGAGCCCCGGCAGAGGCTCCTGTAATTATGATTCGACGGCGGCAGGCGGGCTCTCCGGGGATCCTCGGCGCCCCCCGGGTGAATCTCCTTCCCAGATTTCTCCTCGCTCGCTCGGGGTCTGCTGGGTCCTTCTCGAGGGCAGCAGCAACGTTTGCTGGCGTTCCGGGGAGGCGATCTGCTGCTTTCCTCCCGCCGGGTAGCGCGACTCGGCTGGCGGGCGTGAAAGGGGAGGGGAGGCTGAGCAGCCCTCGCAAGGGCAGAGGGAGCGCAGCAGCAGCAGCATCGGCTCTCCGGGCGCTGCAAGATCATTTTCTTTCTGCTGAAGTTGGAAGTCTGTAGCTGCTTCTCCCCCGCTCCAATTAGTGTGAGGTGGAAGCGAAATAGGGAGGGAAGGAAGAAACCTCTCTCTCCCCCGCCGCCCTCCACACTTTTAGAATGCGCCGCGTATTGGTGACCCTTTGATTCCGGCCGCCTCTTATCTCCTCAGGGCTGACCTAAGGCGGCCAAACGCGATGCTCTTATTGCCCTTTTCTTGGGAACCATCAAGTTGGGCGCGGGGTGAGGCCGGGAGAGCGAGCGAGCGAGCGAGACGGCGCACGTGAGAGGACTTGGCCGGCTGGCGGCGAGAGTTGGCGGTGGGAAGCCGCCGCTGGGTGTCCTTTCCCGGGGAGTCGCCCTCCGCTCTGTCTCCCCCCGCCCGGCCAGCCTCGCGCGCTTCCCTCGGGCTGTGAGGGGAGGAAAACGGCAGAGATCTGATTACAAAGCGCCGAGGCCACCTTGGAGCAGCAGCCGCCGCCTCCCGCCAGGCGCTGCTGCCGCAAGGTGCCTGAGGAGCTCGTGTAGGGAGGGGGGGCCACGAGGAGGACAGGCCCCCCCCCCGGGGAGCGCGCCGGGAAAACAATAGGGCTGCGGAGAGGGCGGACGAGGGGAAGCGAGCTTTCTTTCACACCCCGTCGAGGAAGGGGTATGAGGAGAGGAGGAAGCCGCCGCAGCCGGCGCCGCCCGCGGGGAAAGGAGCTCGTGTGGGAACTCCTGAGCCGGCGTGAGGCGGAGGTCTTGGGACGGGGCAGCGGGGGGATTCGGGGCGTCCGCCGCCTGGGCTGCTCTGACGGCGGCCGAGGTCTCTTCGCCGCCGCGGCTCCCGAGGGGGCCCCAATCTGGTCTCTGCTGCCGCCTCGCCCCGTCTGAAGAGAACAGGAGCTCTCCGCCAGCTTGGTCTCTCGTGGCGGTGGGCTTGTTATTTTTAATTGGCCTGTTCTGTCTTTCTTTCTACCCCCCCTCCAGGATCCGCCCTGAAACAAAACAAGCAATTAAATAATAATAATAATAATAATAATAATAATAATGTTGGGGAGGGTGATGATGAGGGAAGGGGCGTTTTACACTTTTGTTGCCGTTCATCTGAAAGAGGGGAGGGAGCAGAGAGAAGAGTCTGTCTCGGTATTTTGTTGTTTAAATCACACCACACTCCCTATAAAACACTGGCTAACAATGGAGTTTCCAATTTCAAGTGTTGCATCCAGGCAACGATTGTTAACCAAACCAGGACCGGGGCAAACTTAGGTGAACCTTTTTCTTAATGATCAACTAGTAGTCGCATTTTCATGCCCAGCCCCTCTTGGGTGGTCTTGGGTGGACAAGACAATTCTATTCTTCCGAGTTCATGCCCCCTCCACTTTTGCTTTTATTAGCACGGAGGAGGTGCCTTTTAGCTTGTGAAGTGCAGGTTGCAAGTAGGCAAAAGAGAAATTAAAATTGTTTTTCAGATATTTAAGGGTGGGGTGTATTTTTTTTCTGTTGCAAAAACATGGTTTTTTACAACCTCCAGTAGCCTTAAATTGCATGTTGTGCTGCTAGCCAGAGGGACATTTGGGTTAATTGCTTGAGCTGGGACTATAACATTTCTTTTGGTCTGATTTATACAAAGTGTGTTGCTTTTAAGAGAACTCTCTTTTATTCCAGAAGGTATCTTAAGGTTGATTCAAGGTGCTGAAACCCCATCCTTTTAGTGGCTCACTGGTGGTAGCCCCAAAGAACACCAGTGTGTCATTATATCTCAGTATCCTCTTTAAAGAGAATTGTACATAGGCTTCTGGGGAGGATATTGTCTCCAACTTTGCAAATTCAATTTTGCAAAGCAACATTTGAGAAGAGGGTGCTCTGAGGTTACAGGTGCCTGCCAGTAGATGCCAGCAACAAAATCGCCAATAACATCCACACATCACTTTGCTTTCAGTAGTTGTGCTACCAGAAGTAATGTTCACCTGGTTAGTGCAATATTGTGGTTTTCAGTAACGACAAACTGAAAACTGCCAGCAATGGATTTGCTTCTGAGCAATGGGGTATTATGTGAATTGCTGGCAAGGAACAATTAGCATTAGCACTGCATGGAAAGATTCAGGGCCTTTCCATGGAAATCACATGGACTTTGTTCCCAGTTTAAATGTATAGTATTGGGCTATATCTTTCATCATGCTAAGCAAAACAGGCTTGTGTTTGTTTCTTTTTGGGAATGAGTGGGATTTCAAGTGCCATTCATTGAGCTCCTGCTAATGCATAACAATAGTTGCTGCAGTATCTGTGGTTAGTTGCTCTCTTTACCAATTTTGCATGAATGATGATTGGAGCACTGAGTTGATTGAAAGTCTGTGGTATATGTGAAACTTTAGGCATCACAGTTCTGATATGGAAGCAGGTATTTTGAAGTCTATTCTGCACTCATTGCTTGTGGCAGGATCTCTGCCTCCTATGCTTGCTTTATATTGAATACAGCTGAATATTGCTGTAGACCTTTTATTTTATTTTACAGATATTTTAATGGTAGCCCGTTTGTTTGGAAGAATATAAACAAATGGTGAAAAGGCAAATGTAGCTTATTTCTGGAGCAATCCCAATTTGTCTATGGATCCCTGGTGCTGATTACTATCAGACAGACCCAGATGAATGAACAATTTGTAATTTGTTGCCTAAACCTGGTGATGGTCTACTTGCTTTAGATGTAGACTGGAATTCTGTTCTCTCCCATTAGTCTTGTCTCTATGAAATAATAAAGTATAAATTGGTCTTACATATTCTAAGCAGCACCATTCCATTGCACAGTTGTCTTGTTCGTTTAGCACTTTTGGTATAATGTACTCAAAGGGATCTTTGCTGTGCACACAACATACATTTAAAGCAAATATTTTCCTTCAAAGAATGCAGGAAACTGTCGTGTGCCCCCTGAAGCCACAGTTTCCAGGTTCCTCTGGGGACAGTCATGTGCTTTAAATGTATGGATAGCTCAGCTGGTTAGAGTATGGTACTGATAATGCCAAGGTTGCAGGTTCAATCCCCGGCTGCATATTCCTGCATTGCAGGGGGTTGGATTAGATGATCCTCAGGGTCCCTTCCAACTCTACAATTCTATGACTCTGTGATTCCACTCAGCCTTGCGTGTCACTTTTGCAGCAAGGTGTTCAAGTTCCCCTGGTGTGGCACTACAGAGGTCCTTGGTCGCACTAAGGAGGAGGATGAGCAGAGAGGCTCTCCAAACATAGCAGAGCTAGCACACCACAGTTTTGAAGCATGTGAAGTGATACACGTTACCAACTGAAAGGTGCCCCCTTCCTCTCCAGAGTTTAGAATTACCTAACTGTGCCGTTGAGCATCAGCTTTTACATTGCAAAGCAGCTGTGAGTATCTTTTTTGTGCAGAACACAGGTGTGTATATGCTAAGTATGATGGCGCTGTGAGAGCGAGCCTTAGGTATGCACATCCCCCTCCTGGCCGCCCAGCACTCACTCACACCCTTTAATGTAAAGCAGGGCCCTATGTGAGGCTCACTACCGCACCTCACCTGTGTAACCTGAACACCTGGGTTGTATGGGAACCAAGCCTAAGACCTCTTAGAATTGAAACGCCAGTTCCTTTCAGACTGGTTGTTCAGGCTGTTATCCCACATGCAGCAAAGTGTGTGGCAATAGCCTCCAGTTTTACTCTCGTACTTGCTTACAGGGTAGGAGACACCTGCTGAAGCAAATTGAGCAATAGTTTTCCAGGCTGCTGTGTAGTTTGATAAGTCTCGTTTTCCTGAATCGCTGGGGACTGTATGGTGAATTTGCCTTAAGGTAGACCTTGGGTAAAACAAGAGCATCAAAATAAAACCATATAATTCCTTCTCCAATTGTTGGGTTTCCGTGCTGTGCCACAATGAAGTACACCCTTGCCTAAAGCAGATACAACTGACACAACAGTTTGCGTGCATGTTTGTGTGTGTGTGTGTGTGTGTGTGTGTATATATATATATATATATATACACACAGCCTGCAATAAACAAAAATTGGATGTTTTATCTAAAGCGAACCTTCAGCAAGTCTAAGAAACGTGCCTGTAACAAACCTGAATTGAACTGAAATATGATACTTCAAATATAGTTCTGGAAGCAAAATTATTGGGTTGCACTGTTTTAATATTAAATTTGGTTCTCTGAAACATTTTACCAGGAGAAGCCTACCCAAATCTACCCAAATATAATAAATTCATTTTTTTTATTATAAACTCTAGGTTTCCTTGAAAATTCTGGCATTAGGTGGATTTGACAACAGGACAGCTCAGTCGGTTAGAGCATGGTGCTGATGACACCAAGGTCGCAGCTTCGATCCCCATATGGGGCAACTGCATATTCCGGCATTGCAGAGGGTTGGACTAGATGATCCTCAAGGTCCCTTCCAACTCTACAATCCTGTTATTCCTATCCTATTCCAAAAAAAGCTGGAGTAGGTCAGAGATGTAAATGTGTCAAAGCAGCTTACAGTAAAAATAAAATCTATATTGGTGTCAATCTTAAAATAGAATAGGTTATGTCTTCTAGTCTTCTCCTCTGAGGATGGTCACACAATCCCTGAGGAAAAAGAAAGTAACATGTGAAATAGTGTTAGGCGTGTGACCATGGCAAATCCATATGTACGGGAGCTACTACCATTTGCTGTGCTTCTTGTCTGAATGGTGTGTCTTTGGTGGGGGAGATGGTGAAGCCCATCTGTGGATATCTTGCATGTGTGATTTCACCACTACCTTAACTTACCATTTCAAAAAACCTGGCAATTCTCTAGTTTTGCCAAGAAAAAAGGCTGCAATACTGCAGAAAGAACTTACTGCAAATTGTGCATGGTGCCCAAATAACCACTGAAAGCTCATGGTATGTAGATATCTTCTTTCGCACCTTGCTGTTTCTCAGCTCTTGTGGGGACAGAGGAGCTTCAGAGAGAATTCTTTCACAATTGTATCATAAAGCTATGTACATAGAAGGCAGTTTTCAATTCAGTTTGTGAAACTTGCATCAAAGTGATGTGTAGAGTAGAATTATTAAACAAAGCAGTGGCTTCTCTTGCCACTTCCCAACATCTTTGCCACTCTATGATGCTGCTCAGGAGTCATGTTTTGTGTCCTCTCCTCTTGACTATAAAGGAATCTCCTTCCTCAACCTCTTGCATCTATTCATTCTGCACATCAGTGCAGTATTAGGAATGTATTAATCACTTCCTTTTAGATCATCCATCACCTGCTTCCTTTACTGATGGACAGAGCAGAGACTAATTTGTAGCATTCATGCTTATCTTGCACATGAGATGTAATTTGGCATTACTGGGCTTCTGTGAATGTTATGTATGTGTGTGATACATTTAGAATGGTTGCTTATTAATGCAGATATTGAAAGCTAGACTGTCTAGTGTGGAAGCTAACTTCAATTCAGTCCTCCCTGTTGCAACAAAATGTCCTAAGTTGGATGTCTTTGTCTTTACCACTCTACGGTTTTCTCAATTAAGTACTGTAGCATGTTGTCAAGCACCCCTGCTCTGTTTTTGAATGCACCAGTTGTAGATCAAAGAAGCCAGTCTTGGAACAATGGCAGTAATCTCATTTAAAAAGCAACGTGATTCTTCAAAACATATTTTAGAGCTGATGGTTAAATACCACCCCCCTTCAGCAATCGGGCACAAACCCATGCAAGTTTGCAGTGACCGGGAATTGCATTAAAAAAACAAACATTGTGTGACTTGCAAAGAAAAAGATGAGTTGTAGCCATGGAGAATAACCAGAATAAGGGAAAATATCCATTTCTGTGGGTGTCTTGAATAGCTTCTGAAGCCACTTGCCATGCTGGCAAATCCTTGATATATTTCATTATAATTATTGCATAATCTAAAGAATCAAACTCATTTTTAAAATATCCAGCAGTCCAAAATAAACCTCTGTTCTTATAGATGATCTTTGTCCAGGATGTATTTACCTTTAATCCAACATCTTCATTCTGTCTCCCCCACTCCCAGGAAGTTTTAGTAATCTTTCAGTATTCCTATAACAAAGAACTACATTGTTGTGCTAATGCAGAATAGTAATTGTGCTCTTTCGGCTGCAAGCTTTTTCTTCTCCAAGACTTGCTTGTGATCTTATTATCCTATGTCTGTTATGCACAGTTGAGTAAAACCCCCGCTAATATGCCTTTTTTTGCCCAGCATGGTTTTAATTTCACCGTATGCCTCAAACCCACTTCTTGGTCCTTGTAATCCATATTTCATCATGTATTGAAGTTGAATTTTTAGATCTAACAAGTTACAGGATAAGGATCCTACTTCAGGTCTGTTAACTGGTTCCTGGTTACCATCAGTTTAGTAACTTGGCTCTGTGTACCTTTAGACACTGAAAAAAAGCCCACTTGTGCATCCTTGCACAATAACACTTGTGTGTTGTGGCTGTTTTAAAAAAATATTATAAAAATGTTTATATACCTCTATTCATAAATATCAAACTAGTTTAGAACAATAGTGCAAAAAATCCATACAATAAAAACCATATTAAAAAAGCTAAAATCAGGAATCCGCTAACTACTGTGGAAAGATACCTTAAGTTTTCAGTATTTTATCCTAGTAGCTCATACTTGTGGAAGGAAGCACCATGTGCCAGTATAGTAAAATGTTTTCCCCCAAACTATCAAGGGGAAGAAACTGCTTTGATAAACTTAGATTTTCCCCCCTAATAAAATATTGTATGTGTGTAGTGTAATGTAGTGTAGTGTAGTAAACTCTGCCACTGAGATGCAACCTAGCATATAGCAGACTTGATTTACAGATGGTGTTTTCATCTTTAAGTTAACGTAAATTGCTTTGCCCTTGCTGAAATATTTTTTGCCCAACATGGGGCTTGAACCCACAACTCTCAGATTAAGTGTCTGATGCTCTACTGACTGAGCTATTCCAATAGCTTTCTTCAAAGGAAAGGAGAAAGCATTCAAGAAAAACTCTGTAGTGTTATTGTCAATCACTTAGAGACAGTCATAGCAATCATTTGCTATATGCTATATGCAGGGGGAAATGATCTAAAGTATGGCTTGCATGTTTCTAAACATCTAGTAGACATGTACCTGGATGCCCTGATGGCCACAACTACATAGTTATGTGTCACAACATAATACTTACTATGGCACAAAAAACCTGCTGCATTAAGCATGAATGGGCCCTTATTCAGTTCACTTAGTCTCACAACAGCCATATAGATAATTACTACTCCCATTTTATGGAACTCAAAAACTGAGGCTAGGAGTGAGGTTCTTAGGTGACTTGTCCCAAGGTTATTCAACAAGTCTCATGCTCATCTAAGGTTTAAACCTGTTCTGTGTAGTTCCAAGTCCAGTACTATTGACTGTAGTGTTAGTTTTCCTTGTCTGTTTTTTTTTTAAGTTGTACCTTTCACGCATCTTTAAAACGTGGTTCATTGGATGTATCTGAAACCTATCTGGCCACTGGTGACACAAGAAAGGGCATTCTCTGTAGCAGTGGAATTCCTTCTCTGTGGAACTTAGTTTGTCCTTCTCAGTGACAACTTCCCAGTATCCACTGAAGACACAACTGGTCACTTGGGCTTGCGGGTAATGATAGCGATATTGAGCCTCAAAGTTAGTCTTTTTTTTTATTGCTGTGTTATGGAAATTGTTTTGGTTGATGGATATAATTTAATACTCTTATTTTTAGAACTGGTTGTTTTATGTGTGTTTTGTCTATAAACCACCCTGGGATTCCATGGGAGGAAAGGCAGTTTAGAAATTAAGAATATGTGCCCTTTTTCTGCTATAACTGTGTCTGATATCCCATCTGCATGTTACTAAAATGAAAATATTTAGCAACTTTTGTATGTTTCTCCACACATGTTTAGGGAATGCAAGTAGGGTAATTGGTTGCTAAAATTTCTGTTCTTAGCAACTGCCTGGTTTTGCTTCCTTTCTACCAATTCTGCTACATTCGTTTTCTTGTGGGTTTTCCATTCACCTTTTTCTGTTCACTGTTTTCAAATGTTGTGGTGTTCCTGTAATGCAGTTGTGCTGTTTACCACATCCCTGGTTAAGCCCTCTTCCTTATCTGATTCTTTTGCTTCATCATTTGAATTAAATACGGTTTCACCGAAGCATTGGTAAAGACTGAGAATAAAATAGTTGTTGTTTTAAAAGAAGAGAATGAATTTACACTTTAGGATGATTCAGATTTCAAAACCATAAAAGACTAAATTTAAAAATACGTATTTGCTTCCAATGCCGCCTTTACTTGCTGGATGACGGCAGTGCAATTATATGGTTGTTGTCCCGGCTTTTAAAGTTCCCATTAAACTGGTATGAAGCAATCTGGACATACAGGTTTGCCTATGTAAATTCTTAGCTTTGCACATATGTTGAGTTTAAGGTACACATCTTCCTCTCCACATATGATCATTTATTTTACTGACTTTGCAGTAGCAGTCTAAGCATTGAAGTGTGTCCATGGAATTATTCTTTTTTAAACCCAATGCTGCTGAATTTCATTATGTAGTTTTGCCAACAGGTGTTGGGCTGCTCTCGAAATATATCAGGATTGCTTGGGTTTATCCAATATCCAGAATTTGGTCTTCAACAATTATATTAATTTTACAAAATTGTTAATACTCTTAGTGTGGGGGGGGGGTTTAAGATTAAGACCATGGCTTCTGCAATAAACTGCCTCCTACATTTAGAATGAAAAATATACTAGGAATTACTAACTAGTTTATCATTTTAAATGCTCTTGTGCCCAGCAGTAAAGGGTTAGGTTGTCAAGCATGACAGAAGCGGCCTTCTCAGTGGAGGCACCACAGTTACAGAACTCTCTTCTGAATAATTGAAGTATACTGGACCCCACTATAGTGCAGGCTCTCTTTTCAATGCTCCCCTTCCCCAAGGGTACAAATCGGGTGGCTAACCTGTGGCCCTCCAGACGTTGTGATACTCCAGCTTCCACCAGCACTCAGCTAGCATGCCCAATGGTAGGGAATGATGGGAGTTGTAGTCCAGTAACATCTGTAGCACCACAAATTAACCACCTCAGTGTACATGGTTTATGTGATCCAGGGAAGCTTTCGCATAGATAGCAATGTGTACCATTCTGATGTGTCTTAAACAGTACATCTTGTGTACATTGCGTTGCGAGAGCATGGCTCTGAAAAGTGCCATATAAATACTTTGAATGAATTAAAAATTAGTCCATTGTACAGAGTCTCTATATTACATTTGGAGAGTTTATTAGCATTTCCTTTTATTGCCAGGGTGATAGAGGGGTAAGATCATTTTCTTTGTATACTGTGTTACATTTCAATTAAATAGCTAGTTTTAATCTTTATAATGGTAACTGGCTACACAATTAGGTGGTTTTTTAATCTGTTTTGTAATAGAGAACCATTTTCTAAGGCAGGAAAAATGGCATTTGGTTAAATATAAGTTTCAAGTCCTGCTATGTATGTGGGCAGTGGTTCAGAAAGTCAGTGTGTGACTATGGCTGTGTACAGACTTCTCCTTTAAAATCTGAATTAAAAAAATGAGGATTTTAGTTGGTAAACACCTGACTCCAGAAAGTTGACAGTTCACAAGATCTCATACTAATTTCTCAGAGTTTGAAAACTGTGGCTTCCTATATGTACATATCTTTCATAGGAAGCTGTCAGGGAACTGCCATCGGACGGAAGGGAGGTGAAAGGGCTCACACAGGTTGGGAGAGACGCAGCAGCTGAAGAGGAAACCAACAGGGAGGTGAAAGGGCTCACACAGGTTGGGAGAGACGCAGCAGCTGATGAGGGAACCAGCAGGGGAGAGGAGCTGAGCTGGAGGGATGGCTCAGAGACACTTCCAGCGAAAACAGTGGAGAGGTTTCAGGACCTCCTGTAAGAACACCCACTCCTCGCCGGAAACTGTCACGCAGAGATTCCAGAAGACGTGTTTCCGTTAAGGAGCTTTTATGTTGGAAGCGATTACGAAAGCAACCACTGTCGGAATCTGCTAGTGACTAGAGTAGCCATGTCTGAGGGGCTCTGTCACAGACAGAGGTTTGTGGACTTGAACAAACTCTGAGGGGATACGATTTTACGCACAAGCAGCTCATCATCCCATCACAGCATTCCGACAGTCTTTGAAAGCAGCTTGTGCAGGAGAAGGTATCATGAGCAACCCAGCCGGAACCGGAGAAGCAGGAGCTGGAGCGGGTCCAAGCCTGGAAGAAAGGTACCAGATGTTGGAGGTCCAGCTAGCGATGCAGACGGCGAGGCTTGAGGAGAGGAGGGCTCAGGATGCAGACAAAAGGGGAAAGCCACCCAGTTCGCCAGAAAGGTACCAGGATTGGTGCAGAAGTTTGGGGGGGAGCCCAAAAACTATCATGGTTTTCGGACAGAAATGCAATATGCCCTCAATCTGCAGTTTGATGAATCCCTGACGAGGAATCACGAGTGGCTTTCGTGATTGAGCATCTTGAAAAGGGGGCGAGAGACTGGGTTAGACCCCTGATGGCAGCGAATAGTGACGTCTTAAAAGACACGATGAAGTTCTTTCGCGCCATGGATCTGATGTTTTCCAGCGATATTGAAAAGGGAGTGGTGCGCAGACAGTTAATGGGTTGCAAACAGGGGAGCCGATCTGTCCGTGAGTACTGGACTGAGTTCACCATGCTTGTTCACAGATTGGGGTGGGACTTATCGGCGGAACCCATTCAAATGCTCTTTGAAGAAGGGCTTTCTTCGGCTGTGAAAGACGAACTTTCCCGGGCGCCCAGGGCGGAGTCTATGGACCAGCTGACCAAATCAGCGCTGGCCATAGGAGCGCGCCAGGAGGCGAGAGCATTGGAGAGGCGGGAAGGGAAAGGGGAACGTTGGAAGGAGTTCCGCATTCCAGACATTCCAGAGCCAACTTTCCCACCGGCAGAGCCGATGGAAATCGGAACAGCGCGCGCGCGCAGTTTCAAAGCCCAGTGAGGGGGCAAAGAAGGAGGGAAAAGGCGCCCGGAAATGCTATCTCTGCCAACAGCCAGGTCACTTTGCCAGAGTCTGCCCTCAGAGGAAAGAATGGCAAGGGATGGTAGGGGCTGTGGATGGAAGAGAGGAAAATATACCGGAGCAAGTAAAAGCCAACGCCTGGCTGCCACTGTCAGGGCACAGCAGCCAGGCCAAAGAGCAGTGAGAGTGCCCACGCCAGAACCTCCTAAACCCGCCCTAGTGATAGAAGTGACGCTAGAGCTGCCAAACGGACACCCTCTAAAGATAAAGGCGCTGTTGGACTCAGGCAGCTCCTGCAATTTCATGAGCAAAGAGTTTGCAGCTGAACACCAGATACAGACAATCCCTTTAAGCAGCCCCTTGCAGGTGACCACGATCGATGGCAGGGAGCTGTTGGGTGGAGAAGTCAGCTTGCAGACCGTCCCAATGATAATGAAGGTAGCAAGGCACACCGAACTGATAGCTTTTAATGTGGCCACCTTGGGAGGAGCTCCCATTATATTGGGGATGAGCTGGCTAGCGTTACATGATCCGCTGGTGGGCTGGCATCAGAGAGTGGTTTCTTTTGGTTCAGCACATTGCTTAGAACACTGCAAAGAGGGAAAGGGTTTGGCAGGGGTCCAAGCCACCCTAGCAGGGACTGAAGTAACAGAGAACGTGAAGGTACCACGACAATATGCAGATCTCCGTGACGTCTTCAGCGAAAGGGAAGCTGACCAACTACCCCGCATAGACCCTTTGACTGTCAAATCAACTTACTCCCTGGAGCACAGCTCCCTGTAGGCAAGCTGTACGCCATGTCAGACAGAGAGATGCAGGAGTTAAGAGAGTTCATTGACAAGAACCTGAAGAGAGGGTTCATCAGAGAGTCCAGGGCGGTGGGGGCAGCCCAGTGTTTTTGTGGATAAGAAAACACGAACAAGCCGAGGCTGGTGTGTGACTTCAGGGCCTTAAATGCAGTGTCAGAACCAGTAGCCTTCCCTATGCCCAGGATTGACGACATTTTGACAAGGGTGCGGAAGGGAAAGATTTTTACAAAGCTGGACCTAAGGGGGGCGTACAACCTGGTACGAATAAGGAAGGGGGATGAATGGAAAACCACTATGTTCACCCCTTTAGGGGCATTTGAATATTTGGTTATGCCCTTCGGCCTACAAGGAGGCTCCGCAACATTTCAATCGTTTATGAACCACGTCCTGGGGCCTTTGCTTTACAAGAATTGTGTGGCCTTTTAGACGACGTGTTGGTGTATTCTGAGAATGAGGAGCAGCATGTGAGAGACGTCAGAGAAGTGTTGAGCAGGCTGCAAGCCAACCAGCTGTGGGTGAAACTGGAGAAGTGTCAGTTTCATACCAAGGAGGTGGAATTCCTGGGGTATCGCCTGTCAGACAAGGGATTGGCCATGGATCCCGGCAAGGTCCAGGCTGTGCTGGAATGGAAAACACCCAAAACAAAGAAGGATGTGCAGAGGTTCCTAGGATTTGGGAACTTCTATCGTAAGTTCATCCGAAACTTTGCCCACCTGACGGCGCCCATTACGGACTGTCTCAGCAGTAAGAAGAAGTTCGTGTGGACTGAGGAGGCGGAGCGAGCATTTGAGGAACTAAAAGGGCCTTCGCCTCGGAACAACAACTCCTGCATGTGGATTTACAAAACCGATGAGAGTGGAAACTGACGCATCAGACAGAGCGATTGGGGCGGTGCTTCTGCAGCCAGGCAAGAAGGGGTCAGAGTGGAGACCGTGTGCCTTTTTTCGCGAAAGCTGAACAAATCCGAGAGGAACTACACGGTGTATGACCGAGAACTACTAGCCATTCATGAGGCGTTCCGGAGATGGAGGCACCTGCTAATTGGCGCACAACATAAGGTGCAAGTGTGCACTGACCACAAGAACCTAGAGTATTGGAGGACGGCACGAGTGCTCAACCAACGGCAAGTGAGATGGGCCCAGGAGTTCTCCAAATTTAACTTTGAGATTAGTTACGTGCCAGGCCCAGAGAACATTAGGGCGGACGCTCTCTCACGCAAACCTGAATATTTGGAGGGAGGGGCACCCGAAGAGAGACATGTCATTCCAGAAGACCGCTGGGTGTGTGGGGCGGCATTGGTGGGACAAAGAGAACTGGTAGAGGAAACAGAGAATGATGAATACGCCCAGAATAAGCTCAGAGGTCTTAGGGGTGATGGAGAGGAACCAGGGGGTTTCGAGGAAAGAAATGGAGCTTTGTATTACAAAGGGGCACTGTATATCCCTGAAGGAGAGTTAAGGGGAGGGTACTCAAGCAGTTGCACGACAGCCCTACGGCGGGGCATTTTGGACAACACAAAACCATGTGGTTGGTCACCAGGGAATTTTGGTGGCCTAAGGTGAGGGAAGATGTACGTGAGTATGTAAGAGGGTGCGAGCAATGCCAGCGAGCCAAAGGGGAAAGGCGGGCGCCGGCGGGGCTATTAGAACCCTTACCAACCCCAGAACGACCTTGGGAGGCAGTGTCGATAGATTTTATGACTGATCTGCCGAAGTCCAAAGGGAAAACAGCCATCATGGTGGTGGTAGACCTACTAACAAAGATGTGCCACTTTGTAGCTTGCTCGCATGCAGTCACGGCGGAAGAGACAGCGAAGTTATTTGTAGAAAACATTTTTAGGTTGCACGGGGTGCCATTGAGGGTGGTCTCAGACCGAGGAAAACAATTTACTTCCAGGTTCTGGAGGAAGCTCATGAGCTTACTGCAGGTGGAGGTCAATTTTTCGACTGCCCGGCACCCTGAAACCAACGGGCAGGCGGAAAGAGCAAACGGTGTCCTCCAGCAATACCTGAGGTGTTATGTCAATGACAGAGAGAATGACTGGGTAGAAAAGTTGGCGCTGGCGGAATTTGCCTACAACAATGCCGAGAATGTGTCCACAGGGATGAGCCCCTTCTTGGCTAATTATGGGTGTCATCCCAGGGCTTTCCCAGGGGAAGAGGGGGAGAGATGGAGCGTCCCGGCAGCCGAGCATTTTGTGGAAGAAATGGAAGCAATCCATCGTCAGCTCCAACTCAACTTAGAAAGGGCGAAGGAAGAATACAAGAGGCAGGCAGACAAGAACCGAAGGGAAGGTGAAACCATAAGGGTGGGAGATAGGGTGTGGCTGTCAACCCAAGGGTTGCCGTTCAAAGGAGGTTGTAAGAAATTAAGACCCAGGAGGTTGGGTCCCTTTGAGGTCATTCAACAGGTCAACCCAGTGGCTTTCAGGCTCCGGTTACCCAACCACATGAAACTGCACCCAGTATTTCACAGGTCGTTACTGTCACCGTACGAAGGGGGACGAGAAGGGCTGGCCACTCGGGGACCGGTCGTAGAAGAAAGAGAATGCAGCAGCCATGTGGCAGAAATCCTCGACGCCAGGTGGAAGGGGGATCAGGTGGAGTATTTGGTAGCGTGGGAAGGAGAACCGGAGTCAGAAAACACTTGGGTAATGGCTGAAGATATCAATGACGAGGTATTGATAGAAACGTTCCATCAAAGGTTCCCAAGGAAACCTCAGCCTGTGGAGAGGTTCCGGAGGGAATACTTTGGGACCACTGATGAAGGGGAGGAGTTGGAAGGATTCCCGGACTCGGAAGGGGAAGGGGAGATGGACTCTGAGGAGGAGGTGTACTTCGAGACCAGGAACCGCAACAGGTTGAGAGAAGTGTTCGAGACATCGGAAGATGAAGGAAGTTCATTCCGGGTTTTGCCTCCTCACCGCCCGTAGAGGAGGGGGCGAGAGGGGGTGAAGGGGGCCCTGGAGGGGAGGTGGATGTCAGGGAACTGCCATCGGACGGAAGGGAGGTGAAAGGGCTCACACAGGTTGGGAGAGACGCAGCAGCTGAAGAGGAAACCAACAGGGAGGTGAAAGGGCTCACACAGGTTGGGAGAGACGCAGCAGCTGATGAGGGAACCAGCAGGGGAGAGGAGCTGAGCTGGAGGGATGGCTCAGAGACACTTCCAGCGAAAACAGTGGAGAGGTTTCAGGACCTCCTGTAAGAACACCCACTCCTCGCCGGAAACTGTCACGCAGAGATTCCAGAAGACGTGTTTCCGTTAAGGAGCTTTTATGTTGGAAGCGATTACGAAAGCAACCACTGTCGGAATCTGCTAGTGACTAGAGTAGCCATGTCTGAGGGGCTCTGTCACAGACAGAGGTTTGTGGACTTGAACAAACTCTGAGGGGATACGATTTTACGCACAAGCAGCTCATCATCCCATCACAGAAGCCTTGACTTCTGCACTCAGTTCAGGATAATTCTAAACTTGCTGTTCCATACAAATGTTACTCTGAACAAGGTGAAATGACTAAATTGCTAAACAATTCCAATGCAATTAAATAAATGTTTGGCGCATTGTTCTATTATTATTAGTCATCAAGTTCCCATGGCAAGCTTTTGTGAAGAGTCTTGCATGCTTAAGGATAACAATGTTAGATAGTACTATGCAATATGTAAAGCATGCCTTCCTACTGTAGCATGGCATCCATACTCTTGATATTAATGATATGAAAGAAATGTAAATGATAAGCAGTGATGATGAAGTGATGAGTCCAAGGTCTACAATTAACTTTTTGTTTTTAATGCGGTTATAACAAGGTTTTAAGTGTTGGTATGATGAGTTTGAGAAGACTACCTCAATATTTTTTTCATTAAGCTAGTGTAGCTCTAGTTATCATAAAAGTTGCTGTTAAGAGTTCGGATTACCTTTGTGTTGCATTTAAAACAAGGAAGCTGCATTTCAAGTGGAAATATGAAATAAAAGTGTTAGATAGTATCAAATTTTCACTCATTAGGTGAATGGAGATTTGTCTTAATTTTTGAAGTACAGGCTATAGTAATAATAATAAGAAGAAGAAGAAGAAGAAGAAGAAGAAGAAATTGTTTCTACCCCACCCATATGGTTGGGTTTCCCCAGCCACTCTTGGTGGCTTTCAACAGAACATTAAAAACAGAATAAAGCTTCAAACATTAAAAACTTCCCTAAACAGGATTGCCTTCGGATGTCTTCTAAAAGTCAGATACAGTGGTGCCTCGCAAGACGAAATTAATCCGTTCCACGAGAGTCTTCGTCTAGCGGTTTTTTCGTCTTGCGAAGCAAGCCCATTGACGGATTAGCGCTATTAGCGCTATTAGCGGTTTAGCGGCTATTAAAGGCTTAAAGGATTAGGGGATTAGCTGCTAAAAGGCTATTAAAGGCTATTAAAGGCTTAGCAGATTAGATAAAGGGGGAAAAGCGAAAAAAATCAAAAGACTCGCAAGATATTTTCGTCTTGCGAGCAAGCCCATAGGGGAATTCGTCCTGCGAAGCAACTTCAAAACGGAAAACCCTTTCGTCTAGCGGTTTTTCCGTCTTGCGAGGCATTCGTCTTGCGGGGCACCACTGTAGTTGTTTATTCCCTTGACATCTGATGGGAGGGCATTCCACAGGGCGGGCGCCACTACTGAGAAGGCCCTCTGCCTGGTTCCCTGTAACTTTGCTTCTCGCAGTGAGGGAACCGCCAGAAAGCCCTCGAAGCTGGACCTAAGTGTCTGGGCTGAACGATGGGGGTGGAGACGCTCCTTCAGGTATACTGGGCTGAAGTCATGTCTAAAATAAATTTTATATTTACTCAGTTAATGGAATGAATAATACTTGTCCTTTTGCGAAGCTGTATACGTAATTAACATCCCATATTAGCTCAGTGATAGACCATCTGCCTTGAATGCAGGAGGTCCCTGGTGCAATCTCTGACATCTCCAGGTAGGGCTGGAAGAGCATCCCTGCCTGAAACTCTGGAGAGCAGTTGCCAGGCAGTGTAGACCAGGCACCCCCAAACTCAGCCCTCCAGATGTTTTGGGACTGTAGTTCCCATCATCCCTGACCACTGGTCCTGTTAGCTAGGGATGGTGGGAGTTGTAGTCCCAAAACATCTGGAGGGCCGAGTTTGGGGGTGCCTGCTGTAGACAGTACTGAGCTAGATAGATGGACCAATGGTCTGATTCAGTGTAAGGTAGTTTCCTATGCTTCTGAAAATTAAGTAACAATGTCCTAACACTGGTTGCATAATAAACTTCTTTGAATATCCCTGTGGATTGTCATGGCTGTCTCCTTCATTAAAGTGCCGCCTTCATTTGTAGGGTCTTGATTTCATTGCTCAATTTTACTGCCAAGGTCCTTTGGTGTTTCAACAGCACATTGACCCATTAGGAATGGAACTACTTCAGTAAAATCATGGGCATCCCTCATGTGCATGACCTCCTCCTTTGGATCATAGTCTGTACACTCAAAGACTAGGCTAACAAGCCTTGGGCATGAAGGTTTAAAGCAATGGTCCTTGCCTCTGTTGTTTACAAACATGGCACTGGGGTGTGTCCTCAAGCCCAAGAGCCATAGGGTGGGGCTACTAATTGGTGTGTCTGGATTGGTCATCCTATTTGCACACAGCCTACAAATTGATGCTTCAGCCATGCTACTCAGCATATCCAGTCTAATTTTGTTTCTCTCTGCTATTATTTTGTTGCAGGTTTCTGAGAAATGACTGATTTCCTGCATTCCCCGTCGCTGATGGTAAATTAACAGTTCTGGTGTGTAAATAGTAAGTTGCCACTGTGTGTTTGGTGCTCCATGCACATCTGAGGAAGTAAGTCTCTCTCTCTCATAGAGAGAGAGGCTGTAAAATGCACGTTATGAATTGTGTCTCTTTGGTCAATGACAAAGAAAATGGAGCTATTTCAGTTGAAGCTGGATTAATGATTGGAGATACGACAGAACCAGAAGAACAACTGCCTCCAGCACCACCACCACCGCCACCTCTACCATGTCCACCCGCAGAAGCTGGATTTTCTTCACTAGAAGTGGTGCCACCTCCTCCACCCCCTCCACCTCTAGCACTGAGCAGACCTCCACTGCCACAGCTGGTAAATGGGCATGGCCACCAGAGCAAGAAAAAGAGACTACGTAGCTTCTTCTGGAAAACTATACCTGAAGAACAAGTCCGTGGCAAAAACAATATCTGGACTATTGGTGCTAAACAGAATTATCAGATTGACACAAAGACAATGGAGGAGTTCTTTGGCCAGCAAGAAGAGACGCCACCCAGAGGTTCCAAAACCAAAACTTTAAGGAGGTCCTTTAAAGATACTAAACAAGAGGTAAGTGTGAGCGTACTTCCTCTTCGTTAAAGAAAATCTTATGTGTTGGAAGTTGCTATGGAACTTCTTGCCTTCGTTTCCCTTGCCCCCTGTTCTTGTGCTGTAGCCTTATTCCTATCAGGAAAAATGTTTGTTTATTAAATCTGTATACTACTCTTGATCTGTAGCTAGAGCCTAAATTTGTGTGTCGCTCAGAATTGATGGTTGAAGGTGTCTGTGGATCAAGATGCGTCATGCAATGAGATGGGGTTAATGTATTTGTAATTTGACATTGCCTGAAGTATTTAAGGATCGTTGGGACTTTGTATATTACTGTGCGGTTCAGATACATCTGCTCTCATGAAAAGGGCAAGCCCCTAGCTCTCATGAAAAACTTGGACAGTGTCTAAAAACTTGTGCTGTCCAGAATTCCCACTAGTTTTTTATTCGTTAGAGCTTGAGTGGACTCTATGCTTTACTAACCAACCCAATATTTATTACCAGAACACACTCTCTTTACTGGGTAGAGGCTTGCCTGAAATGCAGCCCCTGCTCCTCAAAGTCCCAAAAGTTCAGAGCTGGAGTGCGCTGAGGCTCTTTGTTCCTTGGCGCCTCCACTATTCGAGCTCCAGGCTTCCAGCATCGGAAGGGAGAGGCAGAGGTGAACTGTCTTGCTGTGCCTCTGTGCAAACAGGTGCTCAGAGCTGGAAGGGAGAGGCAGAAGCTGGTTCTGCCTCTATGCCTGACTAGTGTTTAGGAGCCCTCATGCCTCCACCTCTTCATCCCAGCTGCCAGAGCTGAAGGTGGGAGGTAGAGGCTTGTAATGGATCTATGATAGCACCCAGTAGATCAAGAGTGGCCCTACCATTGGCCATAGTGAAGTGAAACCTCAGGCGGCACATGTTGGAGTGGTGGTATTGCAGGAAGCCCCCCTGGCTGTTTCTCCAAAGTCTCCCCCCTAGCCATTCCTGTCTGTTGGTGGGTGGAGACTTTTTTTGCAACTTGGTCTGTCCTGCCCCCTCTCCTGCCAAAAAAACCACCCGATCCTGCTGTCTCAGGTACAGTGGAGGATATAATCTTGTCACTAGTGGTGAAGTAAGATTCCAGCACCAGTCTATAGTTAGTTTCTCTACTGGGAAGGGGTGCTTTACCCATCTTGATTCATTTAATTTTTAAAATTTGAGGCAGTGTAAAGTAGATAAACTAAAGCAGGTTTGTTTTATTGCATTATTTTGCTTGTAGCATTTACATTATTTGACGAAGAATACATGAGAGTGGTGGTATTTTTCTTAATGCATGGCTCTGTAGTCTGCAGCTCACTTCTTTTCTTCTGACTTTGAGGCAGTGGAAGTGACTCTAGTTCCTGGAGCAAGGAACCTTCCTGAGTCAGTATGGGCACACATGTTTCTGGTGTGCGTAAGGTCTTTGTCTTGGCTACTTGTTAGATCTGTTTGCACATAATTCACTTCTTCATTCAGGAAAATTGAGGTCTTGCTTAGTGAGTCAGATTATCCTCCACCAGGACCAGGGCCTTCTCAGTGATGGCTCCGACCTGGTGGAATGCTCTGTCCCATGAGACCAGGTCCCTGCAGGGTTTAACTTCCTTCTGCAGGGCCTGTAAGACAAAGCTATTCTGCTTGGCTTTCAATTTGAACTTACTTAGCCTGATCTTTTATTCCCCTTCCTTCCTTCCCTCCACCTCCCCTTTTTATGAAGATTACCTGTTCTGGGAACTCACAGCTAATTCTCCCCTGGTCTCCTCGCTGGCCCAAATAGGACTAATTTAGCCAGCTAGCCCTGGTGATCATCTAATGTTTATTGGATGGTTTTCCCCCCTAAATTGATTTTTGAATTCTGAATTTATTGTTATTCACATTTTATATTGTATTTTATGCTGTTTTTTGTTGCATCAATTAAGTGTTTTGAATTTGTTGTTAGCCGCCCTGAGCCCGGTTTTCTGAACCGGGAAGGGCGGGGTATAAATAAAATTGTATTATTATTATTATATGATCTGTACTAATGAGCTGGTGAATATTAAAGGGATAAGGAAGTTGGGCCACTAACTATGTACAGTAGAAAGAAGTAAAAGCAGTCTAAAACTTGGAAGTTGGGTACTGCATGCATGAAGGGCTTCCTTCAGCAAAGAAATATTTGTGTCAGAAGTGGCTTTCTTTTCAGGAAATGCTGTATAAAAATGGTGCATGGTGCCATTACCCTCATAAAGTTAGTTGTTTGGACTGTAGCCAGAAGAGTTGGTAGGCAGCACATTTGCTGCCATGCATCCTAAACTGTGTTAGGGTGTTAGGCTTGCAATCCTAAGCACACACATTAGTGAGTCAGCTCCTTTGAACTCCGTGGACTTGCAATCCTAAGCATGTTTACTGAAAAGCATCACATGACAGGAACATGTTAGCTCTTCTTGAAAAATTAAAACCCATTTAACTTTTATCTCGTGGCAAATGCCTCTAAAATAACTTATGGGAGATTATTACAAATGTATAAGGAAGACTAAATCCATAAAACAACACTGCATTTTTGTGGAAATATCCTTGTGTAAATATTTTATCAAATGTGTTCCCCCCCAAAATAATAATTTGATACCTTGTGTATAACATAAGCAATTCCACTGCTTATTTATCATTCATGAGTGTATGTGCTATAAAGTGATTGTTCTCTTTTTATAATACGCTAATATGTTTGGGCTGTGCCTTTTGAAGCTTTTGCCTCTTAGCATTATTGTTGTGTTGAAAATGCAATCTAGACAGACTTTTGGAAAGCTGCTAATGTTAGGTTTTGCTAGGTTGGGTGTCTGTGTGGGGACGTCATCATGTGGTTTGGGAAAAATGTCTAAGATAGTGTGCAAGCACAATTAGAAGAAAATAATAATGCAGTCTCTGGTAGAAATTCGCAGAAAAGACAAGTTCATGCATATAGAACTAAACAAGAAGCACCTGATAATTCTAGGAGCACATTTAGAAAAATCTGCTTGGAAACATCTTTCTGTCTGACTACAGATTGTTACAAGTTGGTAAAGGAGTTTGCATACTATGACTAAACACATACACATATTTGGTAAGATTGAAAGGGAGGGTAGCGAAGTGGGTGTATATACTTAAGTGTGTTAATCATAGCTGTGTGTACATTTGAAAAGTTACTTCAAGTTTTTGTCCACCTCCTGCAGAGAGGTTGCTACCTGTAGTTTTTTTGTTGATTTTAATAGCTGACTTCAAACCACTTTATTCCAGAGTGGTTCTATAAATGTTTAATGGTGTTGTCACACAGAAAATAGTTTGAGGTCTCAAAACAAGTTATTTCATTGCCATGGAAAAGCAATATATACATAAAAGGTAAACGTAAATGACCCCTGGATGGTTAAGTCCAGTCAAAGGCAACTATGTGGTGTGGAGCTCATCTCGCTTTCAGGCCAAGAGAGCCAGCATTTGTCCACAGACAGCTTTCCAGGTCATGTGGCCAGCATGACTTAACCACTTCTGGTGCAACGGAACACCATGATGGAAGCCAGAAGGTAAATGGCATTTACCTTCCCGTCACAGCAGTACCTATTTATATGCTTGCAATGGTGTGGTTTCGAACTGCTAACTTGACAGAAGCTGGGACAGAGCAACAGGAGCTCACGTAGTCACGCGGATGTGAACTGCTGACCTTCTAATCAGCAAGCCCAAGACTCAGTGGTTTAGACCAGAAAACATACTGCACGTAAGCAAAATGTGATGATCTGAAGGAATTTAAATATTTTGCATGAAACTGTTGGGGTTAGATTTAACCCCTGCCAAATAAAAATCAGCAGTGAAGACCAGGTTGTTCTATAGCAAAGGATGCAGAGTTGACCCATGGCACAGTGTAGCTTGCCTATCACTGTGTATCTTTAATATTTAACCAAAATATGGATTTGTATGAGTGCAGACAGATGTACCATTAATACTAGGGCTCTGGACTAATCACGAATCAGGCCAAACTGGATTGATCCAGGATTTGCCACAGAGCAGGCTGAGGCAGTCTCTTGAATGCCCTGGGTTGAGGCCACCTGGAGTGATCTGGGGCTGTCACAACAGGAGGGGCAGCTGGGCAAGCTTCTACCCACCCCCAACTACATGTTCAAATAAAGTTTAAAACCCTGATTAAACATGTGGTTTGGAGGGGGATCACATATTTAATTAGGATGCATCATAGGCATACCAACTTCCAGACACTGGTATACAATTATGATGGTAAACTAAAAGTCATTCCATGCTGTCTTCAGCATGTGGCGCAGGCATGTGTATGCCTGGTTCAGTATGACTGGAAAGCAGCAGAAATTGATCGGAAGCTTTTGATTCCCACTATTACGATCCTGAGAACAGGCCCCTAGAGAGCAGTTGAACAGCTGAACCACAAATGACTGAATGCTTTACAGCAGGCATAGGCAAACTCTGGCCCTATGCCTGCTTTCCAGTGTTGCGGTGATGAAAAAACATGGATCTGAGGCATATCTCCATATTATCCCTCATAATTTTTACAAGAGATTCCACCTATTAAACAGTAGGCCACCCAGTATATGAGTTCTGTGATTTGGTGATGGTTTTCTTGTCAGCCTATGTGAAAATCACGAAGATTGGATTGATGTCTTTGTGGCAAGCACTGGATCTGATTTATTATTATTATTCTGCAGTCTACCAGCATAAACTTTATTTTGGTGGTGTTTTGGGGAAATAACACAAATTCAAGAGAATCCCATTTAATTCCGCTGCATCTGATTTTTATCCAGATCTTGTGGAAATTGAAGAATGTGTGTACACATATGTGCACATGCACATATTATGTATTTGTGTTTGGACAAGTGACAAGGGAGGGAGAGGGGGAAGAATGAACAAGAGGGACTGAGGTACTATGACACCTTTTCAAAATTCCAGATGTGATCATGGGGTGACCCCGGTGAGAAAGGAATATACAAGTCTTTGTTGATGCCCCAATATTATTTCTTTATCTGTCTTGTGATTTTTATCTATAGCTCTAGAGCAGGGGTTATCAACCTGCTCCCTACCACCCACTAGTGGGTGTTTCAGGAACCTAGGTGGGCAGTAGGGGGTTCTATGGCACAAGCTGAATCCTTCTTCCATCGAGCACCGGTGGGCGGTAAGAGAATTTTACCATCAAGAAAGATGTATTAGTGGGCGGTAGGTATAAAAACGTTGACTACCCCTGCTCTAGAGGGTTTTTGTTTGATTTCAGACTTGTTCATAAAGATGAATCCAAAATAGGCATGCAAGGGTCGAAGTGCTGTGAAATCTACTTTTTCAAAGTTGTGGAAAAAGCAGTTTAAAAGTGAATTGCCAAATGACAATTATTGGACTATCATCTTGTGCCAGGTGAAAGAAATGGGAGGTTTTTACTCAACAAGAGTATAGTAGTAAATTATTCCCAAGCAGATGACGAAAACTGAGTGCTCTTCAAATATAAGTAGAATATAGGTGTATGCATATATATATACACCCTGTGTATATGTACATATAAACACACTCTGTCCTAATGAATGGAGTGTAGTGTAATGTAATGCTGAATGTGGATATTACTGCTGAATGTGGATATTACTGCTGAATGTGGATATTACTTTACATTGCTAGTAAGGAAGAAGGATATTGGTCAAAAGGGGTGGGGAAGGGGAGATAATTGTAAGAGAAGACATCTTGGAATTTCATTGCAAAATGTTTCGCTTGTGCAGATGACAAACTTAAGAGATTTTAAAAGATTAATGTGTATTGGGGTAAATTATAATTCCAGACTTTTTCCTATCTAGAAGAATACATAACTTATATGCCGAATTGAAAAATCTATGTAGACTAAAGATGTTTGGGCTTGAAATAGCAGAATCTAGTCTTCTTTCCATAGATCTTTCCTTCAAAAGTCACTTTTTTCTACATTCAAATAACTCAGTTATTTGACTGCCCTGTCTCTCGTACATTCTTAAAATATGGGATAAAAGTGTGATTCACTTAATGACTCTTGAAGAATATCAGGAGATATGACGCTTAATAAATCTATGAGCAGCTGGTTATCCAAAAAGAATGGAAATGGAACACCTCAGATAAAATATGACGGTGAAGAAAGAGCCTTTGAGCTCCATTTCAAGACTGAGAAACATGATGAAAAATGTAGCTTGAGCTTTCAGTCCAATGCACGTGTCTTGCAAGTTTGGCTTCAAAGGCAGGGAAAAAACTAGTGTATTCACTTTCAGGTTGAATCAAGTTACAATCTGTTTAACATCTTTAATAGAAATGAGCTATCAACATTGCACTGAGTGCAATTTTAGTTTATATCAAGCTTAATCTTGGTCATCTGTATGACTAAACTTTATATATGATTTCAGGTCAGGAGGCATGAGGTTGCAAAGATGCTCAGGACTGTAGAGTAATGAAAATGTGGAAATATGCTGGCATACATTTTAAGTAAGTGCAGAGCCAAGCCCCAGAATGAGGTGATGGTTGTCAGGAATGCCAAACAGGATTTAGGAGTGATAAAAATGTGGCATTTACATGTAAAAGCACAGATGATAATTGCCATGTGCTGAGCAACACTTTAACAGGTTTTAACTTTTGTCCTTGCTTGTCTTCCTGAATTTTTGAGCACTTCCAAAGGGTGGGTGCTTATTAGTTCCTGAGGATTCCTGCTAAATACAGTACTTGTTTGAAACATCTGAGGGCAAGTGTTCAAGAAAGCATGTTGCATGAATCAGTAAGCAAAAGGGAGAAATTTGTTGGTACAGTGTGGAAAAAGTAATGCTTGTTGAACAGAGAGAGCTCTTTTCACCTTGCCTGTTGCATCCTCTTCAGTATCTGACTACACAGCTCACTAAGAGGGTCTGATAGGTAGATGTTTGCAAAAGAGAGAATATGCCTCAAGTTAGTACCCACCCAAGGAGATGGTGTACTTTTATCTATTTCATGTGGTAACTTCAAAATTGATAGTATGATATGACCCCCCTGGGGGCTTATGTTTGCCCCTCCCTTTAACATAGTGATCTGGTATCTTTTAACACATCTTATAAAAATTATAAAGGGTTCCCTTGCATCTAAATATGGGTTTACCAGTTACCCAATGAAATTGCTGTTCTAGGGGTCAATGAAAGTACATTCAGGAAAACATTTGAGAACAGATTAGATAGCAGATACAGCTTCTGTAATGACAGTTCAGGCTGTACTATATGCATACGTTTTCACTTAATCATGTACTCCTTGCTTTGGCAAATATTCAGAAGGGGTTGTTCTTTATATAAGACTGGACTTGCACTAGAAACATCTAATTTAAAAAATAAAACTTAGCATATTGTGACATATTGTAATGTTTGTACATTCTCAGATAAACACCAACAGTAATTTATCAGGAAACTTGGGGTCTTGTTATCAATAGTTACAGTGTTCAAAATTAGCGAGGTGCCAGGCACATTTTGTACCCAACTATTGCCCACTTGCAACTAAGTGAAGATGCCTGGGTGCCAGGATAGTGCCTGACATCTCCACCATCTGGAGGTACATGCCCAGGGATCAGTGGATCTTGGCTATTTTCACTGCTTACTAAGAGTCAGAAATAATGCAACTTAGCCTATAACTACTTTCCAGACCATAGAGTCGTTTGGAGGAGAATTCTGATGTCACTTCTGTTATCAGTCAACATTATAGCATTGGAATGACTAACTGATAACTCGGACTTTGCATGAGTCAAACAATTGTATTTTGTGAGTAAAGGTAAAGTGACCCCTGACCATTAGGTCCAGTCGCGGACGACTCTGGGGTTGCGGTGCTCATCTTGCTTTATTGGCCAAGGGAGCCGGTGTACAGCTTCCGGGTCATGTGGCCAGCATGACTAAGCCGCTTCTGGCAAATCAGAGCAGCACACGGAAACGCCGTTTACGTTCCCACCGGAGCGGTACCTATTTATCTACTTGCACTTTGTGCTTTTGAACTGCTAGGTTGGCAGGAGCAGGGACCGAGCAACAGGAGCTCACCCCGTCGCAGGGATTCGAGTACTACCACACAAAAACCACAATTCACATTTTCACCCCTGCTTCAGGGAATTGAACAATACGGTATATTTTTAGTTTTAGATTAGCAAGTGTGGTATGTTATGCTATCCTAAGAGGAATTTAACTGAGGGCTGCTAGACTAGTCACTGTGTATGATGGAGTTATTCTTGTACAAAGATGTTATGCTTTTGGGTATCTGCCTTTGCTGGCCTACAGGTGACAGTTGTCATAAAGCAGTTTTCTGCTGCTAATGAACTGCATGGAGGTTAATAGCAGCAATGAAAGCCTAGTTACCAATGTAACGTTTTTACCTAATACCATAAGGTGGCATCATTCCAGGTAATTGTTTCTGGCTTTTTTAGATTCCAGTGTGGAATGTGGTGAAGTACTGTGTCTGGAGTGTGCAAAATGGAAGCCACATACTTATTTGGGCTTTTAGCATTTCAAGACTAGCCACAGATTCAAATGGGTAGGCAGGTATATCAAAAGGAGTCAAGAAAACTTTAGAGGGTTAGGATAGTCTTCAGGTTTCATTTGTATTGTATCTCCCCACCCCCCACCCCCAGGGTCCTACTCGAGTGTAGGACAAGCTTCGGACAACATTTTCACCTTTGTTTCCTATCATTCATTTGTGCATGTGCAACTATGCACAGCAATGTTGGCTAACCCCTGACTGGGCTACAACTCCTGATCGTTTGCAGGGGCTTATATAGTAATTATAGTATTATAGTATTAGTGCTAAGGTAAAATGAATTTTAGTTAGCATGAATGTGAAAACGGTGGATCCAATCTATTTTTTTTTGTCAGATGGATATTAAACAAATAGCACCATAAAGATGCAATGCTATTTTTAAAAAAGCTTAAAGTGTATTATTTATGTTCTAAGGCAGCAGTACTTAAAGTCAGCTTCATTTTGTAGAGGCGATGATGTTTGATGTGTAACAGTATGAACTGTTAACAGTATTGTGCTGGATACATGCATTGTAAAGTTTGTACAGGAAAAAAAGAGAAGTAATTTCTGGTTTACAGATAGTTGGCTCTAATGGCAACTTCTTTCATGGTGTATGAATGTTTACACAGTATTTGGGATTATCTGCATATCACAGAAGAATTATCCTTGCATTTGCTATAGGATAGAACTTTCTTCTGCTTTTCCATGCCAGGAAATGTAAGCAAAGTAATCCAGCATTATTAAAACATTCTGTTTGAACAAGCCTTTTAATGCATTGCTCTCTTTTTTCCAGATTAATATTTTGGATGCCAAAAGAAGTATGAATATTGGGATCTTTCTTAAGCAGTTTAAAAAGTAAGATGTTACATGACTATTGAAACTGTCAGACATGGTGATAAAAATATGGTAGAAAATGAGAAATACCTCACCATAAGTAATATAACTACAAGCCCAATGTAACTAAAAAATTGGGTACAGATGTGTCAACTTTACTTGTACTGTATTTTCCTTATACATGTGCTAATCTTACTGTAAAGTTGAGCAGTCTGTAGTTAGATACTTCATTTTCAGTTGAGCTCAGTGTTTCTCTTCAAGGATTGAAACCCATTATAGTTTGAAGATTAATGTTTTATTTTTCTAAAGTCATTTATTTTATGTGTGAAAAAGGCAAAGAGTAAGAATTGTGGGTTGCATTGGCATTAATGCATTATTGTTCTAGACAGTTGTATTCATTTCAGTGGAACCTGCATTGAGGACACATATTAATACCATGCATGGCCACTGAAAGTTGTATAGCAATGAAGCTGTCATAGCATATAAAGCAAAAACAGCTTGGTTTTGTTCTTGAACATGCAAGAAATCTAATGTTCTGTCTTATGGAAATGCAAACTTCCTAGATCAAACTGTATGTCTTTGTTATATTTTCCCACCAAGATCAGTTGAATCCATAATTGAAGATCTCCACTCAGGAAGAAGTGATCTCTATGGTTCTGAGATACTACGTGAGCTCATCAAGTTATTGCCAGAAACAGAAGAGGTAAGAGGAGGATTGTGTTGAAAGACTTCTGTAAATTGATCAGGGACTATTAGCTACATGTTCTTGAAGATGAGAAAGATATGTCTTTGGGGGGGGGATGTTCTAACTGGCCAAGATAGTGAGTCAGATCCAGACTTGATCCTGTATGGATGGAAGGGTTTCTTCCATTGGTTCTGGGAGCTAAGATCCCACAAAAGTTTCTTATTCCATCTGCAGCCCAAGTACCACCTCAAACAATGTTCTAGGGGGTCCCCAAAACTCCCAGGGGCAGTTTTTCAGGGAGCACTGGTGACTGTGGAGAGTAGGAGGGATAATAAATAAATAAATAACCCTGCCCCCTTTCTTCAGCAGCGGTGGAACTCTGCTGAACTCAGGTCAGGATTAAACCAAAAATATAATGCTTATCCTGTGACTTGCTGACTAATGTCACAAAACCAGACATTACAGCAGCCTTAAAGCAATGTTAAATTTGAGCAAATGTTGTTTAGGAGGATGCTAAAGCTATATCTTGTAAAGGTGGTGTTATGGAACCGTCACTATACATTAGGGATCTTAATTACTCCTTTCCTGTTGTGCTCTTGAGCATTTTTTGAAAACATTTTTTGTTACGTATTCAGTCTTGCTTAGTGGAAGGATTGTAAAAGTGATGAAACAGTGCTGATGGACAAGAAAAGACAACCCTAAGGAGTAGGAAGGCAATAGCCAGTAACAGAATAGGCCAGGAAAATCTTTCTGGGGGGGAAACTGGATTGGGTGGAGGAACTAAAAGGAAGAATAGAAATTTGAAGCGCAGTAATAGAGAAGTTGCTTCAGGCGTAAGAGCAGCATGGTTGAGAGAAGGTGTTCTATGTGCTAACAAAAAGAGAGAGAAAATAAATAGATTATTGGGGACTGGAGAGTAAAAAAGTCCATGTAACTATAAGAACAGAAGTTTGTAGATACTGAGTATTTCATGGAAAACCAACTCTGACATCCAGGACCACCACAGAATGTTCATGTGGAATTGCTCCTTGGAACCTTCATACAGAATCTCTTTTCATATGGAGGACTATGTCATATACTTCCCTGAATATATAAACTGCTTTGCAGATGTTATCACTAAAGGAAAAGATGGCTTTAGCAGAGACCAGTGTTGAGGCCCAGGATGACCCAGTCATGAAGGAGTGTCCCAACAGTAGATACAAACAGAGAAAAATGACTTCTTTATAAGAAGAGAAGGACGGAACAAAGATGAACACATGGCAAAAGTTGCATATTTAGGAACAAAGGGAAATAGGTTTCTCTAATGGTGGTTCCAAAGGAATAGGATCTGTGTATGTGTTTGGGGTTTTTTTTGGGGGGGGGAGGGAAGGTGAGCAATGATTTCTGCATTCAGTCTCAGATGCAAGAGAAGGGAGAAACATGTATGTGCACATGTGTGAGCACACGCACAAAGTTCTGGGTCTGAAAAGTGTGGAATGTCAAGAATAGCCTTGGGAATCTTCTAAGGAAAGTATAGCTGATTCCATGAGCACGTGAGTTTCCCAGGAATGAGAAGAGTGACAGTAAGCATTGTTAAAGACGAAGAGCTGCCAAATGAGATGACTTTACACAGATGGGCTGGGAAAGAAGAGAGGGTGGTGTGCAAAGCCAAAGGAAGTGAGGGAATAGTAGTATTGCAATTAGGGTTGTGTTCAAGTGTATGCCATATCATGGATGCTTTTGGTATAACTCAACATCAACATGCTTCGACTTGCACAGTTCTACTGCTACGGTGTAGAAGTAATTAAAATAGTCACACTTTGCAACATTTTGCTGGATTGCAAGTTAGCTCTTTATTGAAGTGTTAGCTTGAAGATCTGAGCAAGCTAAGAAGCTAGCATGTTAATCTCCAAAATATTGCAGTTAAAACAAAACAAAACAAAATAAAATAAAATAAAATTCCTTCCAGTATCACCTTAGAGACCAACTAAGTTAGTTATTGGTCTGAGCTTTCGTGTGCATGCTGATGGAAGGAATTTCCCCCCCCCCCCCATTTTATTTTGTTTCGACTATGGCAGACCAACACAGCTACCTACCTGTAACTGTTGCACTTAAGGCAGCATTTTAACTACCCATATACCCAGTGCACTGTATGCTATAATTCTTTAGCCATTGTATTTGCTACTGGGTGTATAATAAAAAAACATTCTGGCTTTTATTACGAGTTCAGAAAGTAAACAGAATTCAGAAGGCGGCAGCAGTCACACTACAGGATCCTCTTGCATAGCTCCCTGAACACATACAGAAGTCCACAAATGTTGTGCCCCTTTCCTAAGTTCTCAGAAGACAGAAGGGCTCAGGATAGGAGTAGAGTCTCATCTCTGACTTCATGCTGGAGCTGCTCAGAATGTTTCTATAAAGTGCAGTATGGAGACTGGGAAACTTTCCCTACAAGCTTAGGTTCAGGAAAGAGGCAGGGCCTTTTGAAGCTCAGGAAGTTGAAGATGAGGGCAGGGATGATTGCCAGAGGAAGGACGGACAGTTTCCATGGTGACTAAATTTATGGACTCTTGTTTACACCGTTTCGCTTAGTTTACATTGTTAAAGAATTCAACTTTCATTGATTCAGAGTTGAACAATGTATCACCCTGTTTACAGGTCCCAGCCCTTCAAATATTTCCTTTGCATAGTGTTCCCTGCCAAAGTATCTATCTATCTATCCATCAGTAGCAAATGGCTCATTAGGAAGCAATAGGCTACTGAAGTTCTTCTCTCGAGCAGTTATTCCTTATTGTACCTGCTCAGCTAGAAAGTGCATATTTCTTATTTGTCAGAGGCTTGTGACATTTGGAGCAAAGTACTTAAGCAATGTTCAGTCGTTGGGTTGTCTTTTAAAAAGATGTACGAAAACTGAAATGCAAATAGGTTGGGGGAAGGAAAAATAGAAATCAAGCAGCATGAAGATAGAGAAGTGACAAGTGGCTTGTGTTGTGTTAAATAATACATCATTTACTTTGTAATATTTTTTCGAGGGGGAATGAAATATTCACACCAGTTGCATTGTTGTATACGCAAAATAACACTAAATCATGAATGTGCAAAACTGTTTTGGGGCCAAATCTGTACTTAATAGCATAGAAATACCTTCCCTGTAACAAGATCCTACTGTATGCAGAAACTATATAGGTAGGACTTGCTTCATTCTTTTTCATTCAGTTGCTGCCCACCTCCCAGGCTGACAACTGATAATGTATGTGATGTCCAACTCATAATTATTACACTAAGGAAGTGGGTTCCATTCATCTCTTTGGAAGAGTTCCAATCTCTTAAATGGGTGGTGGACATTGCATATTTTCAAAGACCCCATTCATAAACCACCTTGTTTTATAGATTGCCACCAGATAGATTCTGCTCTGCATTTGGATATTTGCATTATCTGTTTCCATACCAATGTTCATAGTCTCAGTGGAGAGGAAAACGGCAGGAATCCAAACAACCCATGTGAGCAGCTTCACTGTGTTACTGACTTTGTGAGGGAGCCAGACATTTAAGTCTATAAAGATAATGGTAACTGAACAAAGGGAAGCTTTGCTCCAATGTTCTCCAAGTTTTAAAACAGGCTTGGTCAAACTCGGCCCTCCAGCTGTTTTGGGACTACAACTCCCACCATCCCTACCTAACAGGACTAGTGGTCAGGGATGATGGGAATTGTAATCCCAAAACATTTGGAGGGCCAAGTTTGGCCATGCCTGTTTTAAAACATTTCGATATAGGTAGGGTTTGTTTAAGTAGCTCTTGGGCACACTGCACATCTAAAAACAAACATTGGGGCTCAGTTTTTGAATGTGTACAATACAGAGGGTCTTTGAACATGTGCAAAATGCTTTTGCCTTCACAATACCTAATCACACCAATGTAACTCCACCCCACCCCCTTGTCCCATTACAAATCTGGGATTTAGTTTATGGATCCATACAGTAAGGGGTACAAGTTCTTGCCATGTCTCTCACTTCTAGTTTTAGAAATCAGAACCAGGTGTGCAAAAGGGTGAGGGTACGATGGGATGAGAGAAGCTGTCCACCTCCATTTCCACCTAAGCAAGCCTATTAACTTCACACCTTATGAAATATGCCTGCCCTGATAAAGCATAGCCAGTTAACGTTGCATTTGTATTTTGCCTACCTTTGCCTTCAGCGTGGGTGCCTCTTTTTTTTAAGTACCTTATGAGTACTGAAGCCATCTGTACACCCACAGCTTCCACAATCAGTGCCTATGAAGGATTCAAGGAGCACTAAACAAATACATAACAGATATTACGATCATTAATTTGCATACTAAGTAGGAGTGCTTCAATTATCTTTGCAGCAAAGCAATTATTAACTTTTTTAAGAGGTTTTTAAAATTCTTACAGGTTTGCTTTAGGTGTTGCAAGTTTAGAAGTATGTAAAAGTTTGATTTTAATTTTTTTAAGTAAACTATTTTCCTCTTCATGTTCTATTAATCTACCCACAAATTGTAAAGTATGTAGGCTCACGTTTTCCAAAAGTAATGTAGATACCATATCCTTGTCTGAGTAAAGGCCAAGAATGTGTGAAATTGTCCCCCTAAAGGAGAAAGGGAGGGAGGGAGGGAGGGAGAAATGAGACACAACTTGTTTTTGATAATTTCCACGGTAATGTGTTGGCAGGCTGTCTCGTGCTGTCTTGTAGCGCTCAGTACTATTAACTGCCAGGTGTGTTTGCCTTATGCCAGTTTTGTGACAACATGGAGATTGATCTCGTGGTCCTCTGCATGCCTGATACCTGTCAGACAAAACATTTCAATGATAAGCAGTCAAATGAACACATTTAATGCTTGTGGAAACCTCTGCTTTTCCTAGCAATGCACTTATTCATTGATGCTTTCTGCTGCCCCAAAGCAATATTTTGCATTCAGGCAAAGTCTGAATCGAGCCCATGTTTGAAACAGAGGCATGTGTGAGTGACAGTTAAATTTAGTGGGGGGGAAATGTACCAGGCTCCTATCATTTTTATATTTCATCACCTGCTGAAAATGTTGGTTTTGCCCAAATTTCCTAGATAATTAACTGGATTCAGTGTTGTTCGTTTGTTCTGTGTTTTATTATTTTGTGGTTGTTTTAATTTTTTTATTGTACATTGCCATGAGATTTGTTTTGAGCTTATTTTGAGAAATAAACAGTTGAACAACTCTTTGCCCCTTGTTAGTTCTAACCACAGAGAGAACTGGGTCATTTTTCTAGAGTCTGGCTTGTTTGACAATTACATTTTCAAAAAAGTATGGTTGAAAGAAGAGCAGGTTTATCAGACACAGTTCAGCCCTGCAGGGAGCCAGACACACCAGGAGCTATGTAGGAGCAGCTGGGAAGGTTTGCTGTGATACAGTCTCCAGACAAGGACTACTTGCTACACATACACCCTGCCTGAGCACACAGCAGCTCAAGGGCTCATAACTCACAATTCCATTTTTCCCTGATAAGGAGCAAATGGTGCACTACAGCTCAGCAGTTGGCATGTGGGAAGAGGGGCTCTGCAAAGTTCCTGTCATCAGTTGGCAACAGCGTAGGTCCTGCGAAGCCTTTGTCCTGCCTTTCCTTTATGAAGTGCAGGCATAGGCAAACTCGGCCCTCCAGATGTTTTGGGACTACAACTCCGATCATCCCTGACCACTGGTCCCGTTAGCTAGGGATGATGGGAGTTGTAGTCCCAAAACATCTGGAGGGCCAAGTTTGCCTATGCTTGGTGAAGTGCCTTGCTAAGAAAGGTAGTATAAAAACATTTACCGTATTTTTCGCTCTATAACACGCACCCGACCATAACACGCACATAGTTTTTAGAGGAGGAAAATCCGTAGGCATGCCACCCGTAGGCATTCCCTCCATAACACGCACAGACATTTCCCCTTACTTTCTAGGAGGAAAAAAGTGAGTGTTATGGTGCAAAAAATACGGTAAATAAATGTGGGGGCAAAAGAAAGTGTCAGCTTGTTTTAGTAAATACCGGTACATTTCAGGCATGGTGGCATACTTCCTAGATGGATGCTATCAAGCTTTGCCAAAAAGAAAGCAAGAAACAGAAACAAAAAACCCAACCCCACCTCTAAATGTTTGTATTAAACAAAGTGTCTTGGGCTTGAACTAGATTTTACAGCAGACAAAGGATCCTTGCTGGAAACAGCAGCCCAGTGTCCTATCTCTCTCCCCAATGAATGTTAGTGGCAGAAAATGAATGAGATGGTGTTGTGCTGAGATATCCTGTTCCTGCAATAAAAATAGTAGACAGACAGGTGAATCTGTGGAAGAGAAACTTAAAGGACAATGGCAAACCCGATGTTACTTGGTAATATATGCATGGGCACTGCTTTTGATGTATCTATCTGCCATAAGATCTAGTCCTAGCACCAAAAGCAAATTTTAAAATCATGGTGAGCTCTTAAATCTCAGTTCATTCTTTAACATTGGTTTGAGCAGTGACCAGTTTGATTCTTATCAACCTCTTATCAACCTCTTCTCTCTCTCCCCACCCCCATTCCTAGGTAAAGAAATTAAAGGATTTCAATGGAGACCTATCAAAACTGTGTCAAGCAGATTCTTTTATGTACCTACTAATCCAGGTGCCAAAGTAAGGAAACGCTAAGCCCTTTTCTATTCACTATAAATTCTCTCTCACTTGTATACCAGTTCTAAATCTTAATTTGTTTGTTTTTCAGCTATTCACTGCGACTCGAAGCCATGGTGTTAAAAAAAGAATTCTCCCCATCTTGTACTTCTCTTCAGAAAGACATGACAATTATAAGAATGGCTACAAAGGGTAATTAAACATGTTGCAGCATGCATTAGGCACTTGTTTTTCTTAGCAGGTTAATCAACTTAACTAGGGAGATGAGATCTTGAATTTCTGGTACCTATTAGCTATTTAAAGGAAGCTAGCCAGCTCTGACACATTCCACAAAGGTGCGTGTGTGTTATCAGTCTGATATGTGTCTCAAAATTCTTAACTTTGATCATAAGGCCACATTATTGAAGTCATTTTCCCACTTGTTTGTACTGATGATACTCCTTTCCTGTATATGAAATAACTTGCAGTATTTTCTCATTTGTGGAGTAGTGGCATCCATTCTGGTAATTTTCAGCTGGGACCCCCCATACAGCCAAAACACGTGTCCATTTTTTTCACTTTATATTTCTATGGTTGTAATGCTGTCATTGTGATCCACCTTGAATCAGGTTGTGATCAAATCAAAGACCATGGTTTGATGTTGGTATACAAATTTCAGCTTGTATTTAACCATGGTTTCTCATCACACCTGATCTTGCATTCCTGGCATAACCCTGGTTCATTTCCATGCCTTGCCCTAGATGCCCACCTGGCTACAGAGCAGTTACAATTAGGCAAAACAAGCCACAGTTACTTGCTCATCTACAAGACTGATCCTGGTTTGTACTGCAAACCACAGTTAAAATAAACCATAGGTTAGTATCCTATATGAATGAAGCCAATAAAGCCTTGAGAAGTTCTCCTTACCATTACTCCAGTCCCTACACTGCATTTCTCATCACCATTTCAGGTTGGCAGGTGTGCACACTCAGGCTTGAATCTGCTTTTAAGAACTATAAGGTCATTGATTGCTACCCACTTGCCTAGTGCACAGAGAAGTGTTCTGGCATTAAGGGGTAATGGCTTTATGGTAAGCACTTGAAAATGAGGAGGGAAGCATCACCATGGACTTGACTGTACATAGAAAATGTACACTATTTCAATACGTTAAGAATTGCATATAGGTTAATTATTCCAATAGTAGTTGTTGTTTAGTCGTGTCCAACTCTTCGTGACCCCATGGACCAGAGCACGCCAGGCACTCCTGTCTTCCACTGCCTCCCGCAATTTGGTCAGACTCATGATGGTAGCTTCAAGAACACTATCCAACCATCTCGTCCTCTGTCGTCCCCTTTTCCTAGTGCACTCAATCTTTCCCAGCATCAGGGTCTTTTCCAGGGAGTCTTCTCTTCTCATGAGGTGGCCAAAGTATTGGAGCCTCAGATTCAGGATCTGTCCTTCCAGTGAGCACTCAGGGCTGATTTCCATCAGAATGCATAGGTTTGATCTTCTTGCAGTCCATGGGACTCTCAAGAGTCTCCTCCAGCACCATAATTCAAAAGCATCAGTTCTTCGGCGATCAGCCTTCTTTATGGTCCAGCTCTCACTTCCATACATCACTACTGGGAAAACCATAGCTTTAGCTATGCAGACCTTTGTCAGCAAAGTGATGTCTCTGCTTTTTAAGATGCTGTCTAGATTCGTCATTGCTTTTCTCCCAAGAAGCAGGCGCCTTTTAATTTCATGACTGCTGTCACCATCTGCAGTGATCATGGAGCCCAAGAAAGTAAAATCTCTCACTGCCTCCATTTCTTCCCCTTCTATTTGCCAGGAGGTGATGGGACCAGTGGCCATGATCTTAGTTTTTTCGATGTTGAATTTCAGACCATATTTTGCGCTCTCCTCTTTCGCCTTCATTAAAAGGTTCTTTAATTCCTCCTCACTTTCTGCCATCAAGGTTGTGTCATCTGCATATCTGAGGTTGTTGATATTTCTTCCGGCAATCTTAATTCCGGCTTGGGATTCATCCAGTACTATTTCTGATACATTTTATTTCTTGCTGGTCAGTGGTTTAATTGTGGTTTTTTAAAAAACTATTTTGTAGTGTTTATTATGATGGTTAACTTTCCTAGGCTCTCCGAAGAGGAAGGGTGGGATCTAAGAAAAATAAATCATACTATATTTGTAGCTTTGTTTAAACACTTCATACATCCAAATTAGCATTTTGCAGTTCATGAACTGACCCAGAAACTGCAGCGTTTACTCAAACAGACCATTCTAAGTTCCTGTTTCATTTTCTTGCTTCCTCCCACATACTCCTTATAATGTATGAATTTAATTGTGGCCTGGGTACATAAGCACTGGTTACAGGAAAACCTTTGGCCTTTAGGTCACATCTATTGAACAAGAATAACAGTGGCCTCTTTCAGAAATGTGCAAATTAATAAGTTGAGGAATAAAAAGTGCTTGTAGGCTGACAACGATTTGTTGGCTTCCAATGCAGCACACTAGGTTAATCAGTATATTGAAAGAACTGTGACTCCCCAAGATGATGTTGGACTACATCTCTCATGCTCCCTGACTGTTGACCATGCTAGTTGGGGCTGATGGGAGTTGCAGTCCAGCAACATTTGGAGGGTTACAGGTCAGTTGCCCCTTGCCTTGGTGATACTCAATAGACAAAACTGCTTGTATATTTTGCCTCTTCAGATTTCTTAGATTACTTGCCCTTCTTTTATTGGTAAGCGAGTGACTGAAAACACTTAACAGTTAGGAATAGAATCATAGAACGGTAGAGATGGAAGAGACCGTGTGAGCTATCTAGCCCAAACCCCTGCAATGCTGTAATCTTTTGCCCAACATGGGTCTCGATCCCACAACCTTGAGATTAAGAGTCTCATGCTCTGCTGACTTAACTATTCCATAAATAATGTCAAACACCTTACCAGGCTGTAGTGCTGGTTTGTACATCACTGTTAAGTGAACAGGCAATCTGGTCAGACTCTTTGCAGAGTTGGTTCCAAAATACTCAGTGTGCCAGTCAGCGTGAGGCTTGGCAGTAGGGCTTTGGCTTTTCCCTTGCCTTGCTTTGGAACTTTCCTTTAATCGCCCTCCAAAAAAATAATAATGCCTGGTTTGACTGCAATTTTTCTGGAGCAATAAAATCTTTCTTGGATGCCATTTGAAAACAGCCCATGGATTCAGAACCTTATGTTGTTGTTGTTGTTGTTTTTGCAGAGCTAATGTGCTGTGAAGAGTTACATTCCATATTGCACTTGGTCCTTCAGGCTGGGAATATTATGAATGCAGTAAGTGGACAAGCTTCATTTGGGGGCATTGGGGGGAGAGGGTCAGAATTTACAGTACTGCAGATTGACATCTTGTACCTCTTCTGTCTGTCTTTTCCATCACCCCCTCCTCTCTCCACTCCTCAGGGAGGATATGCTGGCAATGCAGTTGGCTTTAAGCTATCCTCATTACTCAAGTTGGCAGATACAAAAGCAAACAAGCCTGGGATGAATCTGCTTCATTTTGTTGCTTTGGTATGTAAATAATAATCATTTCCAAGATAGCAGGCTGCAGAAATCTAAGCAGCAGGGGGAGGTGATTGATAGGCGCGGGGGGGGGGGCATGCAAGCCACAGAATTTAAGAGCAACATTTAATTTTTATGGTTATTGTTAAGCTCTTCGCAGGTTTCATTAATTTATTATTGCAATGCTAAAATGTGCAGAGTAAGCATGCAGTTAAAAGTTTTGGAACAAGCACTTTCTGGGTATTGTATTTAAAATTCCCAATTCTAGATTGTCCTGTCTACCTAGCTATGCCAATCTTAAACTGTTGTTTGTGAAGAAGCTACCTGATCTGATGGATTACTTGCTGATAATACTTCAGGGTGTGTGCGATTCTCATAAGAATTAAGAGGAGGGCAATGCCCTCTTATTTCTTTTGAAACTGGTTGCTTAGATTGAGATTTTCCTTACATGTATATAATTGTCAATTTGCAATTAGTTTAACCTTGATGGTGATTATAGTTAATCTTTGCCTAGTTTGTTCTAAGTCTTAGCATTAGTTTCTGTGACTTTGTGAATATCCCTGTGCAAATAGGTTTAACAGCTAATCTGAAGGCGCCGGGGGAGGGGGACAGAGAAAAGAGGGGATATTAGGTGGAGATTAAGCAGGAAATATTGTATTAGATTGCATACATGGCATTAGTACACTGCTTTTGCCTAATAGCTCTCCTTAGTGCACCTGGGTTGAATTCACTGAAGGATTACTAATTCTCAGGCTCTCTAAAATAGAAAATGTCTTTTTTACCTTGTTCAATTAGATCCTTCCTAGCCTTCTAAAAAAGAGTCTTCTAAAACAAACACAGCAGGTTTAAAACAGAAACCTCTTCGGCTGCACTTCCAAAAAGGCCTCTAAGTTTATGTACTGTTTCAGCATGGGAGTGGAATTTTATGGGATCATCTTGTTTGTTTTAGGAAGCCCAAAAGAAGGATAGAGGTCTTCTAGCCTTTTCAGACAAACTACAGCACGTTCAGGAGGCAGCCAGGTAAGCAAGAAAACTGAGAACGTTGACTGGGAACTTTTTTCTTTGTGAAGCACTTCAATACATGCACAAAGTTTTGGCGTGAAAACTGAGATCTTAACAAGTGTTTACTATAGACTCTGTGGTTTCATTTTCACTGTGGATAGAATGATGCCTGAAGCATGCCTTCATGTTTAGAGGTTTTCTGAGTTTATCTTTAAGGGCTTTTCAGAAGGACTGCTAACTCGTTCAAGGTTATTGGTCTCCACATAATTTTGTTGATAGAACAACTGATTAGAGTTAAGTATTGGTATTACAGGGGATTATTTGGTGATTTAACAACTTTCCTCAACTGACCTAGGTAGGGTAACTCTCTTGGGGAAGAATTATCCCTGTGGTTTGGTGACAAATCCTTAAAAAATCCTGCAAGCAGAAAACCAAACTTCAAAGTCAAGTTATGTAAGGTTGAGCAGAAATAGTGTAGTTGTTTATTTTTTTTAAACTGAGAGCTGATATCAATTTGCAGGGAACTAATGAACTGAGAACAACAATTGGTTCTCTTTTTAATTGATAGTGAGTTATAATGTGGTTGTTAAGAAAACACACATGTTTCCCGTTCCTTTTCTTCTCTCATCACCAGATGGGGAGCTCCGTTACGGGGGTGATGAGACAAGTGACTAGAGCTTCTTAAAGCACCTGATAGGCAACCTGTGACCCCAGAGGCCACATGCAACCATGCCTACTAAGCTGTCACATTCTTCCATCCCATTAGAATTCCTTCCTTATTTTTCCTGGCTTCTTAAAGTGTTTTCTCACTTTCTGTGTAGGTTTACAACAAGGAGCAATACTCTATTTGATTAACATTTTGTTTCCGTCTTTTAATTTTTCTCTGGTTGGGGGGGGGAAAAACACTCCTACCCTACCCCACCAGTCAAGCTGTTTGAGAGCATATTGGTATGCTTCTGCCATGCGTGTGCAAAAAACGCTAATGTTAGAAAAGAATTAAGTTCCACTTGCCTATCAGAACAGTAGCTGTATTGGCCTGTTACACAGTACTAAAAAACCACTCTGTAGATCCAAAATTACCCGTCAAAACAAAAAGGTTGCTGCTAAATAGGGTTGGGATTCTAATCTAAGGTGAAAATGGAAGCAAATTCTGGATTAGTTCATCCATAACACTTTACTCTCTGGTTCTGCCCGCCATTGGTCTGTGTCTCCTGACAGATTATTCCCAAGGGAATATTGCCCTCAAGAAAAAAAACATTGTGCACTCAGCCCCTGCCTTAAAGCTTAGTTAAGTTTCTGTGATGATGTACCAAGAATGGACAGGGCTGCACAGAACAGGAGTTGTAACATTGCAGATGTTCCACCACTGTTACGACTCCTTGGGTGCCCAAGATCTGTGACTCGGGAATCCCAGGCTCTTTTAATTTAGTGACAGGTAGTCTGGGGAAATATTTTGCCCTTTGGTCAGAGTCCATTACTGAAACTTCTTGATGAAATTGCTTTGGCATAAAACCTTGATCCCTGAAAATAATGGGAGGAGAAATTATTAGGTCATATCTTCTACTGTGGGAAGATTTGCTAAACTGGCAGGTCCAGTTTGTTCACCTCGTTGTGTTATGACACTTGCTGTCATGTGTGTGTTTTTAATTAGTTAGGTAGTCAGCACTTATTGGTGGGTAACTCTTCTCTCTAAAATTGCTTTCAATTACAACTCTTTCCTTGCAGAATATCTCTTGAAAATATAGAAGCAGAGCTCCATTCACTCTCAGTCAAAACAAAGTCTCTTAAGGATAATATTCGGCGGGACTCTGAACTGTTTCACCAGATGGAAGGCTTCCTCCAGGTTTGTTGGGAGATTTCTGCCACTTCAGTTCCTTCTTATGTCCATATTCTGCACCCTTGGTGAATTTCACTAATGTCCTTAACAGGCTGTAATATTTAGTCTAGGAGTGCCCTGCCACAGTGTTTCATACTACTGGTAAGCATTTCAAGGGAGCCTTTTTACAGAGAAGAATGCTGAATGTGGGGGCAATCAGGCTTAGGCAGCTGCCATCAATAGGTAAGAAGTAAAGGGACCCCTGACCATTAGGTCCAGTCGTGACCGACTCTGGGGTTGCGGCGCTCATCTCGCTCTATAGGCCGAGGGACATGGCGCACAGCTTCCGGGTCATGTGGCCAGCATGACTAAGCCACTTCTGGTGAACTAGAGCAGCGCACGAAATGCCGTTTACCTTCCCGCCAGAGCGGTACCTATTTATCTACTTGCACTTTGATGTGCTTTCGAACTGCTAGGTTGGCAGGAGCCGGGAGCGAGCAACGGGAGCTCACCCCGTCACGCGGATTCGAACTGCTGACCTTCTGATCAGCAAGCCCTAGGCTCTGTGGTTTAGATCACAGCTGCAATTTTATCTGCTACTTTGAAGAGCAAGGATACATTGCATCTTAAGTTAGGTGGCCCTAAACTGTATTTCAGTAATGCTTCTGAACTAAATTATTGATTTTATATTTTTCTTGTGAAGAAGTAAAGATTTTAAAATCATTTCCCCCTCTAGCAGACACCCCTCCTATGTGCTGCCTTTATCCCTGGGTTTGTTGTTTTTGGAGGGGGTAGCTTTATTTTATTTTAATTTGACGTGTTTGGATATCCATTGCAAACAATTCCACAAAAGCTTCAGTTTTCCCTGGTAGTCTGCAGGGAAGATGCTGATGTCATCCAGTGAATTGCACAACTTGGCTTTCCAGCTTGGCTTTCCTGGGTATGCATCCTGAGAACCCCAGCTTTTTGTAAAGAGGAACAAGTTTGTAGCTCTCCCAGTTTTTTAGGGAAACTTAAAGATTCTGGCTGCTTTCTGACCCCTTTCTGACCCCTTCCCATAGACCTGTTTGCTTCTTGTGAAATGCTTGATGTGGAGACATTAGAGGAGATGAGAAACAGTCTCATTTGTCTCTGTACATGAGTACAATAGTAATTGGAGTAACACTTCACCAGTGGCAATGTCTCAGAGAATATGTGCCTAGCACATCAGATTTGATTGGTTTATAGCTCCCAAATTTTTAAATAATTTGCATCATTCTCTTTCTATGGAACTTTGATTTCTGAATTTCAGGAAAGCATAGTACCATGTTTTTGTTTTGTTTATGGTTGTTGTTTTTAAATCAATGAGGTTATTTTATGAGTGGCTGAAAACATCTGTAGGAAACAGCATTTGCTCGTACTGTTTTCTAGCAATAGCTGCTAAAACTGTAGAAAGGGTTGGCTTTGCACTAAACAGAAGCAACCACATTTTTTTTCAAAAACCCTTCAACTGTAGCTGAAGGTGGGGACCTGCAAATCTTGCTCTCAATGGCTGGGTGTGAGAGATAGAGCTTAATTCTGGTTTCTTGCCTACCCCTGATCTAAGATTCTGAATATGCAGTGAAATCATGGCTCAGCTTGCTAAGCAAAGCTCATTCCCTGGTGGGTATGCTTGGAGAGATAATAGCAAGACCTGCTTGTCATGTTGCTTGCTGGCAGGCAGACGGGAGAATCTGGAATGCTGCTTTAGCCCTGGTTTGCTTGGAGCAGATGTATAAGCATGGTTAGCACAAACCAGAGTCTACAAACCCAGTTCAAACAGTAATTTCATAACCTATTTTTGTGTTCACACTTTAGATATTCAGGTGCAATTTATTTATTGCTCCGGAGAACTTTAGATCCTGTGCTGCACATTTCCTATAGTTGCCACTATATAGGTTCCCATGCACTGCTCAGCATGTTTGTTACCATATCTGAACAATTGTATTCTGCCCCATTGCTACTAAATTTGCTGTATTAGGCCATGTTTGGAATCTCTTTAGCATCCATGTTTTTTGTTTTAAACATCAGGAGTAATTCCAAATGAACCGCTCTTCATTTTACAAGGTTCACCTTATATAACACTTCCTAAAAATGGTGGGTGAGTAACCTGATTTAAAATTTGGCTTCTCCCATCCTTGTGAATAAGCTACTAATATGAAAGGTGGAGCCAATTTTCCACGTCGCTCCTTTAGCTTATCTCAATAAATACCTTGTTGAGTGACACTCTTTTTTTTCTTTTTGGATGGCTGACAAAGCGAAGATTATCTACCCTTCTGAAGGCAACATTTACATGCTCCCCATTTGCAAACCCTTGGGCTCCCCATTTGATTTCTTGCTTTGTAAGGGAAACCACCGAGAAAACAAAGATTAATACATTTCTGGCACTGGCTTCATTGTTAAATAATGCTCTTTTATTAGATGAGTAAAGGTTTCTGCAAGTACCTGTGTGCATGCTTGTTATGAACAAAGGGGGATAGGAAAACAACAAGTTAATCTTCTTAAAATCCATGGATGCAACATCTTATCTTGATGAAACAAATGTTGCTTGAACAGTGTTTGTCAAATCTCAAACTAGATTTGAGTTTCAAACTAAGTGTTCCTATAGGCAAATTCTCACAATGTTTAAAAGGCAGGTATAAGGCTGAGTTCTTGCAAGCTGTCTAAAAATGTGTTGTGCTGGAATTTTAGTGTGCATATAAAAACATAATAAAAGCTTGCTGGATCAGTCTGGCATCCTGTTCTCACATTGACCAACCAAATACTTGTGGGAAGTAGGGTTGCCTCCTTTGGTTGTGCAAAATACGGGACATAAATATCATTTTCCAAAATGGATATCATAAATACAACCGGAGAGCAAGAGTTTGAGCTGACTCACCACCACCATTGCAAGGAAGGCCTTTCCAGCGTTTTATGTGCACTCCGGACGCTGTGCTGAGTATGCCCAATGAATTATTTTTCTTCCAATCTTTTCTACCTTTCATTTATTATTTGTTTATTCACTATTGCTTCTAATAAACTGGTCTTGAAGGTTTCAAAAAACCTGTTTGGCCAGTGGCAGAAAAGGTATATATGTTCATCTAGGGCAGCAAAGCTTTAGCCAAACAGCTCCAAACACTATAGTCCTGTAGTCTCAAGCCAGTTAACATTCATCCTAGACTTTAACAGATACTAAAACTGGTCAGTCTCTGTTTGGATCTAATTTGTATTTCGGTTTTATTTTAAGTTTGCTGTAAAAGAGATAAAAGAGCTGGAGCGCTGGAAACGGGAACTGCTGAAGGAATCACATGCCCTTATGGACTTCTTATGCGAAGATAAAGAAACCATGAAACTGGAAGAGTGTTTTCAGATATTTAGGGATTTTTGTCTTAGGTTCAGCAAAGCCGTTAAGGTAAGAAGAACATCTCTACAAAACTGTGAGAGTAGTATTCAGCTAAGTTGTACTTGGCTTTTTGAAATTAACAGATCTAACTTAATCATGCTGATTGACTTTAAAGAATTTATTCTGAGTAAAGCTTTGCTGAATATTACCTGAAATATCCACTGACTTTTATGTAACTAAGCTACATTACTGTTGGATGATTTTAATAGTGGTAATCCTTCATATGATATGTAAGGTTACCAGATTTTTTTCCAGTGAATCCGGGGACACTTTTCAACTTCAGTGGATTTTGTATGGGGACTGATTTGTAAATCCAGGGACTGTCCCCGGGAAATGGGGGCGTCTGGTAACTTTAATAAAATGGAACAAAGTTGTGTGTGTTGTAGGACACCTGTTGCAACAATGGCTTCTTCCAACCTCAAACCAACATCTTGTTACAGAAAAGATTTTATTAAGCTATAGCTATTTAAATTTCATTGTTTGCTGGGCACAGTTTAGGATTATTTTAATTTACTTACTTATTAAATTTGTATAGTGCTTTAGATCTCTGCAAGCAAATCCCCACAATGCTTTTTCTTGGTTTGTATTATCATTAATGGGTGAGGGGAAAAGGGCATTATCAGGTCCATTGTCTTGTGTAGTCCATTGTCTTGTAGCCCAGTTTTTTTGGGTGGGAGCAAAGACACCACCAGCCATTGTCTAGAGATAAAACTGCAGGTGGCCACATGACTGGTCTCTGTGCCCGAGGCATGCAAACACTGCAATCTTTCTTGTGCTTTTTTAAAATGACAATAGGCAAAGTGCCTGGAGTCATATATGTATACTGAAGAGCATTTGGCTCCTTTTGATCCAAAAGGTCATGCATCTGTGGCCTTGAACTGTTGAACAGCAGTGTAAGCAGGTGCACTCAGCGTACGTTTTTTAGTATGCAGCAGGTGTTGCTTCTCAGAATAAAAATGCTGCTAACTGGATGAAGAGAGTGGTGTGTGCCATTTTATGTTTCAGCTCTGGGGCATCCATGAGAGAGAGAAGTGTTAAATGGGAGGGGGTATCCATTAGAGTTTGGAACATATGGCAGTAGGAAACCTGGGTTGCAATTCCTACTCCTCCATGGTCCTTCTTGTATGCTTTTGGTAAGCCTCTGGGTGGAATTGAATGTTAGTCTTTCGCAGAGTACACCCATTGAAATGAATGAAGCCAGGTTAATCATGATTCTGCAATTCTTCAGTTTGTCTACTCTGGGTAGGACTAGCATTGAACACCTCCCATTGGGCAGGAGTCACCTAACAAACCCCATCATCAAAATCTGTGGTGGACTTTGGGCTTTAAGATTTCAGCAGCATCCTGTGTGGCACCAAAATTTGGTGCCCCCCACCTCTTGCCTTCCATTGTCCGTTGTTGTTGTGGCACCCTCTCATCTTGACACCCACTGCAGGCAGACTGTTCACACTCCCCTAAATCCGCCTGTGGCAGAAGTCCCGGGCTGCAACAGTATTGCAACAGATCCAAGGGTGCTCAGGAGGTTAAACCCAAACCTAACCATTATTCCTTGATTTATTGATTTGCATAGAAAACAGGGGAAATCCTTTATCTGTTGGGTCAATTTGCACATATGTACTAGTTGTGTGAGCAAAACATATTTGGCTGTAAGCTGCCCAGAGTGGCTGGGGAAACCCAGCCAGATGGGTGGGGTATAAATAAAGTAGTAGTAGTTGTTATATTTGGTACTGAAGAACTGACCTGGATTCCTGTCTTCAGAATGTTCATCAGGCAATGCCCACATGCTTTCAAACCTATTGTCACATGGCCTAGAAACCTTATACTGAATTTGACTTTCCTTGCCAAATTCTGAGCTTGCTCAGAAATTGAATTTAACCATAGTGGGGTGTCAGGCAGTGAGGTGGTTGCTCACGAGTAACCAGGCAGGTCTCTGACCTGTCTTTAGCAGGTTTGTATTTGTGCAAACTATTTACAGTGCAGGACCAGAAAGTTCATGTCCGTCTCAATCACTTGCAGATTCCGGGAGTGGCCCCTTCCAGTTCCCACCCCCCCCAGCATAAGAACTTAGACACCCCAAATCTCCGCCTTCCCTCCTTGTGTTTCACCCCTCTGCATAAACTGGGCGACGGAAACGGCATGCCTGTTTCCTGGCCGGCCGGGCTAGGTGAGGCGCTTGGGCTCTCAGTAGCATCTTTGAGCCCTCACCTCGCTCAGCTTTCCCATTCCCCCTCTGCTCCACTGGAGGTGTGGCTTTCCCCACCTTTGGATGAGGAGCTGCTCCTCAGAAGTGTGGGCGGCTCTCTGTATTCCCATGCCTCCCTCCCCTGTTCCGATGGCAGCCCCCTGACATGGGGGACATACTGTTTTGCAATCATAGCCATAAACTAATCAATTGCTGAAGCTTGGATGGGGGCATATCATTCATATGGTGAAGAGAGTATAGTTGCTCCGAAAGGAGAGTTAAGGAGTGTAGAAGGTTGCTTGCAGAAGGTCCCGCATTCAATGACTGGTGCTTCCAGTTTTTTAAAAAAGAATAGGGTAGATGGTGACAGGAAAGATCTCTCCCTGAAAACCTGGAGAGCTACTGCCACTCAAGTCACTTCCAGAGTGAGCTTCTTAACTGTTCATCCTAATTTGTTTACTGGGAGGTTTGAAGGCATTGGCTACAGAATGAGCACTCATTCTGATTTGATTGTGGGAAGGTTAGAGGATGTCAACTTCAAGCATTATCCCACACTTTTCTTGCATTTCCCCATCAAGGTCCTTATAGCAAAAAGTAATATTTTAGGGAGGGGGCAGGGAGTGGTATTGCTGTGCAAGAGCACCCAATCAACCTGAATTGTGCAACCTGAATTTTCTGGTGTGTGATTGAACCTGACCTTAAAATAGCAACTGTCGGGAAGAAGCCTCAAATGAGACAATAAGCGAGGAAGTGGCAGGATGTATGCTGCCCATATGCTATTTAGATCAGTCCAGCGGCCTCTTCTCAGTGATTGTCCAAATGGTACTGAAAAATTGCCACTCTTAGGAACCACCCCTTCAACCAGTAGTTGAAGTGGGAAGTAGGCAGAGTATTGCAAGCCTTGGAGGATATTGGACATACCCCGTCTCTTCTGATGTTGCAATGCTCCAGTTGCCTCCCTCTTCAGCTACTATAGCTTTAGGAAGCAGAGGTTCCTAAAGGCTTTCCTTGCTATTCTGTTGGGAGCTGGTACCTCAAAATAGTATTTCTGAAAGGAGCAGCTCTCTATTTGCCACTGCTCAGCTGCTTCCTAATAGTTGACCTGGAGGGGAGGAGGAGATCACAGTGGGGAATTTTAAACATCTCCTTCTCCCATGGAAGTGTGTGCCTGGGGAAGGAGCTGCATCCCTTGTCTAGAAAGATGCAGTCTGACCAGGTATGAGACAGCTTCACATGCTCCACTTGTAAGTGTTCCAAAACCACAAAATGTTTAGTTTGTTTTAGTGCTTTTAGGTTGCATACATTCATGTATGAGCAAAGGTTTAGAGTTTCCTGTTCAAGAAAGAGCAAGAAACATCATGTCATAGGCACCTTTGCCCTTTAAATAAACAACAACTTCTTATTTGAGAGAGCACTTTGAGAGTAGAAGTAATAAATATCTAAGAATTTATCCTTCTGTATTCAGTATACTATGTTTGTGAAAGTTTAACCTGACCAAGAATTTTATTACACTTACCTGGCTGAGCTACATTATGGTGTTTTTGTTTTGTTTTTTAATTGGAGGCTTACTTAAGCAGTACCATTTAACTAGGATTCAGAACAATATTCATATTAAGTTGAGTTGCAAACAAAGCTGCAGGATAATGAACCTGAGCATGAAAAGCAAGTATGTCATAACATCTTCACCAGCCAGGCCTAAATAGATGCTTTTGGGGGAGGGAGTGTTTTCCTGCTTTAACCGGTACCTAAGCAGAAAATTGTTGTCATCGTAATTTGTACTCAAGAACCAAACTCAAATGACAGGGAAGAACATGAAAAATGTAAAAATGTTAAATTTAAAATTTTTGAATTCCTTTCCCCCGCCCCTTCTCTCTTTCTAAACAGGAAAACAAGGAAAGAGAGGCCCAGGAACTTCAACAGCAACAGCGATTAAAGGAGTTGGAGCTAAAACGCCGATCCTGGGTTGCCGGGGATCTTGGAGCTTTTGGCAGGAGCAGCAGTGAAAATGATGTTGGGATGTTGACAAAGAGAGGACTTGAAGAATTTCTGCCCTTCTTGCAGCAGAGACCGCAAAGTCCTTCTTACAGAAATGTCAGCACCAGGCGTTCCCGGCATTCCCTGGGAGTCACTGCAGACAGAGAGCTGTTGAGTTTCCTGGAGACCTCAAAGAGTGAGGATCCAAACAAGTCCAACAGCCTTCCTCGTGAGCATGCAGGTCAAGCAAGACCCAGTGTGGCCTGGACTGAATCTAGAGAGCCTGGAGATCTTGGTTTAACCAACTTGCACTTGCACCAGGCACCGGAAGAAGGCGTGGAGTGCAGCTACTTCCAGTTGCCCCCATCTCATTCCGATCACATGGTAAGCCTTGAGGACGATAGCACTGCCCATGCTAATCTCTACAGCGACCAAGAGAGTGCTGACAACGACAAGTATAGATTTGATGTGCCTTGTACGAAAGCCACAGATGCAGCCCCCTGGGACTTGTCCCTTGAAGAAGATGAACATGTTCCAGGGCTGCTGAAGCTTGACCCCCATGAACCAGATGATGTGGAGGACCTATCTGCAGTTCATTTTGAGGCTGATGTGAGAGGTTTGGAGACTCTGGGTGACTCAAGCTTATACACTCCTGGCATAGTAGCTCCTCCTATACCAGCCTTCAGAAAATCAAAAGCTGACCATGCAGCCAAAGTAGCAGGTCATGCCCCTGAAGCTCTGGAACCAGGCAGTGATAGCCCCCCATCCTCAGATGGTAGTGTTTTGGGAAATAAGGCCCATGGACCAATGTTCTGTGTATCTGAGACTTCTGACTGTTCTTTGATGTTTGATCTGCCAGAAGGAAATGATCCAAGGCTCGGGGGCAACAACAAAGTGAACAGCAAAGACGGTGGTGCTATTGCCCCTTTTAGGAATGATCTTCCGGCTGGTGGTGATGCCGTTTTGGGCCTGAACTCGCTTTCTGCTGATAAGGATGACTCCGGCAGCAAGTCAGGTCTCCCAAAGGAAAAACCTGTGCGAAGCAAAGATGCCGTGGGGCCAAAGAGGAATTCTCTGAAAGATAAATCTTCAAGTGCTGCAAAACCCAGCAGTGGTCCACTCAACCCCCCCAGACCGTCAGTCAGAACGCTGAATTCTTCAGAGAATGCGAGCATGAGAAAAGTAGTGCCCATTTCCAGATCGACTAAAGCAGCACCCCCAAGCTGTACCAAAAAGCCAGATCCTAAGCCAGCACCCCGAGACACCGGTGCACCTGAAGCACGACTCACGCGTCGCAACTCCATCCGGGGCAACTCCGCAGAGGCAGTGCCAAAACCTCAGTACAGGCAAAGCACATCTGTAGAGGAGCAGAAATTCCAGAGGGGGACGGCAGCTTCAAGTAGCGGCCATTTTGAGAGAGAGCCGCTCCAGCACAAGGGCTCCTTCAAAAAGCCAAGCTCCAAACCAGTCAGGTATGTCCCCAAGTCGAAGAATGACGAAACCAAGATGTGCCGCTCTTTGACCAAACCCCCATCCCCTACAGAAACCAGCAAAAGCACAATGGCCCCTGTCCCCAAGACACCAGCTCCAGTTCCGAGCTTTGCAAGGAATACAGTGGCCTCTTCCTCAAAATGTGCCAAGGTGGATTTGCCAGTCCCTTCCAAAGCTCCAGCCCTCACAAGGTCTCTGTCTCAGAGGCTTCCTAGGATGAAGATGACAACAGCATCTGACGATTCTTATCCAAGGGAAAGTGGTGGAGGCACGCTCAAGCGAGCCAACAGTGCTAGGTTTATCAAAAGGAACACTGACAATGGTGACCTTCTAAGTGTTAAAGCGGAGCCCGTGCTAAAGGAACAAATGATAATGGAAAAGTCAACATCCCTCAAATGTAAAGATGGAAATCAGACTACAATAGGGAAACTGCTGAATCACTTTTGAAAATAAAGGGTGTGTGTAGTGTTTGGCAATACAGAATGTGAAAACCAGCTCTTTTAAACACTGCATTTTCCTGCTGTGTGAAATACCCCGAAATGTTAACGTATTAAGAATACCAAATGCAAACTAAAGGTACATTGTGTGGATCCTGCTGTATGTCTGAACTGAATGTATTGACCATTACTGTGATGGAATTGCTGTAACAAAGTTCCTTTGCTTTTGGGAGATAGTACCTCTACATGAATTTTACACGCTAAAGGAATGCATCTGTTTAATGAAAAGGAAAGGAAAACAGAGCTAGGGATTATGGCCAGTTGTATGAACACTGCTTTTCTGAAAATGCCGTCCTAAATTCTTTTTTTGGGAAAGTATGGAAAGCAGATGTGGATCACTTTAATTCATTGGGTCCAAGAAAAAAAGTGTCTGTTGCTGGGTCCATTGCTGGCAATTGGACACAAAGAACCTCTGGCCTATAATAGGATCAAACAGGATATTGCTGTGTTGCGGGGGGGAGGGGCGTTGGTTGTAATATCATCTGAGGGATTTGCATCATGTCTTAAATTGTATGTGTGTCTGTAGGAAGGAGGGGGAACTCTGCTGGGCAGAAGGTTTATTCTCCAAGAGTGTGGCAAAACTGCCTTGCATGTACAAATAGAATAGTCAATGGAATGACTGGTGCTGGAATTAGTAGGATTAGCCTGAAGGTTGTGACTTTCAGAAACCACAAGTAGTAGCTGGGGGGAAATGGCTACAGGTGACTTGCCTTGTGTCGGTTAACATGCAAACTTGCCAGCTTTTGGCATATACAAAAGTGCCATATTTATATTACACATCACAGATACTACGAGGGCTACAACCTCTAGCAGAGCACTTTTCCTGCCAATTCTCATTCCCATTCATTTTTAACTACTGTCAGGTGACTTTAAAATGCTGCTATGGCTCTTATTGGGAAGAGCCTTTGATTTCCCTGCTGCCTATTTTCTTTTAATCAAAATGACCAGCTGGCCCAAAACATGCAAGTTCCTTCTTTGCATGACAAAAAGCCCCCCCCCCAATTTTTGGTAAATTAAGCTTATTTTGCTCCTGATGCAGATTTTAACACTACTTTTTAAACTTCACTTTTTGATAAGCTTTGTTTTTATATATAAAAAAGTCTCTGGTTCACTGCAAAAAAAATGACATCAGGTCAGACTAAGATACAGAGAATGAGGAAAAACTTGTCACTACGAGTTCTGCCTTCCCTTTGGTCCCTTTCCAGATACATATAAGTAGGTGGGGAAACTGGCTGTTGCTGCTCAGCCTATGTACTTAAATAGTTGCTATCCAAGTCATCTATGAAAACCCTTTTTATTAAAAATACCCATGCAATGAAAATAGTTGGACAGATGACTTTGAGCTGGTCATCCCTCCCCATTAACACTCCCCACTTTTTCTTCCTTCCTTCACCTAATACTAAGTGTAATCAGTCACAACAAGACACTTGCACTGGTGTGACAATTGAATCTTGAGGGTTGAGTCCCTCCATTGATGAGAAAACCTTTGATCTAGTAGATGCTTCCACTAGCAGAAGGAAGACAATTCTCCCTTCCTTCTGCAGTCCCCTGTCCGACTCCCATCTGCTCAAGGGAGTGGGGGAACTTCAGGAGCGATGTGGTAGATGTCTGCAGGAGAAAGGAGAGATTTGCTAAAATAAACTCCCTCCATTTCAGCTCATGGAGCCTCCATTGGCTCAGACTCTTTCATCAGCAGAGAGGCACCATGCTGAACTTGACTCAACCCACCAATTCTACCATTTCAGTTCATGGCCTTACATTTTTATTTCTTTGTTCCATTATAGAAATAGTTTTCAGGAACTCCTCAGAAAGTATGCCAGAATGTCACCAAGTGTGCTATTGGGCCCTCTCAAACAAGACACCATCTCAGTGTGATAGTTGACTTGGGCTCCCTCTTTATAGTAAAGGTGCTTGGAAGGAATCCTTGTTGTTGGTTTTATAAGCTTCTTGGGTACTCCTCCCTCCATGGTTTGAATGCAGTAATCTGTCCATTTGGCGCTACCTGTATCTTTTTGTGTGCTCATCTGCAAAAGCAGGTGTTGGATTTTTTTTATTACCTTTTGATGGTAGTAAGCTTGAAAAGAGAAAATAATTTAAATGTTACATGTTCGGAAACTGTAAGTAAATTTCTATATAAGAAGTATCTGTAAAAATGAACTGGATGTATTTAATGGACCATTTATACATTTCTGAGTTTATCTTGCTAGTTTAATAAAGTTCCCATTTATGGGGGTTTGTGCTATATGTTTCCATTATTCCATTGTAATTTTGATTAATGTTTGAGGCTCACATTGGAGCAGATCATGCTTAATTTTGTGTCCCTGGAAGGAAATGAATGCATTTTGAATAAGGTCTAAAGTGCTGGGTTGAGAACATGTTTCTTTTCAATGGTTAAGCCTTTCTGAAACTAAATGAGACGTGCTGGAAATGGATCTTGAATGCCTATCACCCTCTTCCGAGGAACACAGAAGGAATCCTGCTGCATTAGATCCTAGTCCATGCCTCAGCCAACCAGCTGCATATAGGAGGTCCACAAACTCAACATGAGGGCATTAGTCCTCTCATGTTGTTGCTCCCCAGCAACAGGTACTCAGAGTCCTGAAGTCTCTGGTCCTAGAAGTAGCATATAGATATCATGAGTTCTGGCAAAGGCTTATGGGAGTTGTAGTCCAAGACATCTCTGGGGGGCACCAGATTGGGGAATGCTGCTTTAGAATACAAAGATCTAAGATCAGATAGCAACTGTGGTCAAATGAGGCCTTTTTGAATGTGAATGCAGATCCTTTGACTCTTTCAGTGCACACACTTCTAATAAGATATATTCTTTAATATGTGTCCTTGTTCTGCTGTTAAGGATTGGCAGTGGAGGGTAGCAAAAATGGATCTGTGTGTGCTGTAGCAGCCTAGTAAAATTCAAGGTCAGAGTGGAGAGGTGTGATTTTTGCACACACACACTGGACCTGAGCCCTTGATGGGTGCCAACCTAGCTAACACCCAGGTACACCCCAGAGCCCTCCATTTGTTGGGAGCAGCACTCAGACCCCGAGGATCAGGGAATGTGTCTCTTCTTTCCACCTTCCCGAATGGGGGAATAATGTTTGAATGAGGTTATCAAAACAGTCAATGGAGCCACAAAAACTCTTCTTCTTTTTTAAAAAATGTAGCCTTTGGCTGGATATTTCCACAGCATAAAGCACATGGCTTCCTCCAAAGAATCATGTCAGCTGCAGTTTGTAAAGGGTGCTGGGAACTGCAGTTCTACAGAATTCTTTGGGTGGAAGCCATGTGCTTTGAATGTATGGTGTGCATGTGAGGTAGAGACTTAGCAAGGATATTAGAAGCAGCTGGGCCTTGCAAACTGGAGAATTTGAACACACCTGAGTGGATAACTTTTAAAAGGCATGGCTCTATTTATTTTGATTAAAAGACATTGCTGCAAAAGCGTGATATGTTAACTGCCAATTGCCATTTTAAAAAGGGGTGGGTGGATTTAAAATAACTTTGGGTGGAAAGCCTCCTCCCCGTTGCTAGTGCCTGTATGCCAAGAAGCCCAAAGTTATTCTATATTAAACAGCAAGAAAACAAACCTGTAACAAAGGACTTGAGGTGAAAGGTCTACATGTGGAGGGACCACAGCATCCGGCCGCGATACAGAAAGGACAACAATGAAAGATCACGAACCCTGGACATGCAGCCAAAGTTAAAATCTTTCCCAGCCACCCAAGAGAATATTAACCATGTCTATCACACCTAGTGCTATTTTTATTTGGTCTCGTATTCTTTCTCTCATATCTGGGGATAACCAATATTGAGGGTATATATAAAGCGGATACTCATTGCCAGTTCCTTTTCTCAGGAGATGTATATGTGTTTGAGCTGCTATATGGCCTGAATATCTTCAAAAATCCCTGTCATGTGGACCTATTCAATTCTGGATTTTGTATTCCTATGTGATTCTAAATGCTGCTTTTCTACCTGTTGTGAAATCTGTTGGCTTATATTCTACAACTGGATGAATTGCCTCAGAACAATTCCCACTTGGGGCATTACAGTGCCCTTTTTTTCAGACACTGTGGGCCTGACTATGACTCTAGCAGGGCTGTTGCTGAAAAAGGCATGCCACAGTTTTAATAGAAAATGCCAGTTGTGTACAGATGAGCATGTGTGTTTTAAACAGAAGTTGGCCCTACCCTAACCATGGCCAATCTTCTGTGAGATTAAGGCATGCTTTAAAAATACATCCCCCAAACAGCTGCAGCACTTTAACATTTCATTATCAAACTGCTACCCCATTCCCTGTTGCAGTTGCTGACAGTGTCAAAAAGAAAATTTCAAACAGGACATCCATTGACCCTGAGAAACTAGCAAAGGAACTGCAAGCTGCAAAAATCCTCCCCCCACAACAGGATAACTTCCTTCTCTTTGTTACTCCTTCCATGTGATTTGGATTGTGGATTTCAATGCAAAGATGACCATTAGCATAGTGAATTCATGTTGGGAGGGTTCTTGCAGATGCAGAATCAGTTTGAACAGGGGGGTGGGGTGTTCAGAAGAGGGTAGGAATTGCTAAGTTGTCAGCTGAGACTCCATAGTAAAGAGTGTGGGAAAATTCCATCTTAATGTTGGTGCTTTGTTAGGAGCAGGAGCAGCATTGCATATTCGCCCTCGGTGTTTTTTCACAAGCTTCACATATTTCCCTTCCTTTCCTATAGTTATGTGTTAAATACTCTAACCCATAAGCTAAGTCAAGAGGATCTTTTTAATTCAAATACCTTGCTGTCCAGCTGCAGCAGATTGGAAACACAAGCAAAACTGTAGACCACCTGAAGCAGATTACTATAATTGCAGCTAAGAGTTGACCATGTCAAAAAACAAACAAACAAAAACTGCTGGTAGAATAGCTGTAACTTTGGCCAAAATGGGTTTGGTTCTCTACTCCCCATGGCTGTG